GGATCTGGCGGCTTTTCAGCCTCGTTCCCCTTTTTACCTGAGCCTCTTCAGTCAGCCTGCTGATCTTGGCAACTATAGGTTTCGATGTGATGCACTTTCTCAGTGCAGCATTGAACCTATTGTCAAGGATCGGGTAGAGGCACTCCTCATCAAGTTCCTCTATTGCGCTGGCGTTCTCGACACTCATGACCCAAGACATGGCATATGGCGAGTCATAGCTGAATGCGTTGCTCACGATTTCTCTCGTGGAAATGATCCAGTCTCGCAACTCATGCGGTGCAGGCTCTTTTTCGAGCTCTATGTTGGCGCACTTGTTCGCCTCAGATGGCAACGAAGTTAAGGGCGGTCGAGTAGCCTGCCCAAAAACGTGGGGAGGTAGAACGCCGTCTCTGCCAATGGATATGGCACAAAGAGAGCAACTCCCGGACGATGGCGGGCAGCACGCGGCACACAGAGAAGTGCGGCACAACGAACAAGTTTGGAAGCATGGAGGTGTCCCGGGGATGCTGGTCTTGACATTTATGTTGCATCGAGGGCAGACCCTCTCCTCAGCGGAAGATCGGCGAAGATCGGGAGCTCCAATACCGCCGACGCCACCGGCGCCATGCACACCCTTACCGAGTCCTGGTGGAAGAGAGAAACCAGTTGGCCCGCCAGAGTTATCCTGTACTCCGTGGTGAGGCTGTGGATTCTGCTGATTTGTCACAGCAGCGTCAGGTCCGTACCTCCCGCGAATGACTCCCTGAGACGTTCCATGCTCAACCTGACCGGTGAAAATCCCCCCTGTAGGGGAACATCCGGGATACGTGTTGATGGTCCCCCTCGGAACTGCTCGCCCGACTACGGGCGAAGACATTGCCCTTGGTGGCATTGGCCCGGCAGCTCCGGCGTGGGAACAGAAACCAGAGTTCCCTTGGTGCGGTTCAGGACTCCGATGTGACGGATCTCCACGTGATGGCCCGGATCCAGGATCAGGAGCAGTGCCATCCCGCTGATTATGATCAGGAATGCAATCAGGTCCTCCAGGCCCCGCACTGGGACCGCGATGCTTAGTTTTCCCGTCGGGATCAGCTCTCAGACAACCGAGGCAAATAGGTCGAACATTCGACCCAAAACGGCGCACATCGTCAGGTGAAGCGATGTGTTGATCGCAGTACTCGTCCTTGCATATGAGACACCTCACAAGTCCGTGTCTCCCCCCTCTTCCTCTGCATGCGCGGCATCTAGGGAACTGATCGCTGCACTTGAAACACGAGTTACAGTCATGGTCAAAGCAGTCTTCGCAGACTGACTTGCCGCAGCTTCGGCATGGATAGCGAGGTTCCCGATGCTGTGGATGCCCGGGCTCCTCATGAGCACACCTGGCCCGGTTATCAGGGGCAGCGCCGGCAGCCCGAGCAATGGCCCTCGTTCTAGAGGGATCCCTGCCGAAGATGGGGGCTGATGGTGACGGTGGGGGTGGCCCTGAAGGAGGTGGAGGTGGAGGAGGCCTCGCCGAGCTGACGGTGCGAGCATCACGAGGAGGAGAACCTCTAGGAGCCCTTCCCTGGGTTAAGGGATCAGTGTCTCCAGATTTCTCCCATGATCCCGTTCCGGCGGTCGAAGCAGCGCCAGCACTTGAAGATCCGCAGGCAGCAAGAGGTTGCTCCCTCAACTCAGCGATCTGCATGTTGATCTCATTGACCCTCAGCACAAGCTTCATAAACTGCTCTTGCATGTCCCTCGGATTGGGGCCTAAGCTTTTGTCATGAAGGTCCTTGACGCACCTAGCAATACGGGACAATTGAAGCTTGAACTCTTCCTGTTTCTGTGAGTTCTCATTGAGGGCTCCGGACATCCTATCACTGAACTGCTTCAGGTCGGTCGCAGGAACGAGCTGCTGGATATACGTCTCGACGTTCCCACGGATGGTTCTTTCCCTTGAGATGGTTCCCTCAATGTCGATGACACTGCGAGAGTTCGCCTCAACTTCGTCCTTGATTTTCCGAACCTCAGCCTCAAGGGCCCCGATCTCAGAGAACCTAAGGAGCTGGACCTTGACGTTCTCAAGTGATTCGGCCTGCTCGCGAAGTTCAGCAGCGGATATGACGATCGAGTCAGACCTCTCATCATACATCTTGAAACGCTCATTCATCTCCTTCTCGCTTCGGGCGACCCACTCGTGGAAATCACGGAACTTGGCCTCGTGTTTTGAGAGAGTTCCGGCAACGGCAGAGAAAGATGATTCAACCTTCTTCTCGAAGGCGTCAACACGGTTATTGATCTTCTTGATCTCACCGACGCAAGCGTTGATATCATCCCTACATGAACGAATCTCAGTTCTGCATCCCTGGATTTCGGCCTTGCACCCCTTGACCTCGTTGTGGATCGCGAGAAGCAGTCGTTGGAGCTCAGATGCAACAGGATGGCCGCCACTTGTGGAAGCAGACGGAGCAGGACGACTATCAGCGTCATGATCTCCGCGCCTATTTTCTTCCCTGTCGGGAGTGCAGCCCGGAGTTCCGATTTGAAAGAATGCGGGGACGAGGGAGTTGTTGACCGGTTGATTTGAAGGAAGCCCTCCATGTGCAGGGGCAACAGTGCTAAGTCCAGGTCTCCGGTTCCTGGGCGTAGAGTTAATCCCGTCATCAGTCTCCTTCTCAGACATCGGGGCATTGGAGCTGAGCCCAGACCCCGCAGAGTGGATAGGAACGTCAATAGGATCGTGATGAGCTGGGGGATTAGATCGCAATCGCAGAGCAGCTTCACGTCTCTCGGGTGACTCAGAGCTCCTCTTTGTGGCTCGTGAGTCAGTGCCGGTTTGTCCCGACACATTATCAAATGATGATGATCCGCGAAGTTGAGCTTGATCTGGATCAGGTTGAGTGAGATCAAGCCGTTGAGCAACGTCACCATTGAGTGGCTTAGGAGAAAGTACTTTGGCAACGCGGCTCGGCGGGAGCGATGTCGTTCGTCTCTCTGGTGTGACCTCGGCCTCATCGATTACATCAAGGATCCCAGGGATGGTTTCATCATCTTCATTTCCTCTCCTGGGTGGCTGATGGAAGGGGATGTCGAGGAGGTCGAAGGGAGTAGAGCCAATACCAGGTGTATCCTGCTCGGATCCATCGCTGGTACGGTGGCTGGACTGCTCCTCGAGGTCGATGACGTCGGGGGCGGACTCTTTTCGAGTCTGACGCCGATTGAACGCCGCGAAGAGACCGGCATGGCTTCTTGACGAAGTGGAGGAAGGATTTGGGCCTGCTGTTTCGCGGCCCGCGTCCGATCGATTAGTACCTGATGCCCGATTTGGCGGATTTGAGCCCGCGTTGTAGCGGTTCGCATCCCGACCTCGGGTACCTGAGGAAAGCGGTGGATTCGGACCAGCGTTGTAGCGGTCCGCATTCCGGTCGCGGGTACCTGACAGGTGAGATGATACTGCATCAGGGATGAAGTCCATATCCGCCGGACTGGGGTGATCGTGAATGATGTCAATGTCGGATGAACCTGAGACGGGAGGAGGGCCAGCTATTTGCGGCCAATCCTCAATCGCCCGTTTGCCCACCTCGGGTTGGGCCGAACCTGCAACATGAGAAGGGGAGAAATCTTCAATGGGGTCATTTTCTCCATCATGAGGAAAACCCTGAGTAGGCTCATGCGTAGGCAGGGCATCAAAAGATCTGTCAATTCGGGAAGGCTGAGACCTCCAATCAGCATCAAAAAGGGATTGAAAATCCAGATTCCCAACCGATATGGGGGCACCCGAGTTAAAGTCGAGCCGACCGAAATCAGGCGGTGTAGCCTGCGATCCACTGCCGAGGAGCTGGTCAAACTGATCCCATGTAAGGGACCATGATTGAACCGGCTCCGGATGAGCAGCACGATGGACAGCCCGGTCCTCGATCTGGAGCGCCACGAACGGAACAGTAGGCGAAATCGATGAGGGCACCTGATTTGGAGGAACCTCAGCCTCTTCTAGAGGGGGTCCGTCCTCGATCTGAAGCACTGCCGCCGGGATAGGGGCCTCCGCATCCTCATCAAACACGACCTGAGAAAGGATCCAATCGTCCGTGATCACCCCGGGATTGGGCTCTGCGCCCACCATCGGGGGAATGGGCCACAGCCGGCTGTCTAAGCCGGGGGCAGCAGGCGCGGCGTTGCCGCGAAGGGCGTTGGCCTCGTCGTCCACGAAGCCCGGCCCACGATGTGAAGCTCCGGGGGACGCCATTGCTCGTACAAGTAGGCGATGGGAGCAGGTAGCGGGTCACGTCCCGCAACCGGATCACCAGCCCCAGCTTCTAGCTGGTACGGCTGATAACCTGCGGTTTTGGGCGAACACGAAGTAGCCCAGGGAAGCAAATGAGTACAAAGAAGATCACAATGTACCCAAAGCACCCGGAATCACAACTCGGGTGAAGCTGTGGATGATGACCGGGTTGAGGAAGTGACGGTTAGTAAAGAGAAGTTTGGGGAAGTTGGGAAGCAAGTTGAAGAAGTATAAGTACTCAACCAAGCCCAGCAAACCCTGCCGCACCACCGGATACCTCCCACAACCAGCTGCCCCCAGCACCGAGACCTTTTCCCGGTGATGTGGGCGGCTGCCGTTGTATGGCGTCCGCACGTGGTGCCAGAGCTAAACTGACGGGGGGTTGAAAACTTGAGCCAAACGGCCATTCGGCCGTTTTGCCACATGAAGAAACAACACGTGAACAAAACACACCCCCGATCCGTGTGTTGCTGTTGTTGCTTGTTTCGTTTTGTTTTGTTTTTTTTGGGGGGGGGTCTGTTTTTTGAGGGCATCCGATCTCGTGGGGGGGGGGGGTTTAACAGGGCAATCCAATGCGGATTTTGGGGCCCCTCATTTCGCACATTTCTCTTGCCACACCAAAAAAACCAGGGTGGTTTTCCAGCCCATATTCCAAAAACCGGTTTTTCGTTCACCCGCCAATGGTCGAAACCCCACATGTCAAGCCCTCGAAACCCAAGAGATCGAAAGGGGCGGCCGGAGCTACGGCGCGGACCCGGATGGCCAGCTCGGTGTGGTTCAGCTGAACCTGCCGAGCCCCATCCCACTGGAAGGGAGTGTTTGCGCAAGCCTTCGGCGTTGGGCCACGAAAACAAGCTCCGCGAGCTGATCTAGAGCTTGACGAAGCAGTGACTTCTGTTTGGACGTATCCTTTGCCAGCTGGAGATTTGGGGGGGTCTCACGTTTCGACGCCCCGTGCCCTACAAAAAAGTGACCAACCAGGGATGTCGGGTGCCATGCGACATTTGGATAAGGAGACTGCGCCCAACTTTTGAGCGCCTTTGCCTTGAGCCTCTCAGAAAAAGCTCACGCCACCAGGGGCGGTAGGCGCGCGCCCGACTGAAACCGCTCGATTCTCCGCTCCTGCTCGATCTTCTTGGTCAGGTCGATGAGGGCAGTGGACAGCAGCGAGGCCTCGGCACCCCCGGCATTGCCCCAAGAAAGGTCCCCAAACCAGACCCCTCCAAACAAAAAGCGGCGCCAAGCATATTGTGGATGGACGAGGTATTTACAGGGGAATATATCATTCTAGGGTTTCTTAGGTGGTGCGAAATGGATTTCGTCCATCCACAGTAGGTATCCTTCTTGGAAACAGGTAGACCAGAACCTCTGTTTTTGAAGAAAACCAACCAAAAAGGAATGCACCATGGTGCTCCAGTAGAGAGGTTAGAATAAGGATACCAACTTTTTTCTGTAGTCAATGTTAGGCGAACCCTCTCTCAAAGAAGGGTAAAAGGGCACTGGGGGACCTAGACACCTGGCCAAAACCAGTGATGCCTCAGCTGGCATCGAAACCAACTGAGCACCCCAAAAAAAATCCGGCTGAGGGTTCCGAAAAAAGATTTCGGCCAAAGTGCGGAAGGGGCAAAGTCCGGCCATTACTCTTCAAACGGTCAACTAAAGTACACAAAGGGAATAGGCGATTCTCTGGGCACTCTGCCCTAAAAAAATACACACAGACCCAAAACCTTGGCACATCCCGCAAGGGATTTGAAGTCTTCTTAGAGCTTCTCTTTCTAGCGTGTGGGTGTCCCTCAGGTCTTCCCAACAAACAGGCAGGCGTTCCCACCCCTAAAACTGGCATGACACCCCAAAAGTGATGCATGTCTGAAACAAATATACTTGCACCTCTGGCTTTTCTTCGGATTCCCTGGTGCTTTCGTGGATTTCCGGGTGCCTCGGGCTGCAGGCCCCTTCTGGGGCCCCCCTGCGAGCTGCAGCACCGAGAGAAGCTCCGCGCGCCACTCCTGGCTCCCCAGCTTCGCGCTTCGCGCGCTGGATGCGGGAGCCCCCCAGAAAAATGTGGCGTAAAAAAGTTCAAACTTTAGAATTACCACTAAAATGGTCTTTCCAAAAAGTTTAAAGTTCATGAACTCAGGAAGTGAGGGCTTTACAAAGGCGGAACATCCACCTGGATATGGGCTTTTTATAAAAGGAGGAGATTGAGTTGCAGTCCTGATGCTGGGTTTTCTCACTGGCCCAAAGGACCCAGAAATAAAACGGTACCCTTTTCAGGCCATGACTAAAACTAGACCAAAAAGGAGAAGCCAAAAGGTCAAAAAGTCGGCTCTGGGCAACTGAGTTTTTGTTTGGGCATCAACGAAAAAAGGAAGCATCCACCTGGGTTTCTTTTTTTAAGGAGGAGATTGATTTGCAGTCCAGGATTTTGAGAAGCAGAGAGAGGGGAGAGAGAAATCCGAGATTCTTCCACTGCCCCCGGATGTAGAGGGCAAGCCCGCACCACTTCGCCACAAGAGGACCAAATCTGGCGGCATGGCCCACCGGCCATTGGGTCGCCTTTTCGGGGCTGGCTCCAACGGGAACACCGCCATTTCTTTAGCACATGCCCGAACGTGCTGGTGCTCAGTAGGGAATGAGGGAATGACTCCTTTCAGGAGACCCCCAGGTTCATTTCCACATTCCCTACTGAGCACAAGCAAGTAATGGAGAAAGAAAAGAAGGGCCAACTCACGCTCCGCAAGACTGCTTGCTAAGGTGTTCAGCCTCTCGGGTGTCGTCCTTTTGGCCACACCGTCTTTTCCAAGGCACGCTCCCATCAAGGCAAAGTCTCCCTTGCCCAAAGGACCCAGAAATCAAAGGCTGAGCTTTTGGATGACTAAGAGTGAACCAGAACTAGGAAGAAAAAGGAGGCAGTTTTCTCAAAGAAATCTGGGGTCCGGCTTCAGGGACTGGGACCCCGGGGCAATAAGTTACTGAGGGGTGCTCCCTCCAAAAGTGGTCTGAATCCAACCACCAAAAGGAAGACAGCCCCATCAAAATCCGCCAGGCGGTCCGCTTGTGGGGATCCCGCGAACTCAACCCATCTGCACCTGTTACAGTACAACAACTGCAAAAAATAGGAAAGTCACGGGGAAAAAAGCCATCGCTTTAAGAGATAGGACCACTTTCGTTTGTGCCTTTTTTTCGGCTGGTTTTACCGAAGTTGCCCTATCTTGCCACTCACTTGCCAAAAAAAATAGCCACCAAAGCTGGTGTGGTGGCGCCACGAAAGCTAGGTCTTTTTTTAGGAAAAAGCCAAAACCGCGGCGCATCCCTTCAGCAAAAAAAACACTCCGCCCCCCGCGAGCGATCGCCTTCTGGGACTCCGTGAGGGCGCTGTGCAGCTCCTCGCGGCCAGCCACCCCCAGACGCCAGACGCGCCAGACGCCAGACGCCAGACGCGAGGGGAAAAAGAAAGAAAAAAAGCGGGGAACACAACTTGGTGGCTGTTGAATGACCCCTCTGCAAAAAGTGAACCACTTTTGGGGGGGGTTTAAGTGGAAAACCCCATGATTTCCCGAAAAGTTCAAGTCTATAGATCCAACCCAATAGCAGTCAAGCAGGGAGATGAGACATGGAAGGACCCCTCAAAAAACCATCCGACTGGTGGCTTCCTTTCAGGGAATTTCAAGGTTAAACCCTGACTCATTCCCTGAGCACCAGCAAGAGGAATTTTGAACCCAAGAAAGGGGGCTCCAACCCAAAAGATGTTCCGATGCTCGGGCTTCTGAGGGTCTGTTCCGTCAGTTCTGCTTGGGGCTCTCCTGCAGGCTTTTTGCCAGCCCCATCAGGAATCAAAGATGAGGAGCGACAACAGGGCTGTGGGAACCCACTTGTGCTCAGCTGTTCCTTGCCGCCCTTTTTTCATGGCCAGCATTCGTGGGTGTTTGGATGCATGCGGCGTAGCAGCATGCATACCCACCAAATTGCTCTTCTGAAAGAGCTGCAGCCTCATGAGAGGCATCTTCTCACCTGTACTTGTGATCTCTCATCTCCCCGCAGGGAGAGCCCGTTGGGCTGACATACGACTTCCTATCTCGCAGGAAGCGCGTTTGTAAAAACAAGGAAGGGACCAAGAACCAAAGAACCAAACAACAACCTACAAACAAGGGAGGGAGGGCGGGTCGCCGAAAAGACCCTTTGAGGTGAAAAACGGCCATGGGCGGAACACATCGCACAATTCATCAAGTGAGATTACAATGTGCTCAGCTGTTCCTTGCCGCCCTTTTTTCATGGCCAGCATTCGTGGGTGTTTGGATGCATGCGGCGTAGCAGCATGCATACGCACCAAATTGCTCTTCTGAAAGAGCTGCAGCCTCATGAGAGGCATGTTCTCACCTGTACTTGTGATCTCTCATCTCCCCGCAGGGAGAGCCCGTTGGGCTGACTGAGGTGAAAAACGGCCATGGGCGGAACACATCGCACAATTCATCAAGTGAGATTACAATCTGTGATTCACCCCAAAGACTACCCCGCCATGTAAAGAGGGGATTCCCTTGTATCACAGAAGTGGGGATAAACCCCTTGATCCCACAACCTTGAGCGACAAGATTCTCAGCCTTCGGTCACATGCGCCATCCCTGAGGGGTGGAGGGGAGGCGCCTTTGGCTCCCTCCCTTCCAAAAACCTGTTTTTGACGGCTAAAACAAACCCCCCCCCCTTGTTGGAACGAAAAACAGCCCTGCAAAAAAAAGAGGGGGGCATTCAAGGAAATTGGCCGGAAATTCTACCGGAGGACAGCTGCCCACCAAATGAGCAACAAAAACATGGCAGACTTCCTGTAGTGGTTGCCCCGCGGGCGGGTGTTTCCCGCTTCAAAAATCTTCGCTCGCCTTTCCAAGTTTGAAAGTCTGACTCCCCGGCGGCGACCTCCTGGGCACCGCCTGCTGCGGGACCAGTCCTGAGACATCACCCGCAAGGTCTCCACCTCGTCGAAGGCTAAGTCAACTCCCATACCTCGGCACAAGCGCCCCGGCAGCTCGTTACACACAGGGGCACCCCCATCCGAGCCATGCACAGCACCAGCGAGAGATGGTACTAGAAAAGTCTTTGAAAAAGCTACGCTGGAAGGACGACGATTGCCTTGTGGGGAAGGAAGGGGATGTCTGAACCAAAATGGGGGGGAAACCATGCAGAATCCCCCTTGGAAAGGCTTGCTCTCAGAACCTTAGAAGAGCTTCTTAGAGGGATTCTCTGTAGCATTTCAAGGGGGGGGTGTCTGGCGTAGCATCTCCATTTCAAGCTTGGCTTTGGGTAAGTTTCGCAGCCGAACCTTGGCTTCAGACTTTGACTGGAGGGATTCTTTTCGACTGGAAGGGTTCCAAGAGGCGCGCGCCTTCGGGTCGCATTCCAAACTCTTCCAACGAAACCCAATGGCCAGGGCCCCCCACTTTCGATCTCGTTCAGCTTCTCGGCCACCGACGCCTTCCCAGAATTCCATCGGGCTCAGAGAGGGTTGGGACCCGTGGTCCTTGGGCCCTTTGTCAAAAACGCGTGGACCCTTTTCATCACCCCCCCCTCCCCACCTTATTGCGACAAGCTTGCCATTTGTAGTGCTAGCCCTTTGTTTCTTTCAGGGGGGCCCCCTGATTCAAACTGGCCATGGGCTGGTTTCGGGCACCATGTTATACATATATGTTGCTGCATATGAACATGAAACCTGGAAAACGAGCTCAGCTCAAAACCACCTCTTGACAAGCAAGGTATGGGCTTTGGGGGGGCTCCATGGTAAGTAGCTGTTCGGCACGTGTTTGGCCGCGCCTGAAAAAATAGCTTCGTATATGCCGCCCGTCACAGAGCGGCCATGCACTTGACTTGGGGTGGGAAGAAAGCAAGTTGTACTTGTTGCCAACGTGTTCCAAAGAAAAAACAATTATTGGCCTGGTCGTTTGTTCATGCAATTCTGCGACCGACCAACCAACCAACCAACCAACCAACCAACCAACCAACCAACCAACCATCTAACCAACCAGCCAGCCAACCAACCAGCCAGCCAACCAACCAACCAACCAACCAAACAACCAGCCAACCAGCCAGCCAACCAGCCAACCGGTCTCTGAATGCTCTCAGCCCACGCCTGCAGTCTGGCCACCACCTCGAAAGGGTCGTCTCCTGCAGAAAATTCGAGGTCGTGCATCGCAGGAAGCTGGACAAGAACGCTTAGAAGATCAAGGAAATGTCCTATCCCAGGGAAGAAGCCCCAGCCCTCCATCTCCTTTCAACTCGGATTAGCAATCTACATGGGGTATGTGGAAGGAGTGTATAGAAGTGGTATATATCCTACGGGTGTACATTAGGGGTGCATTAACGGCATACAAGGGTGTGTCTTTTGGGGCACGTACCGGACAGGAAAGACTTGTAGGCTCTTGGAACAGCCTTCCTAGAAACCTCTGGACAATAGGGCGGCTTTCCAGTCTCTAACCTGACTTTCCGCCTGAGATCACGCGAAAACCAAGGGCCTCTATTCCAAAGACCTCCTTCGTGCGCTGGCTTGGACCAAGCTGCCCAATGACACGGCTAAGTGGCCTGCCCTCTGCCGGTCCGCACTAACTTTCTTACTTGCCGCTTTCAAGGGACCTTGATTTCACAGAAGGTGGCCCTCAAACCCTGTGTCCATGGGTGGCCTTTTCAACGAAGAAATGGCCCTGGCAGATGGAATCAGACCCTCAAAATGATGAGCCCCCCTGTAAATACCAACGAAAAATGGTTTCAACCATGGTTTCACTTCAGCGGTGCGGCCCAAGCCCCGCCGCCAGACCGTACTTCCGACCACTCGCCCGGTCCGGACTGGTCCACGCGGAAGCGGCGCATCACGTCCACCGCCTTGGCCCTCGGAGCGGACGCGATGGGAAGACGGCACGAAGGTGGCAACGGAAACTGCCAATCCTGGGCTGCCCTCAGATCTGCTAAAGGTTTAACTTTTAGTGGGTTACATGGAAACTGCCACTAAACCCTAAAAGCTTAAAAAGCTAAGGGGACGGCTGGGGGCCACCAAGAATGATGCGGCAAAAAGATGCGGATTGCCGCAATCTACCCCTTGTGCGGTTTTCAGTGGTGGAGCTAAGAACAATCTGGTTGGAGGGAAAACCCAACAAGAAGCTGAACAAGCCATCTTTGGCGGCCCATCTGGGAGTTTCCCAACATGCTGGACCCCCTTTTGGTACAGAAACCAACCAAGTTAGGGGGTTGTTCTGAGAAACCCCCCCGGATGTCTGCTCCTCTCCGGGCCAACCCTTGAACTGGCATCTGGCGGGATAAAATGGTCAACGGCTACTCCGGCGGCGAGAAGTGGACCATAGGAAAAGCAGAAGGTAAGTGAGAAAATGCCCCTCTGCCAACCAGAAGGAGCCCACCAAAAGGCTCCCTTTAAAAGGACATCGTGCAAACCCGGAGCCTCTTTTCATCGGCTTCGATGGCAACGTGGCGGCAGTTGGCGGAGATCTTCGGATTTGTAGCGCGGGGCCCTGCTCCCCTGTGAATTACCCGGGGGCTCGGAGGAAGCCCCCATTGAAAAGGGGGTCCTTCACTTGTTTGAACAAGCAAAACATCTGGAACATCTGGGCCCCTGGCCCTCGGGGCCCAAACGCAAGCCTTTCTTTCGGGACCACCCAAATGTTTCCACGGGAGTCTGTGGGCATCCTGTCGGGGCGCAGCCCGGCAAAAGTGTGCACACATGTTCCCGCAGGTCACACATCCCTCAAATCGAAAAACACATGTTGGAGAGATGAGCTAAAAAAAAAATGCGCACGCGGGAGCTTGACGCCCACAAACCCACTCACCTGACTGGGCTGTTCTCAGATCCCCTGCTACAAGTTTAACTTTTAGTGGGCTACATGGAAACCCAACCACTAAAGCTTCAAGGACGGCTCTGGAACCGCCAAGCTGTTGTCCCCTTCGGCATCCAGGCCCCCCCCCCCCCACCCCACTCAGCCCCCAGGGCGCTGGCGAGGAGACCACCTCCACCAGCCTCGGGTCCTCGTCCAACATTCGCTGGAGTTGCACCTGGCGCGCGCGCGACCCGCCCGAATCCCGCCCGCAAGATGGGTAGGGGGGGGGAAGGGGGCTACTGTTGGTTGCCCTTGAAACGAAGCCCAAGAAGGTACCTCCACAAAAACACATGCAGAAGACCCCTTCGAACATCAGAGGAAACTCACCCAAATGGTGAGGAAATCCTGGAGAAATCTCCAAGTCAGCAGGCAGAGATGACTTGTTCACAAGCCGCAGCTGGTATCCTTTGAAGAACCTAGTGAGGAAACAAAAGGAAAGAACAACACAATGTTGTTTTTCCTTTTCCTTTTTTTTCCGCCTGTTGTACTTCCCTTCGGTTTCCCTTTTGGTTTTGCTTCGTCTTCCCTTGGGCTTCCCGATAAAGACACGAGGCTCTGCTTACTGGTAGCCAATGACCCCAAAACCCATCAGTTGTTGGAGTCCCTTTTTTGGGGGAACGGCAGCTTGAGCGAAAGGGGCAACGGAGTGGGGTACTCGGTCGACCTTGGAGAGAATCGGCTCCGAGTCTGCCAACGAGTCTGCCAACTTGCAGGCCTGCAGGAATGATGGAGAAGCACGATATGTGGTTCCATGTTAATTTGCAAGGTTAAACATGGGCTCAGCGCTTTTGGCCTGTAAGCCTTAGACATCCATCCATCGGGTTTCCCCGAAAAGGGCCACCCTTCAGAAGCCAGCCCAGAAAGCCACTCAAACCCCAGGTGCCCCAAACGCGTCAGGGCCCGCCCTGTTCACCATGATGCCGGCCTCAGCCAAGCGCCAAGCCAGCCACCCAACCGGCCGTCTCTCTTTCCGGCACACGCTGGGGGCAGGTTTCGCCTGGGCGCCCCTGGCCATCTCTTGAGATGTTGGCATCTTCTCATCCTCCTGCATGGCCAGCGTAAGGAACCAGCATAACCCAAGATAGGCTTAGGATCACCCAATGAGCCTTTCAGGCCTTCTCAGGAAGGTGTGAAAAAAGGGGCTCGCAAAAGGGTGCTAAGGGGCTTATCAAGGGTTAGTGATGCTTGGATCCCTGAATTGTTTTCTGGACAGGGTACCCTGGGAGTAGGCTTTTCGCCATACCATTTGGCTTCTGCTATTGCAATGCCTTTAGCCGCCAAAAAAAACAACTGTATTGCCCCCCTCGAACCATCCCGAACCAGATTTTTGTCCGCCGCTTGTCTCACGAATCTGCGCATCATAGTCTGATTCTCGCTGTTAGTGAAGTTGTTTGCTCAGTTTCTTCTGAGTTCTTCGCGCTTGGCCGAGTTTTCCAATTCTTTTCCGCTCAGTTTCTTCTGAGCTTTCCCCCCTCTCCGAGTTGCTTGTTATTTTTTTGTCCTGCCATCTTTTCCGGTAAGTTTTTTCCGAGCATAGGTGGCCTTTTGAACCAGTGGGACCCATCTTTTTTTAACCAAACTAACCTAAAAAGGACGCCAGTAAGTTTTTCCGAGCTTTCCAAGTTTGCACCAGGCAGCCTTTCCGAGTCTTTTCCCCGCTCCTCCGCGCAGTCTTTCCGAGTTGTTGGTGCCCCTGAATATCAGTGGGCACCTTTGTCGTTGCTGAGTCAAGACCCTCTGGACGCAACGACAGAGAGAGCGAGAAAAGCTCTCTACACCAAACACTCCAAAACAAAACAACTACAACCAACAAACCGAAGAAACAAAACGAAACATGTCTAAGGAACTCTGCGCAATGATGGATTTTCTTGCAAGGGTATCCAAGGATTGTTTCTGGTGTTACTTTGGCCTTTTTTTGTATTCGTGGTCTTTAGCGTTTGCGTTTGTATTCCTGTGGTCTTGTGATTTTGTCCCTGTGCATCGAGCACGTGTCTTGATGTTGTCGGATTTTGGTTTTGGCGGGTCGGTGCGCCTTTGAGAGCTGCGCATTGATTCCCGCAGTTGGGTTCACAAGGTCGCAGACCGTGTTTTGCCATATTGCGCTTGCTACCATATAGCCTATAGCTGATATACAACTTGCTTGCAGCGGAGGCTTGGCCTGGTCCTTGCATGTCTAGCATTTGCGCAGAGCGTATCTTACTGAACGCTTGCTTTGTTTCACATATGCTCTTGTGTAGTGTTCGTATAAGTGCGGCATAGCCTGGCCTAGTTCTAACATGCTTCTGCTATACATCTTAACCGTTAGTTTCGGAGTATACTAAAATATGTCTAGCATGCTTAGTGTATGCTTAGCAACGGTTGCTGGTAGTTGTGTAGCATCTGCGTAGCCAAAATGACTAGTATGTGTCTAACTCATGCCTACGAAAGTCTTATCCTGGTTCCAACATGTGATAAGCATATGCCTAGCACATGTCTACCTGCCACAGAGAAAAGGTGTGTCACATGTCCAGTAATTATTCAACATTGCCAGGACATGTCTAAAACACACCTATTTAAAGCATAGTCATAACATACGTCCAGCATGAGGCGATCACAGTTCTAGCATGTGGATAGCATGTATGTTGTCTTGCGCATGTCTGGCATAGTCCTGGCATCGTCCTGGCGTAGCCCTAGCCTAACGAATGTCTGGCACATGCCTACCATATGGGCAGCATATGTGTACAGCATTGCTACAAGTAGCGCATGTCTTGCCATGTCAAGCATGCCCAGCTTCCATGAAAGCAAACCATTTCTAGTAACTCTACGTGTCCAGCATACCGTCTAGCCGGTGCTCAGCCCTAACGTTAACCCCGGATTAAGAGCAACCCCTGGTTGATTTTGATCGGGGGGTGTCCCCTTTTAGTGGGGATTCGGACCACTTTTGGAAAGAAAAACACCCCCTAATGATGGAATACTGGGACGGGTTTATTAAATTTTATTTATCCTGGAGGGAACACCCCCCAAAAACATGGGACGGGTTTTCTGGGTGGGGGCTTGCCAGCCAGGCCCGCCGGTGGTTGCCCCCCCCCCCCTCAACCCCAACCCACCCACTCCTCCAGCTCTTGGGGCACCTCCTCCTCCTCATCCTACGCGGATCCGGGGAAGATGCTAAAGGATAACGGAAAAATGCGTGTCTCTGGACCCGCTTTTAAAAAAATTATGGATTTCCGAAAACAGAACAGACAGAAAAACAGAAATGGGGTAGCCTCGAAAAAAACACCCCCAGTTTGGGTCACGAAAAAACCTGCGGATTCTTTGTGTCCGGCGTCTCGTTTTCTAGGAGTCGGACCCCCTCAAAATGGCATCGGTTGTCCATCTGAATCCTTGTATCCTTAAAACCCTGGCCTCGCGACCTCCCCGGAAACGAGTCTAGAGCACAATCAAGCGCGGATTTCTGCGATCTGCAACCTGCAGTTTGCCGGTTCAGCGGAGCTCTCACATCCAACTGGTCGGGTTCTGTGATACCATTGGCCAATCAGCCCCCCCAATGAACTGATTATACAAAGGGGAAGGAAGCTCCTTGGTCGAGAGGCACGAAAAGAGAAAAGCAACAAAAACGTCTCGCGGGTCCCGCAACCTCCCGCAAACGGGGGGGGCTGCTGGGTATTTGGGCCCCGGCCTGGTCTTGCAATGACAGCACGGACCTTGGTGATCCGATGGCCCCGATCGCCCGACCTAAAGGGCGGACCTGAAAACCGTTGCTCGCTTCCATTGGTGTGGGTGCGCCAAAATTCATGGTCCGCTTGCCTTCAAATGGTCGGCAGGAACTCAGCGCGTGAGGGTAAGAACCAAGAAGAAAACTCACAAAGGACATGTTGGTCCTTCCTCCAATTGGTTGGTCAATCCAGGAATCACCTTCATCCAGCGGGAAAATGACCAGTTGGCCGTTGGCCTGTGAGCAAGGGGTCACCAAAACTTACCAATTTCACAGGCACCGCCAGCAAACCCTCAGCAGTGCAAATAGCCCGCTTCTGCATTACCACTGACGAATGCGTTTTGAACAACAAGGGTGCAGTCTGATTCATCACGGTGGTGCTGTCTTTACGGCGCTGTCTGATGCACTGCGAATTGTGACACGTTTTGAAACATGTCGATGCTTTCTGGCCTGCTAAGCTGCGGCGGGCGAGATATTCGTTGAACCGCTGGCTATTTAGGGCCATTGCAGGTGCGATCTGAAACGGCGACCTGTCTGCTTGGCCTTTTGGGCTGCGCAATTCTGCTTCGGCGCTGCAGTTGTCTTTCAGCTGGACGGAACTCCGCCCGAAAGCTGAAAGAGCACCTCCGAGACCTGACCTAAACACCACAGCGCATGACTCACTTCACAAAGGAGCTGTTCGCCGGTTAACCTTTTGGGATCTCGACAAAACATATACAAAAGTGTGGAAACAGAATGGTCAAGATGAGCGAAACCCTTTGGCATGCCCACCGCTGTGGAACAGCCATGAATAGTTTATCACTTTGAGCTGGACCCCCTTGGTAGCACAAAAGCCGGCCCTCCACCAAACTGTTCATAACCACGATCCTCAAATGGGTCTGTCTCAATTAGGGACCGGTGTTGTGGCTCCCTCTAAGACCAACCAAAAGCGGAACCCCCCAAAACAAAGCCACACCCAGAACCATGCGACGCCACCTGGGCCCCCCGCTTCCGTCCCCCCTTCGCCTCGTCCAGCTTCCTGCGCTTTCGAAACTTCGGCGGGTTGGACTGCCCCTAAAACCAGAGGAGGGCTTCTCCACATGAAAGGCACCCATCCAAATGGCAGGGGCCCCCTTTCACTCCAAATTGGAAAAACAAACTGCCAGAGAGCTCCACATTTGGAGACAGACCAAGTTCATTCTTGTTTATTTGGGCAAGTGAAAATGACTAAAATGGCCGGGGAAGGGAGGGGGAATGGAGGAATTGTGACACCCCTCACCCAGCAAAACGGGACACCTAAAAAGGATTTCCCAAAAAAGACGGTGACTCTGTGGCACGCGTATATTTTATCATAATCAAATCACAATGGGCCCTCATTGCGAGAAGAACGTGCCTCTTACCTCTACCCGAACCAAAGTTATGTCCAAACCAAAATCCCGCCCTGAACCTCACCTTGATACTTCCCGTGTGCAATAAACTCTACCTCAACCCAACACCAACATAGTGACTGACACCCGGCTTTCGATGGGAAACTAAGACCCCGTCTTCAGGTAAACGACGTCTCGACCGTTTCACCCATGTGGATTGACCAAATCCCACTTCGCACTGGCTGGTGCCCCCACCTACCAAGTCTGGGCTGCCCCCCCCCCCACCCCCCCCACCTGCTAAAAGCCTTAAGAATGATAATAAGAATAATCATAATCATAATGATGATAATGTTTATCTAAAAAAAAACTAAGGAACCGGCTGGCCGGGACCCGCCCACTCCCACGGTGCCACATCAAAAAACGCTCCCCGCGCTTTTGGAAATCCGAGCGGCTCCAGGCCCATGCCCGCTTCGATCATCTTCTGCCGCTTCAAGTCCTGGCAGGGACTTGATCCCCCCGACGGATTCAGAGGGGGGGGGGTGGTTGGGGTGGCGGGGCTTGGGGGGGGATGGAGGTGGTGGGGGTGGGGGTGGTGGTGGATGGGTGGTGGATGGTGGATGGAGGATCCAATTCCAGAGTTTCAGTCTTCCAACCAGAAGGCAAAAGAAAACGGGTTGACAGAAATGGTCTCCAGGCAAAATCCCCCGGAATGGCTGGGGCAGCTTTTCCGAAGGGTTCCAGAAGGTTCAACCTGGGCTTATTTGAGGGAGTTCACTTGTGGGAAAAGGAAACCAAAAGGACAACCACAATTTCGGGGGTCACACAAAAAAAAGCATGGTGGTTTTAGCGGGGTGGTTCCCCGTACCCTCAGTAAGAACCAGGTTCTTTAAAAAAAAATGAAAAAATGTCACATCAGTTCAACATGGGGGAGGGTCTGGAGAAAACAAAAATGACGATCCCAATGTCGGCTTCCTGGAAATGAGGTAGACTACAATTGCGCCAAGAAAGCGCCCAAACAAAAAAATAGCCCCCCCCTCTTCCTTTGAGTGGTGAAAAGAAAGTAGCTTGCCACTTGCGAAGGCGTGACGTTTCGTAGGGAAACCTCCTGAACTAGTGAGTTCCCTATTGTTTATAATTGAAAACTCATCTGGACAACCGGCCCACATGTGAAAGCGGCTCATGTTGAATGAGTAGATGAAATGACGGGATCCATTGTTGCCATTTCAGGTCACGCCCGAACTGGATACGGCAAAACGCGTGTTGCACGGGCGGTGGTTGGAGGCTATCCTCATGTCCCAAAAGCGTCGAGGCGTTGGCTGTTTACAAGCAACCAAGAACGGGCTCTCCTCAAAACTGCCCGGGTTGCTCTTAGCTCCCTTGAATCTAATCAAAACTAGGCTGGAATTAGGACCCCAGCAAAAGAATATCTTTTCTGCCTGGTTAGTGGCAAACAAAGGGGACCCCAAAAAAGCAAAAAAGTAAAAGGGGGGAGCTAATTCTGGGGAAGAAAAGGGGCTTAAGAAAGGGCACGCTACACATCCCAAGAGCCCGCTAACCTGTAGAAAGGGCTCCCGCTAGCCGCCCCCGTCACGTGAACCCATGTATCCATCATAGCCATGCAGCTGATCCTTCCACGTGGTCGGGCGCTTAGAACAGGCAAAACAGTCAAGTCCCATGGGCCCTGGAGTTGAAAACCCGGCCCCTCCCCCCCTCCTCCCAAAACAAAAAGAAGACCTTTCCCCGCTTAAGTCAAACCTGCTTGGGTGTTCAACCCTCATGGGTTGATAGGCAAAAGTTTGGGCAAAGCATACTTACTGGGCAGCTTGACCATCCAAGTGGATTCCCATGTTAATGTGGTTGAGGAGTCGCGATTCTTGGAGCAAACCATTAACCATTTCGCGCTATTGATTCATGCAGATCTCGCGGAGTATGCCAATAATGTTGACCCCAAGACTGGATCCATGAGGGGTTTGCGGGCGCGGCATGCCAGCTTGCAAGCCGCTGAGCCCACAAGTTTCTTCAGACATATTCAAACAGATACCACTGCAGCTTTCTGCTCCCCTGCCAAAAGCTAATTTAATGGAAAACCCATTTGTTGGCAAAAAGTGATTCGGTCCTTTCATCCCTTGGCAAAATGCACCCTTCGGGGGTCCTCTTCCTTGGTTGAGGCGCAGCCGACTTTTTCGGGGCTTCGAGAAAACGTCGAATTTGACGTCCTCGATCCGCTCCAGCGCCCGGTCTCGCATCCGCTCCATCTTCCTGTCAGACGGACTCCGAGGCAGCCACGAGGCGACCCATTTTGGGGTTTCGGGGGGGGTGGAGGTGCCCTCTTTTTCCCAGGTTACACGGCGAATCCTCTCTGCAAAAACCTGTAACTCTAGAGGAAGAAAAAAAACCTTTCGACAGGGGAAAGGCCCCCAAAAAAATTGTGGGAGATTCCTGTCAAAACCGAACTGAATGGGGAATATGTAGGATTGAATCCTATCATGGATTTTCGGTGAACTCAATCCCCAAAAAAGGTCTTCTTGATTTGTAGGGTTTTGATTTGTAAATAATTGGGGATTAAAATCTCACCCGAGCGTGCCTCCTCATGTGGTAGTACTTCACCGCCACAGACTCCGGCAGAGAGCTGAGTGCAATGACCTGCCAGCGCTGCCGGGGCTGGCCAAAATGCGCACCCCACCAAAAAACAAAAGCGCCCGCGAGGCCAGTGTTTTCTACGGCAGATGATTCCTATTCACTCAACTGCAAATTGGCGATGAATTGGGGAACCACCTCAAAAATGGATGGACATGAATCCCCAGCTAAATGGCCCAAACCTGCCATCCACCTTTCTTTTGGGGGGGAAAACAGCTTGGAACCTAACCATTTGCGCATGTTTGGCCACTTGGCTTCTCGTAAAACCGACAATTCACCCACTTCCGCATAGCTATTCGGGCGCTGCCTGAAGCCGCTCCCCCAGTTTCCGCATCGAAGCCGGCCTGGTCTTCGGGCCCGCCGATGTCCTCGTTGGTCTCCTGCCAAAGCGTCGTCGGATGCAGTTCCAAGACCTTCATGGCAAGCTCGGCCTCGTTCTACCCCACCCCCCAAAGAATGAAGAGCTCGCAGGGCAAGTGAGTTGCTGGGCTGCGCTCAGTGACCTTACAACTTTCCGCAATCACGGGGTGCTTGCCCTTCAACATCACAAGCACCAGGCAAGGAACCAGTTCCGAGGTGTAGGATGCCCAAAACTTGTCTAAACTGCTTGGCTGAGGCAACTAGGGCCTATTCAGGGCAACCATGCAGGAGTTCCAGCCCAGCTACTTACCCAAATAAAGGGAAGTGTGCCATCTACCTAGTGACAGCTAAAACTAGCACCCCAGCAAAAAAATATCGGGTTTGCCTGGCGAGTGGAAAACAAAGGGACCCCAAAGAAGCAAACAAGTAAAAGGTGGAGCTAATTCTGGGGAAGGTTGGCCCCCTCTGCTCACCCAAGCGAAGAGAAGTTCGTGCCACCTGCTTCCACCGAAGCGACCGGAACCACCGAGGCGCGCCGCGTTTTGGCCCCCCGCCCGCGCTCTCCTTTTCTCTCCGTTCCCAGGCTTGGGAGCCGCTAACATGCGAACCGCTGGTGCCGAGAAACGCATCTGCATTTTGCTGTAACCCCAAAACCTGAAAAAAGGGATTCCCAAGTAACGAATACACACATCTGCATTTATGTTTGTTTTCATGAAATAGGGGATCCTGAAGTAAAGGATCTTTACCATGATGAGCTCTCAAAGTGAACTTTCACCCCAAAACCTGTAATAAGGGATCCCCAAGTAACGAACAAACAAGTCTGCAAATTCTACTGTGAAATAAGGGATCCCCAAGTAAAGGATCTTTACCATGGTGAGCTCGTTTTACCTCCAAAGTCCCGCTTAGCCTTTCGTTTGCAGCAGAAAACAATGGTGTGCATGTGGGTGTGTGTTATGTCCAACCTGGGAATCCATTCGGCTGGTCACGTAGTGAGCTGGTCATTCAATCGTCCGGGGTGATGAGCTGGTCTTCGTAGAACCTTGGCATCGCGGGGGGGAAACATGATTTCTGCGACACCAAAGTGGTTGACCCCTGTGAGTATATACTCTAACAAGGTGAGTCCGGGTATCGCAACCCCCGGTAAGGATCTCAATCCAAGCAACCGAGAGGCTGGGGGGGTTCTGCGGGTTCTGTGGGGGGGTCGGACCTTCCAAAGGCCAGCCGAAGCCATCAAGGCATCAAGGCAAGCACGCGTCGCACGACGTTCGTTTTTGATCTTTTCAAGATCGCACGCAGTTCTCGCGCGCGACAAGTCTGGTTTTGGCGGGGGTCTGCTTGGCGTTTGCCGAACCGCCCACCGCCTGACGTCGTGACGTGACAGGTGGGTGAGAAAAAATACGCGCCAAACCGCATAGGTGTCCTTGTGAAGAAGTGGATGGCGCTGATATTTTGTTGGATCCAAGTTGAAGCCAGTGCCATCCTACCACCAAACTGACCCAACAAGGACACCTGGCGATCTCAACGCTTTCAGCTGAATGCTACGGCCTTGCCCTTCGTGACCAAAGGCTCCGGGGGGAACTCCTGCCGATGGCTTTGGAGGGTTGGTTTCTACCGGCTGCGAAATCAGCTCGGCACCACAACCCAACGGAAAGATTCGACCCCCCTGCAAAACGACAAACAGACATTGTGGTTTCAACCATGGTTTCTTGGGTGGTGCCACCTACAGTTCTCCTTTTGGTTGATTTTGGTTGAAGCTCGCCTAGGAATTGCCATCTGTTTTCTACCCAAACAAGCACAAAGGACACCTATGGATGGTGTTCGAGTTCAATGGGGGTTCACTTCCAAATCCAAACCAATCCAAAGCACCCCTTTCGGATCCATAGCTGTTCAATCCTCTTTGTCTGGATCTCGTACAAATCTTGTGTACAACAATATCGTTCTCAGGTGCCTGCGCCCTAATTCATTGATTGATTGATTGATTGATTGATTGATTGATTGATTGATTGGTTGATTGATTGGTTGGTTGGTTGGTTGGTTGGTTGGTTGGTTGGTTGGTTGGTTGGTTGGTTGGTTGGTTGGTTGGTTGGTTGGTTGGTTGGTTGGTTGGTTGATTCATTCATTCATTCATTCATTCATTCATTCATTCATTCATTCATTCATTCATTCATTCATTCATTGATTCATTGATTCATTGATTCATTGATTGGTTGATTGGTTGGTTGGTTGGTTGGTTGGTTGGTTGGTTGGTTGGTTGGTTGGTTGGTTGATTCATTCATTCATTCATTCATTCATTCATTCATTCATTGATTCATTGATTCATTGATTCATTGATTCATTGATTCATTGATTGGTTGATTGGTTGATTGGTTGGTTGGTTGGTTGGTTGGTTGGTTGGTTGGTTGGTTGGTTGGTTGGTTGGTTGGTTGGTTGGTTGGTTGGTTGGTTGGTTGGTTGGTTGATTCATTCATTCATTCATTCATTCATTCATTCATTCATTCATTCATTCATTGATTCATTGATTCATTGATTCATTGATTGGTTGAGTGGTTGATTGGTTGGTTGGTTGGTTGGTTGGTTGGTTGGTTGGTGGGTTGGTTGGTTGGCTGGCTGGCTGGCTGGCTGGCTGGCGGTGCTTGCGAAACCGCGTCCCGGCGGTCCAGCTCAGCAGTGGCTGGTGGACTTCCACTTGCTTTTTCGCCCCCTGCTGTTTGTTTTTTTCTCTGTTTAACTAGTTGACGTGAATGTTTCAAAAACATGACAAGCCCCCTTTAAAACCAACTGGAATAAATTAACACATGTAAGCAAATGGAAGTGGACATGAATCCCCAACGAAATGATGTCCAAAAAAGCTCCCGATCAAAACACATACCCATTTCAGGAGAGATCCTATGATTTCTCACGGCTGAGCCAAGGAGGTCGGCAAGGCATCGCTGGGTGGCTTGTTGGTGGTCGCTTGGTTGCTTGGTTGCTTGGTCGCGTGGATGCTCGGTTGCTTGCTTGCTTCCTTGCTTGCTTGCTTGCGTGCGTGCGTGCGTGAGTGATTGATTGATTGGATCCCCTTTGTATATTTGTCGGGGGGGGGCCTCTGGACCGGTCCACTTAAAACAAGTCTTGCAACCAGCAAACAGGAGGGCATGTCAATCCCAGAAAAAGAAAGAAAAAACCAAAAAAACACTTAAAAAAGGGGGGGGGGGGGGGTTGGGGGGGGGCGGCAGCCCCTCCCATGATGGTCGCAGAAGTGATGATTTGAACAGGGGTGCAATTAAATCTATGCAAAAAGTCTAAAAACTAGCGGGGAGGTTGGGGGGGGGGCGGCAGCCCCCCCCATGATGTTTGAAGAATTGATGAAAATCTAAAACGCAGCGGGAGTATGATGTTCGAAGAAATGCATGCATACAGACATGCATGGATTACACAGACTACCTAAAACGTCGTATTTTGCAGCATTTTCTCGCGAAATTGGACGCTCGAAAAAGTGATGATTCAAACAGGGGTGCAATTCAATCTCTGCAAGAAATCTAAAAAGTAACGGGGGGGAGGCGGCAACCCCCATGATGTTTCAAGAAGAGTTGATTCAAATAGGGGTGCAATTACTCTGCAAACAATCTAAACAGTAGCGGGTGGGTTGGGGGGGGGGGGTTCCCCCCCCATGATGTCCGAAGAAGTGATGATTCAAATAGGGTGGTGGTGATGCTGATGATGCGGGAAGCCAAATCCATGCGAAAAGCCAAAGCCGCATAAACTAGCGAAAAGCCGCAAAAGCCAAAACGCCACCTGCCGAAGAGGAACTGGGAATGCAGAGGATGCGAAAAGCCACAAAGCCACCAAAAGCCGCATAAACCAGCAAAAAGCCGAAAAGCAGAGAAGCCCAGAAGCCGAGAAGCCAAGAAGCCCAGAAGCCGAGAAGCCAAGAAGCCGAAAGGCCAAGAAGCCAAGAAGCCAAGAAGCCAAGAAGCCAAGAAGCCAAGAAGCCAAGAGCCAAGAAGCCAAGAACGTTGAACACTGCCGGACAGTATAACTGTTAAACATGCGACGCAGATAGATAAATAGATGGACAGATAGATAAATAGAGATATAGATCGATAGAGAGAGAGAGAGATAGAAAGATAGGTAAGTAGAAAGTTAGATATGTAGATAGAGAGATAGATAGGTAGGTAGGCAGGTAGGTAGGTAGATAGACAGATAGAGAGACAGAGAGGGACGTTAAAATCGGTTGTTACTTTGCTTACAAGTGCAAGTGCTGTAGTGTTCAAACAAACAGTCAACCAATGTAGTCTGCAGCTGCCAACCTTTTGACTCATGCGGAGTAGTAAGCTCAAGGCCTGCGGTAGTGAACATACATGCAACAAGAGTGCAAAGTGAAGCATGTAGTTTGACAAGGGAGAGAGAGAGAGAGAGAGAGAGATAGATAGAGAGAGAGAGAGAGATAGTTAGGTAGGTAGGTAGATAGATAGATAGATAGATAGAGAGAGAGAGATACCGATATATATATAGATGGATGGAGTGATAGATAGATTGATTGAGAGAGAGAGAGGGAGCTAGAAATATAGGTAGATAGATAGTTAGATAGGTAGGTAGATAGATAGACAGATAGGTAGATAGTTAGAGAGATAGATCGAAACAATAAGAAAGAAATAACAGAAAGAACGGAAAGAACTAAATAAAGAAGGAAGGGCAGGAAAGGAAGGAAGCAGGAAAGAAAGAAAGAAAGAAAGAAAGAAAGACAGACAGACAGAAAGAAAGAAAAAAAGAAAGAAAGAAGGAAGGAAGGAAGAAAGAAAGAAAGACAGAAAGAAAGAAAGAACAACAAATAACAAAGAAAGCAATAACGATGGACGGAAAAGACACAATGAAAATAAAAAAGGAAAGAAAGAAGAGAAACATCGAGAAAAGAAAGAGAAGGACAACTATAGTTTATATATTTTGGAAACTTCCGCCCCCCGGCTGCGCCGGACCTTACTGGCAACGTTTGGGGCCGCGTGCCGGTTGATTGCGCTTTGTGATTTGTACATGATTTGTGTCAATAGGGGGATTCACGCTGACCATGGCCACGTGCAGGGGCACAGAAAATTGAGATAGTGGCTGGTGGACAGCGGGGTCGGTGCTGCCACCAAGGCTGGGGAAATGCGCATATGTAGCGGAATGCACTGCAGAAGGCTCCTGCTTTTTTGTTTTGTCTTTGTTGCTGGCTGGCACGCAGCGGGGTCGGTGCTGCTGCTGGAGTCGGGGAGGTGCACATGCGTAGCGGGGTGTGCTTCGCGCCGGCGGGGCAACGCAGAGTTGTGAAGTATTGGATCAGACGTTGGCTGGTGGACAGCGGGGTCGGTGCTGCCACCAGGGTCGGGGAAGTGCGCGTGTGTAGCGGGGTGCACTTCGCGCCGGCAGAAGGCGCGGGCAGACAGCCTGACAGACAGATAGCCCGACAGATAGATAACCCAACCAATAATAAATAGCTGGACAGCAAACAGATAGCTTAACAGATGCACAGCTCGACAGGTAGCTGGGAGCTTGACAGACAGATAGCTGAACATACGAGTAGCTTCAGGCAGAGACTTCGACAGGTAGCTAGCTTGACAGATAGATAGCTCAACAGGTAGAGACAGCCTGACAAATTAACAGATGGTTCGCCGCCCGCGTAGATAGCGCAACAGATGGTCAGATACAAACGCGCAAGCGCAAGTGAGACAAACAAGTAGAAGGTTCCATGACCATTTCAATGAGGCCCAGCGGGTTCGCCGCAAGCACCCCTATAGCCTAAGGCTCTGCCGGCTTTACTCGTATCATGATCTCGCACGATGTCCGAAGAAGTGATGATTCAAATAGGGTGGTGGTGATGCTGATGATGCGGGAAGCCAAATCCATGCGAAAAGCCAAAGCCGCATAAACTAGCGAAAAGCCGCAAAAGCCAAAACGCCACCTGCCGAAGAGGAACTGGGAATGCAGAGGATGCGAAAAGCCACAAAGCCACCAAAAGCCGCATAAACCAGCAAAAAGCCGAAAAGCAGAGAAGCCCAGAAGCCGAGAAGCCAAGAAGCCCAGAAGCCGAGAAGCCAAGAAGCCGAAAAGCCAAGAAGCCAAGAAGCCAAGAAGCCAAGAAGCCAAGAAGCCAAGAGCCAAGAAGCCAAGAAGCCAAAAGCGGGGAAAAAAAAGGAAGAAAAAAAACTAAATAAACCCTCCTTTCAAATTTGGAGACCCTCTAAGTGGCCAGCGTCCGTTCAGTGTCCCCCTAAATTCAGGCAAAAGGGTAACCACAAGTTGGAAACCGACTAAATCTTAGAACCCCTTTTGGCTGAACCCCCTGTTTCCCATCCAGAGATGAATTGACCCATGTGCCACAAATACGATACTGGCAAACAAACTTAGCAACAAAGACTGCCTGTACAAGGTGAAATCGCTGGGAGCAAGGGGCTGCCCCCTGTTTTGAGTCCCCCCCCCCCCAGTCTCGGTCTCCTCATCCGCCGCCAGCCGCACCGCGCAGTTGCACTTGTACGGCGGCTCCGGCCTGGATTCTTCGTCCTGCAAGAAGTGGGCGCCGTAGCGGGTGCGGTCCGGCTCCGCCACCACCTTTGAGCCAAACGAGGGCGACCCCAGTGGATGAACAGCCGGGGCAGTTTGAGTTGGGTGGTTGGGTGCTTGGAGTCCTTAAACAAAGCTGCCCCTGCAAACATTTGAGGTTTGGGGCTTGAGCAGTTGGGGCAGTTTGAGCAGTTGCTGGAACAAATTGTCCTTGGCAATACTAAAGTGGAATTGGCAGTCAGCCTTGCCAATGGGGTGGTTGGGTGGTTTGAGTCCTTAGCGACATGAACGCAGCTGCCCGCAAACATTTGAACTCCCTTGACCATAGAGGAAGCCAGGTCAATTTTGAGAAATGGGGAACCATCTCAAGAGAAATGAGCTTGCTTGGGTGCTGTTTCGACCCCTCGGCAAAAAGTGGGGCTCTCTTTTTGCAAAGTTGTTTGCAGATTGGGTTTAGCCATTCCCTTTACTTCGCGAAAGGAATTCCGCGTGTCACCCCACTGTTGTCAACCAGACCAGTTGTTCCCTGTCGTTTTAAAGCAAGACTCGAAGACCACGGAGGCGGCTGAAACAGGCTTCTTGTTGCAACCTATTAACTGGGTTGAATCGGTTCCTCAAAGGATACGTCCAAAAACCACCTGCTTCACAAGACGTCGGATCCTCAAAATCCGGCAAAAACAAAAGCGATGCAACTTAAAACTGGCGTCCCCTGCATTTTGCGGCATCTCAAAAACCCCTAAAATTCCCATCTCCCTCCCGTGTCTCTCACGCTCGGCCTCCAGCCAAAACCCGGTGGGTCCCCGCCAGATGCTCTTCACATCGCCCTCAGACATCTCCGGGAAGGCACTCTTCAGGTCGGCGTCCGTCTTGATCGCCTGAAAAGTTGTCTTCTTTCTCCGGGCTGTCAGGTGCTACTTTTGCAATGCTGGCCCCCTACTAATCAACACCAGCCTATTCATAAAAGGGGTGCTCCCCTCCAGAAGTGAACAATCCCCACTAAAACCAGGGACACCCCCATTTCAATAAACAGGGGTTTATTAATAGGGGGTGTTCATTAAGTACCGTGGGTGGTTTCGCACCAAGGAATTTATGACAAAAACAAACATTGTTGGTTGGTATTTACTTCGCACCACCGAAATGGATCCATGGTGGAAACCATTGTCTTCGTGGGTATTTACAGGGAAATCATATCATATTTGAGTTTCTCAGGTGGTGCGCCCTGGCTTTCGCAACCATCCACAGGCGGAGGTTATGCACCACTTTCACAAGGGGCACACACTGCCTTACAAGCAGAAAAAGAATGGTGGCAAAGCCTGGAAATGCCCTTCGCCTTTATATAAGTGGAAGTAGCTCCAAAAACCGTACCTGCCTCTCCCCCCGCGAACATTGCAAAAAATAGTCTATCTCTCTCTCTCTCTCTCTCTCTCCCCCTGCCTGTCTCTATCTGTCTCTCTCTCTCTCTCTCTCTCTTTCTAGTCCTATCTGCAGGTCCTGACAGCATCTGTGGAAGAATTGCTATTTCTTCTTCCCAACGTTCTCTCCAACAGCAGTTCTGTCAAAGGGGACACTCTGTGTACATGTAGCATCTCGTATGCTGGGGCTCCAAATTTGCACCTTGGTCCGCGTAGTGATTTGGGTTGGTAGGGCCAGGGGTACGGATCCTCAAGCCAATCCCAATGAAGGGCAACCTGATCTGTGAGAGAGTACCTGGAAAATGTGTCCTGCTCTGCTGTGGGCCCACATGGATGGGCTTCAGTTGTCCTTCTGGTTCCCCTTACTCGAGTTTAAACCAAGCTGAAAAGGCGACCAACTCAAAAAGCACGTGCAGACGAACGTGGAACCCATCTTAAACGCCGGTGCTTCTGAAAAGGAAACTCCCAAATCGGGGGGAAAGAGCCGGGCACTGGCCCCTGTGACGGTGCGAGGACCCAAAGAAGGCGAGAGATGGATAGGAAAGTAAAGAATCTGAAGACGACATTGCCGCGTAATGCTGATGTCATTTTTTGCAGTCACATTCCGGCATATCTCCCAAGGACGCCAAACCAAATTTGGGAGATGTCATATGTGTAAGCTATCAAGGGGCTGTTTCGCCATGTGCCAGAGGCTGGGAAGTCAAAGATATCTTCCCAAAACCTACTTCAGCTTCTGCCCTGAACCAAGAATGATGGTTCACATTTCGTAAGCCTCAATTCTCAAATATGTCCCCGGAAATGAAGTTACTCATCCGTGTCGGACTGCTTCCGCCTAGAACGGCGCCAAAGGTTGCCCTGGGCTCCCAAAAAGCTTATTCAGACTCTCGTTCTATTCATCTAGCCCGACCCTAAACTCTAAAACCATACCCCTGCAGCTTACCATGGCACCCAGAAGCCTTTTGCATGCCAGGAATCTTGGGACTCCCTCTGGGCTCCTTCCAGGATTTTTTTTCAGCGGAGCAGCTCAAAACCCGAGACTTCGCAGTCCTAAAAAACCGCCCCCAGCGAACTCCGAGGCGCCTCCTGATGCGACGGGTCCACAAACTCCATGGCGTAGTCTGAAGGCTTCAGGTCCGGCAGCGGTCCCGCTCCCGCTTCCGGCGGCCCCATCAAGCTCGTGGGGGGCGGCGGGAACTGGGCCTCGGAAGTTTTGCGAATCTCCGAGGCCACGGGTCATGGGTCCAAAAAGGTGCCAGTGGCATGCCTAATCCCCACTAAGTCACTAAAAAGGGGCCAGTGACAGTGACATGCCTAATCCCCACTAACAAGAAAAAGGGCCAGACCTACCCAAGATGGGGTAGCGTTGGTCGAAGGAAGGGTCCAAAGGCCGCGTACCCGGCCCGCTCATTGTCGAGGGGGTGGGGAAAGGTCCTGGTTTAGGAAGGAGGTGTTCTTGGGGCATCTCGCCAATATAGATGCAACCCTGCCAACCGGTGGCTTACGAATTGGCCCGGACACTTGCGAACCATCCGCCCCGGAAAAAGAAAGGCACGGCCCAAGAAGCCCCAAGAACTTGAACCCCATCTCGACCGAGGTCTCTCCCAGTTCGGAAACCGGGAGGTTTGGGCAATGGTCTCTCCCGGTTCAAACTCCGGGAGTGGCAACCCCTTCCCGTTCGCATGCCCGCCTCCCCAACATCGCGAAGGACATAGTCGGAGTTCCAGCCGCAGCTCATGAAGGTGTGCACAAAGGCGATCTTCGAGTCGCCATATTCCTGACACGCATCCGACCCCCGAGAAGTGACAGGCATTTGCTGCGCGAGAGGGGAATGGAAGAAACATCCAAAATGGAAAACAAGAAACAATGAGCTGAGTTCGGCAATGCTTCGACCTTGAGCCAGTACTGCATCCTCATCTCCTTGCAGGGCTTGGCGGGTTTTCAGGTGATGCGTTTCTTGCCCAAGAATCACAGGAATCACGTGGTTGAAAAGCGCCCTCGGTGTGCTGTTGACCCCGGAAACAGAAGCCCTGGTTGATTTTCATCGGGCCATGGAATCCCCTACGTTAAGGGTGCGGGGTCCCCCAGTTGCACGTATCTAGCCCCCATCAAAAGGAACATGAAACTACAAATGGGACCCCCTCCCCCAATTACCAGCTTTCTTGGCTGGAAATAGGACCCCGGCCGTATTTTTGTTGTTTGCCTCTTTAGGTGGAAAACAAAGGGAACCCCAAAAATCAAGAAAAAAAACAACTAAGAAGGGGAACAAAGTCTGGGAAGTTTTTACGGGGGTGGGCTTGCCATGCGGCCCCTTTTCACCTTTTTCGGCTCTTAGATCCGATTTCCGCCGGGTCCACCAGAGAGGCGGACGAAGGTCCCGCGGAGCCGGGCCTCCGGGTGCTTGGCCACCTGCAGCACCTTGCCTTCGTGTTGTATGTCCTTATGGCGCGAGACTTCTCCTCCATGGGTTTGGCCAGTTTCATAGAGGAACCAAAGCGAAAAAGAAGTGAGGCGATTCAATCTCCATTTTGTTGGAACCCCCACAAAAAAAGAAAAAGAAAAAAAAGGTATCCACAAAGTGGAAAGGGTACGTCTGGCCATTTGGCCATGGGTCAAAATCCCGGTTAGCCCCCAGTGAACATCCCAATCCAAGCACCTTTTTTTAGGGAACCTAAAATATGGGTGGTGAATTCACCCACCCAAAAATCCAACCACTAAAATCGGAAACCGAAAATGGGTGGTGAGAATTCACCTACCCAACATGGTTGATCCCGAAACGGTTTCGAGCACCGCCCATTTTTGACGGTTTTGACTCCTCCGGCAATCTTCAAGCTCTCAAGCACAAAGGCCTCCGGCGCCTCCACGAGCGTGTAGACGGGCTCGGGGAAGAAGGAGTCCTCGGCGGCCACTGGAGCTGCCTCTTTCCTTGGCTGGAGCTAGGATCCCAGCGAAAAAATATCTACCCTCCCTCCCACTAACATGGCAACTGACAGGGAGTCCCTTCAAAAGGAAATCACACTTCCAGGTACCTCCCCACAGGTGCCATGTTAGTTGGAGGAAGGATATCTCTTTTGCTTGGTTAGTGGAAAACAAACAAGAACCCCCCAAAAAACCCGAAAGAACAAAAAGGGGAACTAATTCTGGGGAAGTTTCGGCTTTCCTGCCGGAAGGTTGTTCGGATCTGGGGGGAACTGGGCGTCCCCAACATCGCGGATGACGGCGGAGGAGTTCCACCCGCAGCTCATCATGGTGTGCACGAAGGCGATCTTCGACTCACCATATTCCTGACACACATCCGACCCCCCGAGAAGTGACAGCCATTTGCTGCATGAGACGGGAATGGAAGAAACATCCAAAATGGAAAACAAGAAAAATGAGCTAAGTCTGGCAATGCTTCGACCTTGAGCCAGTACTGCATCATGAACTCCTCTGGGTGCTTGGCCACCTGAACCACCTTGCCTGGTAGGGTGGGGTATCAACAAATCAGACTTGGCTGCCCATCAAAAACAAACCGCGCACTCAGGGGCCGATCGAAAACTAACTTGGCGATCAACCTAAAACATAGTGGGATCGGGTATCATCAAAAAACTGACCCTCAAACCAACGGTTTGTTTGCCATAAAAACCGGGCGTTCCGCGAGCGCGAAGGAGAGGACGCCAGGACGAAAGGAAGGGGCCACGAGAGGCAAGAAGACCAGCGCCTGAAGCCAAGGGAGCGAAGGTCTACTCTCGGTATGGTAGCAAAAAAAAACTTTGTTTTTTTTTGCAGACCCCCCGGTAAAAATGAACAGGAACCAAAAGACTCACTAAGAAACCGGGGAAGAAAAAAAAAAAAACATGCCAAGAACAGGTTGAACTTATGGGAAGGGCCAAAGGACTGGGGGACCAAAGGGCCCGAAAAACGAGAAGGAGGACGAGAGGGGAAGGACCAAGGGAGTAAGGGTCCATGGGAGAGGACCAAAGGACGGCTGGTGTGTTTTTTTGTCGAGTTTAGGGTCGGCTTTAGGGAGTTTAGAGGTTCAGGGTAGGGCGTTCAGACCGGAGGTGTTGGTGGTTTAGGGTGGGTTTGGGCGAGTTATCGGTTCACGTAGGTTTAGACCGAGCAGGGGGGTTGTTTGGTGTCGTTGGGGCGGGTTTGTGGGAGCATCCACCCCCCCCGGCCAAGAGAAAAACAAATAAAGACAGTACTGGAGAAAAAGCGCGGTTACGAGCAGGGCCACTAGAAAACAAATAAAGACACCCATGGAGAAAGTGCAAGTGAGTTAATGAACGAACGAACGAACGAACGAACGAACGAACGAACGAATGAATGAATGAATGAATGGAATGGAATGGAATGGAATGGAATGGAATGGAATGGAATGGAATGGAATGAATGAATGAATGAACGAATGAATGAACGAATGAACGAACGAATGAACGAATGAACGAACGAACGAACGAATGAATGAACGAACGAATGAAAGCATGCATGCATGCCACTGCCCCGCCCACTAAACAAGCAGGCAAACAGGCAGGCAGGCAGGCAGGCAGCCAACCAACCAACCAACCAACCAATCTTCCCACTAAAGGGCGAAAGGACCGGAAGTCTACAAGCAATCCAGAGGCATTTTGGAAAGTTTTTGCTGATCGCTACAATATGTGTCTGATACCGAGCAGTTGTTTGTTGATTCATGTTAATTTTGTCTGATAATCATTCCTTGCCTACGCGCACATCCTCATGGTCCGAGATGGCCCCCCCAGCAAGGTTCAAGCCCTCGATGACAAAGTCGGTGTCATTCTCCGTGATCTTGTAGAGGCCATCTGCCGCAGGGGTCTCTGCTGGGGCGGCCGGGGCCGCCGCCGCTGGGGCCGCCGCCTCTTTCCTTGGCCCAGCAAAAAATATCTCTTTTGCTTGGATAGTGGAAAACAAAGGGGACCCAAAAAAAGCAAAACGAACAAAAAGGGGAACTAATTCTGGGGAAGTTTCGGCTTTCCTGCTGGAAGGTTGTTCGGGTCTGGGGGGAACTGGGCCGCTCCAACATCACGGATGACACAGGAAGAGTTCCAGCCGCAACTCATCAGGGTGTGCACGAAGGCGATCTTTGAGTCACCATATTCCACCTTGAGCCAGTAGTGCATCATGAACTCCTCTGGGTGCTTGGCCACCTGAACCACCTTGCCTGCGGGGTGGGGTATCAAAATCAGACTTGGTTGCCCATCAAAAACAAACTATTCACTCAGGGGCCAGGTGAACAGGGTGTTTTGCAGGATAAATAACTTGTCTGTCATCCCTGGCCTGCGCGCACATCCTCGTGGTCCGAGAGGACGCCCCCGGCGAGCTTCAGTCCCTCGACCACAAAGTTCTCCGGAGCCTCCACCACCGTGTAGACGGGGTCATCTCCCCCCCCGGCCGGCTCCAGCTCGCCGCCCGGCGCCCGCGCCGCGGCGGGCGCCTGAGAAAAAAAAAAAAACTGGAGCTTCACACCTCAAGTCGACGTGTCACCGAAAAGTACGAGCATTCACTTGGATCACACAAGGCAAAGGAAAAGAGGGGGAACTCGCTTGGAGCACCCAAAGTTGCCCTCCTCAAAATCCCCCCCCCCCCATTTCCCCCCAAAGTTGCCCTCCTCAAAATCACCTTCCCCCCCCCCATCCCCACTCTTCCCCCCTTTTTTACCCACGCAAAACGGCGCCTCCTTCTTGGCTTCGGGCGCCTTCGCCTCCGGCTTCGCCTCCGCCGCCTTCTTGGAGCCTCCGGAGCCCATGGCGATTCTTTCTTCGGCGCTCGCGAAGTTTCTCCGCACGCGTCCAAGCTGAACCAACTGGCTGCGGACCGGCCGAGCGCCGTTTTTTTGGGTTCTTGCGGAGGGGGGAGAGAGAAAAAAAAGAATAAAAGAAAAGAAGACCAAACAAAAAAACAAAAACAAAAAGAGAGGGGGGCAAAAAAGAACAAGACAAACACGAAACGCGGCACCCTCAAGTAAGGCTGCCGCAACTGTTTTGATCCATCCCATGCTGCAACAAAAGGCCAGTCTTTCTCAACGGCCAAAGGCAAAAACCGGCAAAACGTTTGGCAAGAGCAAGCAGAGGGTGCAAAACCCAGATCCTATTTGCTTTTGGGGCAGAACAGGCCCTTCCAAGGATCACATGATAAGACGCAGGCACCGCGGAGCACTGCGCAGAATCGCCGAATTGGCTACCCGAGCTCCTTGTAAACGGAAACCTCTGCTGCTTTTGACTGGATGTCCCCTTCAGAAGTCTATCAGTTTGTGTCCGTTGAAACGATCGCCACTTTTGCAGGTCCAAGAAAGAGGAGATTGAGGGACCCCTGTCTACAAATTGCGGCTGTTGGGCTCCAGGTTCATCTGTAGAACAATGGTTGAATTCAGGAGCCCTCAGGAACCTTCACCATGGTCACGGCTACGCAAGCAACAGCCAGCGCCCTTCAAAACATGGACACAACCTGGATTGAACACCCCAGGGGTCTGCTCAAGGCGGATCCTGCAAATCAGCTCAAACATGTTCTCTCTTTCAACTTCCAGCCATCCCTCATTCACCCCCAAAAACGTGCCCCCCCCCCCGCCCCTTCCCCCCTTCCCCCCCTTCCCCCCCTTCGCCCCTTCCCCCCCTTCCCACCCCTTAACCCCCCAAAAAGCCCCCCTCCCCAATCCGCGGCGCCAGATGCTGCGTTCCCTCAGCGGCCCCAGCGCCGGCGCCGCAAAAGGCGGCGGCTGCTTCGGCGGCTGCGGCCGCAGCTTCGGCTTCGGCGCCGTGGACGGCGCCGCCTTCGCGGCCGCCGACGGCGCCGGAGCCGAAGCCGTCGGCGCCGCAGAGGGCTGGCCTCCCCATGGCTGGCGGCGGGAGTTCGTGGCGAGGGAAGCCAAAGAACCAAACACGAAACAAAGAAGGAAAACCCAAACAAGGGCAAACCACGCAAAAACAAGAAGTCGCTGATTGAACACTGATTCACAAGGGGTTTTGAGGAAGAAAACAAAAGCGGGCGTGAACTTGTATTGGCGGCTCTTGGACAGCACAGGGGTGCCGCCAAAAGCAAGGGGTTGGATACCCACTTCGGGTTCGGACTCATCACCCACTATGATGTGTCCTTTTTTGGAGGGCACCCTTTGACTGTGGTTTTCTGAAAGGGCTGACCCTTTCACCTGATCTTTCCCTCTGCGCGGAGAACCAGATCGCTCACGAAAAAGACAAGCCAGCATGCAGTTCTCTCGCAAAAAACGGACACTCAAACCACATGGCCCCCGGAAACGGGGGAGAAACTCGATCGGAGAGCCCGCAACCTCCACCCCCCTCCCCTAATCCCTTCCAGCTAGTGAGACGCCTCGTCTTGGACTCCTTTGGCCCCGTTCCAACAAAGCGCTAGGCATGGGCCACCTGAACCCAGTAACCAAAACCAAATGGGTGTGGCTCAACAAAAAAAAAGAGCTCGGGTTACGCAGGTAGTCTTGAAAACGACCAGGCTGAGATTGCTCGATTTCGGTGTGATTCCTTGCCCATTCTTTTCAACCGCCGTTCTGCTCGAAAACCGGAGCCGTTTTCCCCGGGCTGAGTGAGGATTTTTGGAAAGATTCGGATCCCTCGAAAGAATGGTAAAGGTACCCCTAGAATTGCGGCTTCTGGGTGCCCATGAGACACACCTTGCGCCATGGTGAAAAAATCGTCGCCGCCGGGCCTGCGCGGGCCCTAAGCCAAGCCTCCTGCCACTTGCCGCCTGAGCGGCCGCCTGAGCAAATGAAGGCAGCCCTGAGCACCTTTTCGGCGGTCTACTCAGATGCCCAGTGGCCAGGGGAAAGACAAGGGCATCCTTTTCTGGTTGGTTGACTTTAAAGGGGATTCCTTCCCCACCCCCCCCCCCTCCCCAAAAAAGAAAAGGAAGCAACCCACTTGGCAACTTGGTCTACAAAGAGGGTTCCTCTCCACATGAGGGGTTGTAACTCCCAGGTTCACCTGCACGGCAGCCTGCATGTTTCGAGAAAATGACCACCGGGTTTGTATCCAAATGAAAGCGGATCATGAACCCCTAAAAGGGCGACAGTTGAACCGCGGGGGCTCCGTCCAAAGTAAGAAGGCAATCTCCGACATCCGAAATTTGAAGGCAGTTCAGAAGACACGAGCGCGTTCTTCTTTATGGGCTCCCTTCTCAATATTCAAAACCAAAGGAACCCTTTAAAGGAAGTGGGGTGGTTTTTGTTGGAGCCTACCTTCTTTTGGTTGTTGTTTCAACGAGGACCCAAGACGAAACGCCACCCGTTTCAGGGACCCTGAAAAGACGGGAATCCAAATGGCCTAGCGCGGACGCGAGAAGACGCCTCCATTCTCATCGGCGCCTCCCCATCCTCGCCAGCCTTGCAGGGCAAAACCGTGCAACGCAAAAAAAAAAACACTATGTTTGAGATCAGCTTGGCATTGCAAGCCTCACAAAGTGAACCGGAAAGTGGAGAATCTCGCACGGGTACTGCAACTGTGTAGGGACTGGACATACAAAGCCGTTCTGGGCTTGCCAGCACGTGGCATCAAGCGCTGTGCAGCAGTCCCATGCCAAAAAGAAGATGACGAAGGGAGGGCAAGTGCGGTGAATTCGCACCAGCCCCTCCCAAAGAAACCGCACCAAACATGAACTTGAAGTGCACCGGAAGCAATCCTCCGAGGAGAAATGCACCCACTTGACGGGCGCGAATGACCCGAAGCGTGCGCAAAAAGTGCGCCGCGAGCCTGAGAAGTTTAGAGATGCAGGCAAGCACCGGCCTTCAACCTATCACTCTTCAACCTATTATTATATAGTAAAAGCTATAAACGTCATTCTGACAGTTGATGTATCAAGAATTATGTCTCAAATTGCTTTTCCGGTTGACCCGAGGGAAGCGAGCCCCACATTCGCTGGAACTTCGTCGACATCTCAAGACGCTGAACCTGAGCAATGTGTTTCCCCTCTTGTTCCGCTTGAAAGCCAGAAAAACTAGGGGCACACCAAAAAAGACACACCCAATTTGGCATAATACTCAGCAGAAAGGCTGTGACTTAACTAAATCTTGGCACTGCATACCCGAGCGAATGCGAAGGCATCCCTCGACAGTAAATGTCTGAAAATATAGATCTGACGCTGAAAACCTACTTCTGCAGCTGAACACACCTGAAGCCTCACTCCCTTCCGGCAACCAGCGTCGCAACCGTCAGCTTTTCGTAACCCGCAGCGCAAGCACCGGCTGCCCGGACACAAATGCACCAACACAAGGCAGAGAGCACTTGGAGCGGAGCCTGCATTGTAGCAATTTGTGAGAACAGCCCTGACCCATTCAATTTCATTCAACAAAGTTACTTCCTCCAACATGGCACTGGGAAGGTACCTGAAAGATCCGTTTCCTCTTGAAGGGACCCTCTACCAGGTCATGAGCCGAGACTTGCCTGCGCAAGGGCCTAGGATCTGATAGGGTTAGGCGATTGCGAAAAGACGCGACAGCGCTCCAGACGCTGCAGATGTCGCATGGCTGCACAGACTGGAGGCAAGTCCACCAACAAGACAGCGCCAGATGATTGACGCGCGCGAGGGGGGCGCGCGCACAGCTTGCGGGTGCACAGCACTAGGGTCAATCCACTGGCAAGAGCCCCCGGGTCTGGTCTGTCACAGCTGTCGTGCCATGAATGTCAAGGAGTGGCTTTCCCTGCCCTTCCCTGCCTTCATCATTGGACTGCTTGTCCGGCCACTTGCTTTGGTCGCCAGACTGGATTTGCGCCCAGCCTTTGGTGCCTGTATGGTCTGGCCACTGGCCTTCAACAGGGTCGGAGTGGTCTGCCCACCTGTCACCAGAGGCAGTGTGGTCAACCCACTTGCCTTGATCGCCGGAAACAGAGTGGTCGTCCCACTTGCCGTCATTGCCATGGTCAGAGGGGTCTGCCCACTTGCCTTGATCGCCGGAGGCGGTACGGTCTTCCCACTTGTTGTGGTCACCCGAGGCGGTGTGGTCTGCCCACTTGCTGTGGTCACCCGAGGCGGTGTGGTCTGCCCACTTGCTTTGGTGGTTTGCCCACTTGCCGTTGTCTGCCCACTTGCTTTGGTCCCCAGAGGCAGGCTGGTCTGCCCACTTGTTCTGGTCAGGGCGGTCTCCCCACTTGCTGTGGTCCCCAGAGACAGGGTGGTCTGCCCACTTTTGGTCAGGGTGGTCTGCCCACTTGCTTTGGTCCCCAAAGGCAGGCTGGTCTGCCCACTTGCTTTGGTCCCCAGAGGCAGGCTGGTCTGCCCACTTGCTTTGGTCCCCAGAGGCAGGCTGGTCTGCCCACTTGCTTTGGTCCCCAGAGGCAGTGTCGTCTGCCCACTTGCTTTGGTCCCCAGAGGCAGTGTGGTCTGCCCACTTGCTCTGGTCATGAGGGGCAGTGTGGTCTGCCCAGCTTTTGTGACCAGAAGTGTTGTCTGCCCAGTTGCCTTGATCAGCGGTCTGATTGCCCTGCCATGTCCATCCTGGCGGCATGAAAACAAAACTCTCCCTCACTTGACACCAGGCATCTCATGGGAAACAGCTCAAAAATGCTACTTGCTCATCTCATGGGACACTCCCCCATGACTACTCGCCCCTTCACCAAAAAGAGGGTCCGTGTTAAACATCAGCCTACCAGAACCCTACACCAAAGGGGAACTCAATCAACACTGGCCTGATCCAAAATAATTATCAGAAACCATCTCAAGAAGGGAACTGTGTGAGTTCCGTGGATTCCCTTTTAACGACTGCAAGTTCATTTTTTAGTGGGTTAAATGGAAGCTACCACTAAGCCCTTAAACCCAAAAACCCTCAAAAACCTAAAAACCCTAAAGGGAATGGCCGGGAACCACCAAGAAACCAATCCCAATCCGAGACAGACCGGCCTCGACAAGCACACGCCCCGCCTTCCGAGGGCTGGGCGGGCCACTTCCAATCGCGAAAGGGGCGCTTCCTCTTGCATTGGCTCTGGAGCCAGTGGTAGTCTTCCTCAGACCCGAGCTTCCCCCCTGCTTCAAGGGGAGCGGGGGATGTTGGGGGGCGGGGGGGGTCCGGGGCCCAATTGCACCTAACTGGTTTTCCCCGCGATACGGCATGACGCTTAAGCTACCCGAACACCAAGGGACGGTCTGGACCATGTTCCTGTGAGACTATCAGGTTTCGCGTTGGCCCTCCTATTCCTTTGGTTGCGGGGAGTTTCTGGGTGAATGATACCCAAATGTTGGGAGTTGACAAAAGTAGGGCCACATAAGATCGCCAACAAATCCACCCCTACGAACGCAATAGAAACGCATCGGCTGCCCCCGTCCCGCCATACAGTGAAATGCGCAATGCATCTGGAACACGTCTGCAGAAGGGTTCCTTGGGAGTCGGGATGGCATACCTTCACGCATTGGTTTGTTCTGTTTATGCACTGGATGGAAAAACAATATTAAACAAACAAACAAAAAACTAATGCACCTCTTCCACCAAGAATCCCGCGAAGGCACGCGCGGCCGCTTGCGCTTCTGCACCACGCCCTGCCATTTTTCTTGCGGGTGTGGTTGTGGAATCTTACCCAGTATGCTCGTTGGTTGATGCAAAAACTGAAGTTGAAAAGGAGGCTGGGTGAACACTAGCTGTCCCAACAGATATGGGCGTATGTGTATATAGATATGTATATGCATATATCAACGTATATGCGTGTATAGCAATAAGCCCAGGCATATAATAAAAAGATAAATAAATATATATATAAGGTTAACCCCGGATTAATAAACTCCTGGTTGATTAATAGGGTGGTGTCCCCTTTTAGTGGGGATTCATTCATCACTCTTGGAGGGAACACCCCCGGAATAATGGGACGGGTTTATTAATCCTGGGTCAACATTATGTATATATATATATGTATATTATCTTTAAAAAAAGAAAAACGGGGAAGAAAAAAAAAACTCCACCCCCCACCCCCCACCCCCCACCCCACTCCCCACCACTCTTTCCATGTCGCCCCCCAAAGGCCTGCAACGTCAGCTGGGCGCCGACCCCTTTGTGCCGCTTCGCCGCCCACAGCGCCGCCTCCGCCGCCAGCCCCGCGCAGCGCGACGGCGGCCGCGGCGGCACCCTCCGGGCCCGCCTGAGGTGGAAGGGGCCTGGGGGCCTAGGGGTTGGTTGGGGCAGGGGCCTTGGGTTTGATTGGTTTGATTGGTTTGGGCTGGGTTGGTTGCGTTTGGGGTGGTGTAGGTCTGCTGGCTTGTGGGTAGGATGGGGTGGGGTTGGTTTGGGGGTGGTTCGGGGTTACCCTCGTATGGGCAATGTGTCAAGATAGGGATTTGACTCCACTTCGTTGACGAGTCTTAAAAAGCAAAACTCGGCTTGACCGAGGTCCAGGTTTGGGACAATTTCTCTGGCGGGCTCAATGTTGCACGGATCCTTCAAGGACACATCCCAAAACCACATGCTTTACAAGGATTCAGATCCTCTACATCAGCTAAAGTGGTGTTTCGACTAGCAGATGGTATCCGTTGGGCCCTGTGTAAGTAGCAGACCCGCGCGAAGAACAGGTGGGTGGGATGTTCAACCTTCTTAGCAACCAGGTTGCACACATGCTTGTAACTGAGGAAATTGGGGTTTAACACTATGGCAGTGGTTTGTCTTAAAATAGCCTTAAAACGTGTTCAAAAAGGGCACCATAGTTACAAGGACAGACCCATGGGTACAACCTATGTAGGTTGAAGATCGGCCCAAACTTCCCCATGCGCAGATTTGGCTGTGGGTCGAGACCAGGAAAAACCCCACATTTCAACCTGCGGCCCAAGTCCTGGTTCAATTTGTTGACCCATACCCAGTTCTGCAAGTCTTGCTATACCTCCAAAAGCTGAACCAAGACTTGGATCAACAGGACCTTTACATCCTGAGCCGGCTCCTTTTTTTCCCCCATCCCAGACCGGTGAGCTCGGATTCGCCCCGCATCCCAGACCCGGATTCGGATTCGAGCGGCAGCAGATGGTCCAGCAGCTGGCAGGCCAGCTCGCAGCTCAGCTCCTCCAAGCCCGCCTCCTCCAGCCTCGCGGGCGCCGCGGCGCGGACCTCACGGGGCGCGGACCTGACTCAGTGACTCGGGACCCGCCAGCTCCCGGGTGGCCACGCCAAGAAGCGAAGAAGGCATAGGGTTCTTGGAAGGTGTGGGAAGCAAGTCTAGGGGCACCTTCCATTTCCATTCTTTCCAGGGATCCGAATCTTTTCCCTGGGTGTTGATGGTTTCCTGAAAAGATCCGGATCCCTGGAAAGAATGGACATGGAAGGCGCCCCTCGACTTGCTTCCTACGACACCTTCCAAGAACCCTATGCCCAAGAAGGTGTTGTAGGAAGCAAGTCTAGGGGCACCAACGCCCAGGAAAGAACAGCTGGTTCTTGAAAAGAACAATGGTTGAAAAGAATGGGGGGATTCAAGCCCTAGAGCAAAGCTCCTTATGTCTTGGACTTGCGCCAGCCCGACTCAAAGCTAAACCGCCCACCCTCCGCAGCCCGAACGAACGTGCATCTTTTGCGCCTTGCGCAGCATGAGACGCACGTGCTCTGGGGTGGAGTTCTCCTTGCAGGGTGGGCCATTGACAATTGAACCATGTGAAAGCAGCTATGGGAACTAACGCCGGTAAACAAATACATCCAACAACCGCCCCAACCAAGATTTCTTTTTTGTACTTGTTAATCCCCCCCTGTGTATTTGGGGCCCTGGTCTGGCTTTCGCAACCATCCGCAGCGTGAATGGTAAGTCCTCGTTAGGGAGAAAAAACCAGACCCATCTCCGAAAATACCTGGAGCTTGGTTGGCCCCCTAAGCACCAAACTTCCTCCATAAAAAAAGCTCGCCGGCCCTTTTTGCGTGACTGGACAACTTCCTCTTTCTTGTCCGAGCGGTTGCCTTTTTCCCCTCGGCCCGTTGGTTGGCCGAGCGTGTTTTTTCCCCCTCGGCCCAACGGGAAAGCCCAACTTGCCTTGGGCTTCTTCTGCTCGATGGCCCTGTCCAGGTCCTCCCCCAGCTCCTGCCAGGCCTCGAAGTCGAAGCCCAGCTTCAGACACCTCGCGATCGCGTCCAGTCGGATCGAGTCGGATCGTCGGATCGATCCGATCAAGTTGATTGATCCGATCGATCCAATTCGATCGTTGATCCAAGCTGGGGGGCCAACAAGAAACGTCCAGGTTGTACCCTGGAGCACATCTATTCATCTGGGGTGAATTCATCGTTTCGCTGATTTAAACCAGAAAGTTCCAAGCTTGGTTGCTGCAAGCAACGACCCCCCCCCCCCCCCCGCGAAAAGTGAACCACTTTTTGGGAGAATTGGTGGAAAACACCTTTATTTCCCGAAAAGTTAAAGCGTAAAGATCCAACCCAATAGCAGTCAAGCAATGAGCCGAAAGCCGGGCTGGCAGCGTTAAAAATCCGCCGAAATTGCGAGGAACATGTCAAACCGGGCCGCCTTTAGGCAAAAAAATGAGTGGAGTCATAGGGGGGGATGTCGAATGGGGGTTCAGACCACTTTTTGGAGGGGACACCCCGGAAATCCGCGGGCTCGCATTCGTCAGAAAACCAGCTGAAGCCGGGCTTGGCCAAAACTGGGCCGGGGAGTGGTGCGGATGAACCACTGTAAAATGGCATAGGTGAAAGTAGCCCCGAATGGATGAACCAACCCCAGTTACCCTAACTACAACCACAATTGGAACCTACATAAGTGGGTTGATCATCCAAATGCGGAGATGACAGTGGAAGCTGACCATATTTTTGGGCCTTCATCAATCTGCTCACTTTATGTTTTGGGAGTATTGTACATTTGGCAGAGACGGCCAAAAGGCTTCGTGGCTTGTTTACGGTGATTCCCACTTGAATGGGATGGAGTCAACATCCTGTGCTGGTTTCCCAGGGGGTTGTTTGCTTAAGCACGTTTTGCACCTACCCCTGGATAAAGCTCTTTTTCAGGAATTATTACCAGAGGTTCATCCAGAATTAAGCCATACCTTGTGTTTACATAAGCCAAGGGCTGATCCATAGTTTAATCTGAACAACCACACAAATTAAGCACCATTCAGACCATTTGGGTTGAGAGCATCCAAGCAATATGGGTACCTCAAAGTGAGCATGTGAGGGGGTTTGGCAAAATTGCTTTTTGAGAGTGGTTTCCTTGTAAACAACTACATTTTAGGATCATGTTGACACTCTACATGTTCGTTTTTTCGGGGTTTTCGCCACCATGTGACCAGCATTTGAACTATCTTGGGGGTTGAGCATCCAAGTGCGACCCTCAAAACGGTGGTTTCACATCTGGATTTCCCACACCATGTAATTTTGAGCACACTGGGACCCATTCAGAATGGGGCTTTGTGGGTTGGCTCCATGGTTGCAGTGCCAACTCCCTGGTGGGCAAAGGGATGACGAAACAAACATATGTCGGAGTGCTCTCTAACTTTCACTCAACAAATCTAGAAATCACAGTCCAAAGCTCCAAACCACCAATCACCACCAGAGTTGTCCTTTTTCTCGAAAATAGATGGCCCTGGCAGATGATGGAACCACCAGGTGAACCCAGGGCCCTCTATTTTCCAACCAAGCCAACTACGAACACCTATGATCACCACACATGTTCTTGCCACACGAAGGCTCCTTCGAAGTTCACAATAGGAATCACTACAAAGGTTCTTCAGGATCCTTTCCATCTGGATGACCATCCCTGACCATGGCACATGTGGACCGCCTGGCGTACACCTCAGAGGGGTTTTGACATGGAACTCCTTTTGCACTCCTTTGTCTGGTATCTTGGAAAGGGACACCCCTGGACCAAAAAGCGAAACAAGGGCACCCCTGAAGGTCGTGGTATTGCTTGCAGACAAGTCTTCTTTGGGGGGTAAGGTGAAAGACCAGCATTCATTCCCCGGCCCTAAGCCCAAGGTCGGGCGTTGGGAGTGAGGGAACCATCCAACTGGTGGTTTCCTCTATTCGGGTAAATTCCCAACACCCGGAAGGTCATTCCCCACTTATCGCACCAGCAAGTTTCATCTGCAAATTTCGATATAATTCAACAAGCTGAAATAAGGGATCCCCGAATAGAGGACTTTATCATGGTGAGCTCGTTTTACCGAACCGGCGCGCTCGCCATAAAATAGGCGGGGCAGATTCATATATAGAACCCAGGAAGGAACCCAGAGGCAGGCAGATTCATATGGCTGTGGCTCAAAAAACCGGTACCAAAATGGAACCCTGGTAAGTGGAAACATGGACCAATTGAATTTTGAGCCACAGCCATATAGAACCCCTGGGTTCCTTTCCCACATTCCCCACTCGGCACCGATCGCAACCCGCAACCCGATCGCATCCTGCCTGAGGCGCTTGGCGCGGCAGGCCGCCAGCACTTGAAAGGCCCTGGGACCGTTCCGACGGAACGGTCGGCTGATTTGGCTGTGGGTCAAAACCCTGCCTTGTGAACATCCCAATCACCACTATAGACTAAAATGGGTGGTGCACCTATCCCAAAATGGTACCATTGGTTTTGACCCATGGCCATTTGTTTGACCCTCGGATTGAGAGCCTCCCTCCCGGGCGGAAGCGGCTTGGAAAGAGGGACCTGGGAGTAGTGCTTGGGGGGCTACAGCTCATCCACGTCTGACGCACCGAGGCAGCAAAGATGCATTTGATTTCGCGGGGTGATGGAGGTGAACGCGCTGCCGCATGTTCCCCCCCTTTTTCCCCCACTCTCTTGCCCCCTGGGTTTGGGGAGGTGTCCTGGGTTTCAGTGGGGGTTGAATTCATCCGGGGTTCCTGGGGCTCGCATCCGGTGCCCGATCAGTCAAGACAAATCGGACTGGTCGTTTCGTTTTCTGCCCTGAAGCCAAAATGAAAAAAATGTGCGCATCGAAAACAGCTTAGGTTCAAAATGGGAGGCCGATTGACTCTCAGCCCACCCTTACCGAAAGGTTTTACCATGGGACGTCAAACATTTCAAATGCGCGTAAGTACCCTCTCCCCCACCATCTGAAAGGCCATTCTTAAACGGACCCGCTGGTTTGCAATAAAGTGTAAACCGCCCTGTTGTTGTTGACCCCCAACCCCGCTAATTGGGCCGAAAGACCAAACAAGTAAAACACTGCTCCCAAAAGGCAGGCCCCCCGAAAAGGAAAAACAAACACTGGCGCTGGACCCCCTTCAAAAAACCGCTGGTGGCCCCCCCCCCCACCCCCCCCCCCCCCCCCCCCCCCCCCAGTCCCTTCGACCCCCCCGCCTGCCGGGCTCCAAGCGCTGCAAGCTCTGGCGCACCCGCCAGGGCCTCTTCCCCAGCAGAGTGCCCTCCGCCTGCAGCTCCGCCAAGTAGGCCTCCACCTGCGAGCGAGGGCGCGAGGACGCGGCGGGGCTTAGCCGCGTGGATGAAGAGCGGCCGGGCGCGTGGAGGGTTGGTGTTGTTACTGGCTTCTTGGCTGACAGCGTTGGGTCCGGTTTGGCTTCTTTGTTTCCGTTTGGCAGCAACTAGTGGTTTGGATTTGCTTAGGGATTTGAAGCCCTGGATCTTGTAGAGGTCAATGGAGCCGCCCCCCAAGCTCCAGACCATCCAAACCACCCACTACCGAGCTGGATCCATGCACCAGGCCTGCATTCCTTACCCCTCTCGGCCTGGCTGGGCGTCTTCTCCAGGTCATCGGTGATGGGGTAGTGCCAGGACCCTTCGTCCCTCTGCCCCGACTGGCAGCTCCGGATGAACCCCCGCAGCGCCTGACACGCAGGAAGCCAAGCGCCAAGTGCTTCAGCTTGCGGAGAACCCATGCGAAACCAAAGCTAGCGGCGCCCTCTCTTCACGCGGCGATCACCTTCAAGGAGGCCCCTTATCCCGGAAAGCGCAACCAATCAAATATGCTCACGACCATGCTCTCCTGCTTCCTGGAGGAGCCTGAAATTTGCACCCAGCATCAAAATGCATCATGCATGTCAGACCCACAAGGCGTCGCGAGATGCAATGAAAGGCCAACGCAGGCATGACTGCAAAACCCTTGGCGTCGCCTCCTTTTTGTCTTCCAGCGACAACTCGGACCCGGTCCAGTTATGCAGGGCTTTCTGCATGTGTTCGGTCCAAAGCTTGTAAGACTCCTTCCCCAGGTCCCGGTGATCTTCCATGATAGGCTGCAAATAGCCTGCGGAGAACGAACCAACCAAGCTAAGAGGTGAATGGGTATGGTGTTGTCACTGGAGGGTGGGTTTACTTTGAGCTTTTTTTTTGATTTTTAAGGTGGGCTTAGACTGCGCTTGGGGTGCGTTTAAGGCTGGGTAGGTTAGGATGGGTTTTGGTTTGCTTGAGGATTAAAGCGGGTTCAGGATAGGTTTAGGATGGGTTTAGTGTGGGCGAAAACTGGCCTAGCTCTCATTGAGGTTTAGGGAAGGTTTAGGGTAACTTTTTGGCTGCGTTTTGGTAGGGTAGGTTTAGGGGAGGTTTTGGGCCCATCAACCAATAGGTTAACACCGGTTTTGCTTAGAACGCAGCCTTACAACTGTGTCAAGGATCGACGGTGTATCGGGCCAATCGGGCCCCGACCAGGGCCTGACAATGCTGCTTTCCGCGTGGAACCCTCATGGAACACAGAGTGAAAATTTTGTGGAACTCTTTTGGAACACTCGTGAACCCCTTGAAAACCTTGTGGAGCCTTCCCTCAGGCTGCCCGGAACCCATAGCGCTTGCAGCCCACCCAAGTCATACTAAGTGATGCCAAGCATACTCTGCTGCGCGCTGAGTGCCGCAGCAAGCTGATCTGATTTGCAACAAAGCCAAATCCTTTCGGGCCGCGTTGTCTGAGCCTGTGAGCAAGTCTATACAATGAAAGTGTGCTCAAAACATTTGTTTTCGGTTTTGCTTGCTGTTCCGCCCATGAGCAAAGTGATCTCCTGACGCACGACGCGTTGCTTCACTCCACAGCAAGCCGTGGAACCCTGTGGAACCCTTGTAGAACATGTGCGGAACCCTTGTGGAACCTTCGTCGTGGAACCCTTCCTCGTAAAACTTAGTGTGAAACCCTTGTGGACCTGCCGCATGGCGCACAGCCTTGTGGCCTTGTGGGACCCTTGTACAACCCTTGTGAACCTTGCCTCAAGGCCACCCTGGACCACCCTGTAGCCCTCTTGTAGAACCCTCGTCGAACCCTGTGGAACCGTGTCTATGGTTGCGGACATGTGCGGAACTCTTGTGGAACGTTTGTGGAACCCTTGTGGAAATCTGGCGCCCCGGACCACCCCGGAGCCTATCTGGGCTGAGACCCCAAAGCTTTCAGCTGTTGGGGGAAAACAAAAACAAAAACAACGCCCATATGTCAACCCTGATGGAAGGAACAGAAATCGCCTGAAGGGCGACCTCTCTGATCTTGGGGAAAGCCCAGGAAACGGTAGCCGAGGGGGAACTCAACCCATAAAGGTGAGGTGGCAGTGACATTTTGGAGTTGGTACCTCCTTTTTTCCAATTTTGATGGGAAACCAAAAGGGAAACCACCTATTCCGGTGGGTCCCCTAAAACAGGACGCCACCATGTCCAAGGGAAAAACATGTTGGAACCCCACCCCTTCCGCACCTCGATCATGGAAGGCCAGAAGATCCCCCAAGGCCACGCAAGAGTGCTGCAACCCCCCCGGCAGTTTCACCTTCATCAGTCCCAGGTGCCTCGGACTTGTCCGCATTTGTTGACCAACATGGCAAACCAAAAACTACAAAGTCCAGAATCCAGACCCTTCTGTGCGAAAACAGCGCGTGTTGGTTTGTTTTTTCTGAGGCTCGCCATGGTTTCAACAGGGACTTTTCTTCCCCAACCCATGAGGAAGGAGAAAAAAAGAAAGAAAAAAAAAGGCGTGGCCAAGAGCCAACGACCTGGCCTCTCTCAAAACCTTCGGAAGGAACCTGGAGGATGAAAAAAAGATGCCTTGAGAAAAATGGATGGATGTATCGGAAGTTGAGCTCCGTGGAAAAGGCGTCAATGGGCTCCTAGTACCCCAGGCAGGCAACGCAGAACCAACACCGGCAAAAGACGAGTCTGCTCAGAACCTACGTGTGGCAAGCGGACTGCATCTCGGTCTTCGTTGGACCCGTTGGCTTGAAAGCGAAAAGGACTACTTGATGCTGTTCAAGAATCGTTTTGAGGTGCGAATTCGTCAAAAACAAAAAGCAAGGCCTGAGTCTCCTTCTTGAAAAGGCGAAAGGCAATAGTAAATGATTGGAGCGAAACTGAATCCAGTGGGGTTCCCCATCTGCGTTCAAGGCAACCACAAAAGGATATGCTCAATTAGAGGCCTCTTCCTTGAAAAGCTGCAAGTTCACAGTGTCCAAAAAGGCGAGCGCCGCTGTTCAAAGGTTCCAAAAAGGGAAATGGATAAAAAACAAATCTGCCCAAGGCAAACTCCAGCTCGTTCCCTGCCAAGGTTGCAGGAAGGAGCCTGCCGTCTCCAAAGCTGTCAGCACGTTGTCCTATCAGGGATATGCAAAAAGGCCGCCGGGTCTCAAAAAGTGGGCATGCCTTGTTTGGAGTTGGTACCCCGTTTTCGGGATGGGTTTGAAGGGAAACCAAAAGGAAAGCTACCCTGAACAAAAACACACCCAAACGCAGATTTGCTTTAATTGGATCTTCAACCCACCTAAGACCTAGGTGATTAATCACCATAAGGGGACTAGCCTCAACCCCTATGGCCATTCATTGAATGGGTGTCAATTAGCAAGGCATCCTTTGCCTTGCCGACTTTGAGTCGACACCCAAAGGTGACCGATTTTGGCACATCCCCACCTCAATGCCCCGGGGACCGCCCAGCACTACCAGGATCTCCCGGATGGGCTTCTCCGGCTGCTGCGTGAACATGGACAGCCCCGTGCCAAAGGGCCGCACCTTTGGCAGAGAGGTGTGCTTTTGTCTTTTCGGGTTGAGGGAGGTCAGTTATTTTTTGGTCCCCCCATTCTAAGGAAGATCCACCAGAGCCGCACCCAAAAGCATTGGAATTTGACCAGAGCTGTCGCTGTTTGGTGTCAGGCCAAACCAATTAGCAACTAAGTCCATGCGACTCATAGATCCAGCACCTCGAAGCCGTCCTTGTCCAGAAGCAGTCCTGACGATCCGTTCAGAGTTCCTTCCCTGCCGATTTTCGCACCGATCCCACGTCTTTTCTCTTTTTTTATACGAGAACGCTGGTTTTCTTGGGACATGTCCAGCATCTGGGCCCATGGGCCTTGGGAGGCTGTTTTAGCAGTGGCTGTTGGATCGCTCTGGGGTCTGTCTCTCAAAAGTGAGCTCTGGGCTAGTCTTGATGGTTTGGGGCGGGTGACGCTGGGGATGCGAGCAACCAACCAACCAACCAACCAGCCAGCCAGCCAGCCAGCCAACCAACCAGGGGGACGCCCTAGTTGGAAAAGAAAAGAAAAAAGCCAACGAAGCTCACTTTGATCGGCCCAGCTCCCAGCCAGTCCTACGCTGACGCCGCCCCGCTCTTCCGCCTGCTTGCTCAGCTCTTTGGCCTGGCGCAAGGGTGTGACTCGCGACCACCCAGACCAAAACCCGACTCGCGAACCCCGAATTTCAGGAGCCCCTCGAGCTGGTTTCCGTCGACCCTGCGGCTTGTCAAAATCCCCAACGCGAGACATGCCTCTCTTTCTTCTTTTCGCGGAGAAGGCTGCGGAGAACGCATCCCGAGATCTAGATTGCTCCAATCCCGATTTTTTGAGATTCGGATTCGCGCATGCCCTTTTCGGACTCAAATCCCAAATCACAAATCCCGCGCCCCACGATTCCGAGGATCCCGTCGCCTTCTCCTCCATCCAGCGCTCCCAGGGCTGAGTGCGCCTCAGGAGGGCACGAGGCATGAGCACTGGGAATTGATATCCCAAACTAAGAAAACAGATTCTGCCAGCGCTAGACATCTCCTTGTCACTTGATCTTCTGGAACCATATTCAAGAAACTCTGGAACATCTAAGTTTAAACTTGCAACCATCTCTCAGCTTCTCCCTACTGGGTGGTTTGGCTTGGGGCTTTAGAGGTTCGGAATTGCCCATTTGCCCTCAAGAACAGAGTTCAAATTCAACCCCAACCACCCATCCAACATACGAATTTAGGGTCACGTCTGCTTGCGTGTTTCACCCACTACGGTTGAACTGGGCTGGGGTAACCACCAATCGAAACTCAAAACCGCCAAGGAAGCTGAATGGGTATGTGTCAAATTGGGGGGGGGGGGGGGGGCCGAAAGATTGGCATCAGTTGTCCTGTTGGCTTCAACCTAACAGCCAACCTGAGAAAAGGTACCAACGCCATTAAAAATAGTAATAGTTAAGACACCCAGAAGGACTCCAGAGCTGTCCGGCTTTCAAAGGCCCCAAAAAAAGAAAACATGTTGTAAAAACACATTGGCATAAACATGATTATGTTTGCGGGTCAAAAATAGGTACCCAAACTGGAACCCTGGAACAACAGCAATAACCATGATAGGGAAATGATAATAATAAACAGCAATAATGATGATGATTGTTCTCAAAAAAACAATAATAATAATAATGATAATGATAACGGTAATAATAATAGAAATAATAACGCGAAATAATGTATATAATAACAAACCAACAAACAAACAAACAAACAAAAGCAAGCTAAAAAACAAAAACCTTAAACACCAAAACCACAAAAAAAATGAAAACTCGCTCACCAGCAGTGGCCAGCCTCCCCCCCCCCATCCCGCCCCAAAAAAAAGAAACCGAAACCAACCGAACCAAGAGCCCGCGCCAAGGACTCACCGTCACCCCGCAGCTGGCGGGCGGGATCTCCCGCCGCGACACCGCCAGGGCGGTGCCTCGCTCGAACTCCCCGATCCGAGCGAATCGATCGCCAAAAACGCGAAGAGAAACAGAGCAAACGGGGAGCAGAACTTGGTGGGCCAGACCCCTGCAAGAAGTGAACCACTTTTTGGGGTTTTGTGGAAAACCCAACTTGATGTACCAAAAAAGTTCAACCCAATAGCAGTCTAGATAATGTGTACAAATGTCTAGGGGACACTTCCGCATTCTTTCCAGGGATCCTTCTGCTCAGAAAACCATCAGTCCCCAGGGCAAACAGCTGGTTTTTGAAACGAACGAAGGTTGAAAAGAATGGGGAATCAACCCCGAGAAAATGTTGCACAAATCCAAAATCAAAATGTGTACAAATGTATCAAAATCAACAGGTGTACCAAAATCTCAATGCGATTAATTTATACATCACAGTCAACATGTTGAGGCACAATCAACATGGGAACAAATCGAAATGTGTAAAAGAAATAAATCAACTGGGGGGCACCAAACGAAAAGAGACAAAACGTGCAAAACTGACGAGAGAAAAAGAGGGGGGGGAAACTTCCCATACCTCGAACAAGGAAACAATATGGTATTCGAAGAAAAACAAGAAACAAAACAGGGAACGAAAACTGCCGATCAAAGGCGTCGCGTGGGAAACCAAAAAATGGAAACCCAACCACAAAGGAAAAACGGTAAGCCGGTGGTTTCCTGTGCCTCTACAACCAGGGATTCAAACCCAAATCCAAACCAACTGCGGGTTTGCCAAACAACAAAAACAAGGAGAAAAAAAGAACTAAAAAAGCGAACCCGACCACAAAAAACACACTTCCCCTCTATTTGCGAATACGTGCCCTGACCAAAAGATGCATATTCTCAGCAGTGATAGGTTTCCAGCCTCTTGTTGATGATGCAACAAATAAACATAAGAACACAAATAACAACAACCCACCCCCCACCACAAACACACACACACACACGATTGGGAACCCAGCAAAAACATGGCCTGGATTTACACAATGAAAGTATCTCCAGCCCGACCCCCCCCCACCCCAAACAGAACAACACGAAAGAAAAGAGAGAATGGGGACACATGAGGAAAAAAGCAATGAAAAATGCCCCCATGAAAAAAAGCGGCCAGGAAGAACAAAATGACGAAGTACATGTACTTTGACATCGGCGCGCAAAAGCCACATTGCCTAAAAGGAGCCTCGTTTCACCTAAAGGACCACATTCAAATGGCTCAGTTGCCAATCCTCACGCCCGGGATTCGGGGTTCTCAACTCACGAAATAGATCAAACACATGAACATGAAATGCCAGCATGGTCATCGAAAATAAGCCTGTATCATGTTTTGGCCTCCTTGCTATGAAACCAACGCACTACCTCCCAAACACACCATTCTTAGCATTTTGCATAAGTTGCTGGCCAAGAGACCCCCCCCCCGCCGTAGCATAATTGAACCAATTTGGGTGTGTCTTCTTTGAGGGACCCTCGACAATTGTGGTGCTGCTTTCGGCTTTCCTTTAAAAGACCTCCGACAAAAAGGTACCAACGTGCGGGGGGGGGGGGGGAAATACTACCCCCTGCATGGGTGACCCTGAAGGTGGTGGGTTCCTCTTGGTGTCCCTTTTTTAAACACCCTCAGAAAAAGAGCGCCCTTCTTGAGAAACGCCCCATACTGTGGATGGATGAAATCCATTTCGCACTTTGAAACCATGGGAAGCCATAATTTGTTGGTATACAGGGGAATCATCATACCCGGATTTCTTTGGTGGTGCAGGAGTTTGTCCATCCACAGTTTCTTCTAATTTTAACCACTTGAGCCACAATCAAAACCCGGTACCTAAATGGTCGACCCAGAACCACGTAAAGAACTAAGAAGGCGGCCGCAGCTATTTATGGTTGGGATTGTCCCTTACTAACCTTCATCCACCCGGGTTTTGATTGTGGCTCACTTGGCCTCCCTCTAAGGAGGACCACCTGTTGAGTCCGGCCCCGAGGCGCCGAGGATGTGATTCTCTGTGAGGGACCGCTGGTCCACCGCCAGCAGAAACCGCTCGAACTGCCTGCGGCATTTGGCCGCGTCGGCTTTCTTTTTTTGCTTCGGCTCAGCCCCGTGATCACGGGTACCGACGCTTTTGACGCGGCGGGGGGGGAGGGAGGGAGGGTTGGGGGAGGGGGTGGGGGGACGGGGGGAAGCAAGATTGGGAAAGAAGGCCTACCTGCTTTTGAGGGCTGACGGGGGACCGGTTGGTTGGGGGGGGGGCTTTGTTGGGGATTCCATTTTATCAGGGGTCCTCCTAAACTTAGTTGACATGGTTGTCCCATCATTTCGGGAGCCTTTGACACTTAACCAGGGACAAGCTCCCTGGACCCCGATTCGAGGGGTCCGTTCAACAAGCACAAGCAAACCCCCTGCAGATAAATGTTCGGCTCCTTCCACAAACCCAAGCAGGGCAAGGAAGGGCTCAAAAGAAGCCCGGGCTTTGGTTCTACCATGGCTGAGGTAGAGGTTGGCTTTGCCTTTAGTTATGACTCAATGAAAGCAGGCAGTAGAACCACCCGCTAAACCGGCCGATGCTTCTTTGGACGCTGCTCCACTGGAATTCCTTCGAGCCAACTGCATACTGTTGACCCCATATGAATCAACCCCAGTTTATTGTCCCTGGGTTTCGTGGGGAATCACTGTCGGAGAGGAACACCCCCCAATTAACAAACCGAGGTTGAAGGTGCACATTCGCTTCCAGCCTGAGGTCATAGGAGATGCCCAGCTTCGGCGAGAGGCAGTGAAAGGCGACCACGTCCTGCGATAGATTCGTCGGATTTGCTCGCGGCACGTGTGGCGCTCGGAGGTTCAGACCGCTGAAGTAGGCTGCAACCCTGATGCGGAAATTCCGCTTCTGCTACCCCGACTACAACCACGGTCATAGACTCATGATGCCTCCTTGACGCATCCACCAAGGAAACGTTGAACATCTCAAGGGAATCGGCTTCCCTTGAAATGCTGGTTTGGTTTGGTGTTTACCCAGAAATTCAAATCCAAATCCGAACCAATCCAATCCCTTTTTCAGGGTTACCCTCCCACCAATCTACATGGAACCTGAAGGGGGCCTCTTCATAAGGAAAATGGTCCAAACCACCCCGAACGTCAGGTTTCATGTTAATTATACGACTATATGATTGGTGGGGTGCCTGAAAGGGACACCCTCTCAAGGCGAAAAGCGGAGCTTGTGCACGGACGGATGGGCTGGTGGGCCAGATCCGCGCCTGGCGAAAGCGCGTGCCCGAAGGCCCGTCGACCATCCGCAGCGTGGCGCTCATGTTGTCCAGCCGATTTCTGGCGGGTGAAGTTTGGCTCACTTGCCCAAAGGAGTTGGAAATAAAAGGTTAACCTTTTGGCACCTCTACTAAAAATGGACCAAAATGGGAAAACCAAAAGGTCAAAAGGTTGGCTTTGGGCAACTGAGTTGGAGCCGAATGTGTGGTTTGGATTGGTTAAGGAGGGGTCTGCCCCGGTGACCCGCCAGAAGAACCAGGGAACCAAATCCAAATCCAAACCAACTAAGGGCTACCTGAAGCGGATTGGCCAGCAGAAAACCTGCAAACTGTTTGTTTGCCACCAACATCCAAATGCAAAAGTTGAAAGCTCAGGAACTGAGTAGATTTTGGGACCCGGCATGATCAACATTCACTGCGTCCTTGGCATCCGTAGATTTTCCTTTCAAACATCCTCCCACCTGATGAAGCTTGCTTTACACCAGCGAAGGGTGAGATATAAATACCCCAACAAATGAAGGACAATGTCTTGCTTGTCTCAAATTACAAGGGGACCCCCCAGAAAAAGGAAAAAAATCGACTCTGCTGGGCTGTCCTCAGAGCCCCTGCTAAAAGTTTAACTTTTGGTGGGGCAAATGGAAACCCAACATCCAAACCAGCTAAACGTCCATTTGGCTAATGCCCCAGGAAAAATAAAAATATGTCCAGTAGCGATGAGTTCCTTCTAAAACCAACAAGGGAAACATATTCTTAAGCAGCTGGAGGTAAAAGTCTGAAAACCTAAAGCATCAGCTCCCAAAGAGCTTTCCGTCCTCCAGGTGTCTGCCGCATGGCCGCACACGAAGCACCGGCCAGCGCCATCTTTGCCGGTAGTCTCCTTGATGATGTCCCGTTGCTCCAAGTAGATGCCGTGCTGGTTCTCGCCCTGCGACTCAACATGCGTGTCGTTCCAACTGTCAAGTTGGGTGCCTGCGCACCAAAAAATGGAGAAACCAAAAAACGAGGCACGTGAAGTCCAGTGTGTGTTTTTCCCTCCAACTGTCGTCCATGGAAACTCGGTGCGTGCGGAGAAGAAAAAAAAAGGCTGGCAGCAAAAAAAAGAGCACGTGGAGTCTAGAGTCGTGAACTGTGCCATCTCTCAAAAGTGTGATTTGCGTTGTTACTTCCATAGGGGTGTGAAAGATGCAACCCTCTGTGACCCTCTGCGAAGGTCCAAAGCGGGAAACCAAGCAAACAACTTTAGAGCGAGCCGTATTGATTTGGAGGGCCGCCCAAGTGTCCCCTGCAAATTGGACCACCCTGGCTTCGATTGGGTTAAAATCATCGAGAGGGGCTCCTTGCGCTTCGCCCCAACCTACGCGAAAACTGCATTCTTCACGAGAAATATCTTGCTGGTGCTCGGTAAGGAATGTGGGAATGAACCTAGGGAGTCCCTTAAAGGAAACCCCAAGGGAAGGTTTCTAGAGAGAACGGGCCACGAAGCTGACCTCGCTGAAAGATTGCCAGGGGTTCCAGGCAAATCTTGCACGATCCAATGCCGCAGTTTTGTAGTGTTTCTCAGTGTTTGTGTCTGAGTCTTTCTTCTTGTTCATTTTGCTGATGTCCTCTTAATCCCTGGCACGCGCCGTCAAGCGTGTACAAGCCATATGCTTGCACTGGGCCTCTGGAAACAAGACGCGAAAAGCTGCAAGCCTCTGCCTTTCATTGGATTCGCCGCGCCTCCCAGTAGAGAATGTGATACCTCACATTATCCGTCGCCATGAACCTTCCCTGCCCAGAAAGCGCCAAGCGCGGGCGTCGAACATGGCGGGCAAATGGATGGAAGCCGGGTCCTGGGTTCCGTGCCCATGTTTGCAGCTGCAGGTGGCCTGAAGGGGGCGCTCTGCCAGTTGTTGGGTCCCCTAGTGTTGTAGTCCATTCTTTTCAGAGACTCTTCTATTCAGAAAATAATCCAAGCTCAGAGAATCTTGGTGGCTCAAGCTCAAGAGATTGGTGGTTTCTCGGTGGCTTCTCGAAAGACTGCCGGGTGAAAAGGGGATCAAACTGTAGACAACCATTCACCGACTTGAAATAAGCTTGACTTCGAGAAAGCAACCCTCGTGAGTTCTTTCTCCCCACAGACTAGCTCACATGCTTAAGGCCCGCTGCTCTTTCTGGTGTGTGTGTGTGTGCGTGTGCTTCGGTGCCCCTAACACATGGCATCCCTTCCGCTGAGTGGGTCTGCACGTGTTCCCTCATGCGAATCACTGGGTCCCTCGGCCCCTCCGAGCCGAAAGGCGGGCGCCGCGCGATGGTTCCATGGTTCCGTTTTCGGGGTGATTGGATATGGGTTCTCAAAAACCTGCAGCGGTTCCTTTTTGGACGGGCCCATCTCTGCCGCCTGAGAACAAGGGATACCAAAAGGGCCGCTTTGACAAAATTCCCGGGGCAACGCCGGCTCGCAAGTCGCATCCATTCGGTTTGAAGAGGAAGTTCAGGGTCCTCGGTCCCCATATGTCCCGATGTCAATAACAAGGTTCTCGGATATTCGACGTATGGATCTTCCATCCACGCAAGCCACGGCAAACCCCAACCCCAGTTGGGCGTGGCTTTTCCCAGGGGACCACCCCAAAAAAAAAATATGATTGTCCTTTTGCTCTCTCAAAACACACCCCGGAAACAAAGGACACCCCCCCAAAAAAAAATGAAGAAGAAAAAACAAATGAGCACTGCCTTCGCCGGTTGGACATCCCTCCAAAGAACCCCAGGGCTACATCCAACGCAAGCCACGGCCCTAAGCTGGGGGTAGAGCTCCTTGCCCACAAGCTTCACGCCCTTCAGGGCGTTGAGGTAGGTCCAAATGAAGATGATGGTGGGGTCCCCGCCGGCTCCTGGCAAGCAAGCGAGCCGGCAAGCCAGCGAGCAAGCAAAGCAAAGCAAGTGCTTCTTGCTTTTGAGCATGTTCGGGGGGAAGGGTTTTGAGTTGTGATTGGCTTGCAGAAGTGAAAGCTTTTCCTTTGGGAGATGTCTGCTTTGCGTTGATTGGTGTGGCCTGCCGCCCTTTTCAGCGCCTCGCTTGTGGCTTTTCTGCTCGCGGCGCAATTCGGGGCGATTGCTCGGCTCTCCTGCCGCCTTGTGCCGCTTCAGGGTCAGCAGCTCATACCTCAGCGATAGGACCCAGATGGGACCCAGAAAAACACCTGTGGATGGTTGCGAAGTCCAGAAATCGCACCGTTCAGAAACCCTGGACATGAGGGTTCCCGTGGTAAATACCAATAAAGAACGGCTTCCCATTGTTCCCAAGTGGTGCAGGATTTTGTCCATCCACCGTAGGTTGACCTTTGGAACCAAAACACTAAAAGTTTGCGGAAAGCACAAAAGCCGTCAACAGGCCTTCGTCAGCGCCGGGCTTCTTCAAAACCCCTCGGCCACAAAAACCCGTACCCAGTCAGATCATTTGCAGAAGTCATGTTCAAAAAGCCACCCAAAGGGAAACGCACCAAGAAACCCACCTAGAACCAGTTTCTGAGGGCACGTGGTCACGCTGTAGGAGTCAATCTGGATGGCGTTGAAGGTGGTAAGCACCAGCAGGACCACCTGGTCGCGAGAAATTGTCGCGCCAAAAAAATGTAAGGCTGAATGTATACGACCGGAAAATGAACCCCTGGTATGAACCCTGCACCCGGATCGGAATCCTAATCGGGGTCATTGAAACCCTAGTTCATGCGGTAAAGAAAGCCTGAGTTATGGCTTATTCGTGGGAAATCAGCCCCCAAAAAGGGTGCTGCCGATGATTTGTGGATGAGGCTCCTATGCTACACGCGAAATGCGCGAGTTGTGAGTGGCGCGGAAAAAGCAGAAGAGCATGGCTGCTCAGGAGGGCAAACTGGCAGATGTGGGAATCAAAATTCTGTGATGCCAATGTGGATCATTCCCATGACTACTGCTCTAAAACCTGGCATCAGCTTGCAACCCGAACATTGGTTGCAGCCAAAGCACGACAATGATGTAGGAGAAGAGGATGATCGGCGCGACCTGACACGGGCACACACACACACACACACCGCCCCACAAAGGGTAACCGTACACCTGCGCTGCGACTTCTTGTGTCCACGGTCGCTTTAAGCAGGTCGCTTCGACATTGCACTCCCCCCACATGTCCCCCAAGTATCTGGGCAAGTCACTGTATATACCGGCCCGCTTTTGGGGGACATAAAAGGGAAGCCAAGAGGAAATCCTGGCACAAATAAGCAATCCCGAAGTGACCTTCGGGCCCACCGGGCAAGCAAACCTCGCCCCAAGAAGGTGCGAGCCAGCTCCGGCATCGCCAGTGAACTGACCAATCAACCTGCTCAGAAAAACGGCCCCTCGGCTGTTGCCCGCAACAAGCCGAAACTGTCCGGAGGGCACTAGAAACAGCGGGAAATCCTCGGCCAATCTTTTTGAGCTAAAATTGATGAAGCAGACAGATTCCCTCTTGCTCGTCCGGGGCCGCGGCCAGGCTGTTGGTCTTGTCCTTGGCACACACCCCGCGCGCATGGCATCCCTGATATTTCGCACAAACCTGGGCTGCCCTCAGATCCCCTGCTAAAAGTGAATAGCGTTTAGTGGCTCAAAAGCCCCCAAAAGCCCCCAAAAGCCCCAAAAGCCCTGGAAACCCAACATCTCAACCCCAAAAGCCCCCCAACGGCCAAGGAACCGGACGGCTGGCCAAGAAACGGCCCGCACTTCACAACTTCTGAACCTCGGGCCTCCTCGCGCCGAGGTCGGCGCAATCACCGGGCTCAAGTCCACGCCGCCCGCGGGCGCCACGGCCACCGCCACCTGGGCCGGGCCGCTGGGCCAAGTCTGGCGGCTCCACTCGGAGCGTGGCACTCCTTCCTGGCTGACGCTGGGGTTGGGGGGGGAGCAAAAAAAAACAAAGCTTGGCAGCTCAGTGGTAAAAACATGTCAACCACTAAACCACAATAAGCAAAATGCAAAAAAGAAGTTGCCCAACAACAACCATGCCTTGGGGGTTGCGCCCTTTAAAACGACAAAAGGTCAAGAAAGTCCCAAATGTGGAAGAAGAAGTCTCCCCAGTGGGGTAGCAGCGCAAAACGGGAAACTCCCATCGGCCCTCTTTGTGCCATGGATCTTTCACGGTGCCGTCAAGTCGATGCACGACTCAAGCTGAGAATCCGCACGAAGGTGCTCCAAATGCTGTTGTAGATCCCTTCCTGCGGAAAAGCCATCTCCGCCATGTGGCAAAGGGAAGCTTTGCATGTCATGGGACTGGGTGGAACCAAGGGATGCCCAAGTTCAAAGTTTCTGGCTGCCACTGTCCCAAAAGGTGCGGTTTCAACCCAAAACAGCGACATCTTGGGACGGGACCCCTGGATCCATGTCAACCTCTTCCCTTGGCTTCCAAACGCCTCCGCTGGACCAACCCCTCTGCAGGCCTCGGTGCCGAAGCCAATGTAGATGGCAACCTGGCGGCGGGGGAGGCAAGCCGCTCCTGATGTCAAGTGGAGGCTGCTTATGTTTGCAAAAATGATGCCCCCAAGTTGGCACAGCAAATGCTGCCAGGGGTGTGGGAATCGCAACCACGTCTGTGATACCGCTGCGACATCGGCATTGCAAATGGCAACCTTCTTCACTGGCAGGGGCTTTCACAACACTCGCTCACTCCATCGACCCTGGCACAAGCAACCCCCATTCTCGTACCACCGGCAAGCTGCATCCCTCTTTCACACAACAACGTGCAAGGGGTTCTCAAACACACACACACACACACACACACACACACACACACACACACACACACACACACACACACACACACACACACACACACACACACACACACGAACAAACAAGCAAAACAAAAAACAAAGAACAAAGCAAAAAATCAACCCAATCAAAGAAACCGACCAAAACAAACAAACCAAACATACCAAACCAAAGCCGAACCAAACCAAACCAACAAAACAAAAAACAAACAGCCGTGCGCACGAGGCCCAGAACAAACCGCGACAAGCGATGCGGGAGGCACCGCAAAACCGAACAGGGCCACGGACAGCAGGGCCGAGTATTTGATCAGGGCCTCAGAGCTTGCATGAGGACTGCCGGGCATCCCATGCCTCCCTCTCGTACTGCTTTCAAGGGTGTGGTTCTGTATGGGTGTGTCTTTAAAAAAAAAAATGTATCGAACCCCCCCCCCCCCCCGCCCAAACCGAAAAAAATGCGATTCGGGGATTTCCCAAAAATCGGTTTTAAAAAAGCTTCATTTGAAACGATCGCCTCGGAAACCCTGCGGAAACAAATGATTACATTTGGATTTCGGTTGTCCTATTGATTTCCCTGTGAAACCACCAAATCTTATGAAAGGGTGCCAACAAAATCAGAGCCTTATTGTAGGCTCCGCGAGATTATCTCTCCCCTGCGATCGGTTGACGGTGGCTGGGCTCACCAGAGAGTCGCAGACTGGCTACCATGGCACCTCGGCAAACTTACAATGCTCTATATCTATATATGCATTTATTCGTTTATTGACTTCTTCAAGCTCCAAGCTGAAACTGGCAAAAATATCTGAAAAACCGGACGCCCCCAGTACAAAACCACCTTTCTCGCGGGCTCGTGCCGCCTCCGCGCCACGAATAGCCGGGGGCCGCTTCCCGGGGTCCCCGCGATGAAGCAGCGCTCAAAGACCCGGACGAAGGGCAAGAACCTGAGGCCGAAGCTTCCGTCCGACGCCAACAACTTCGGAGCCGGGTGGCGGTTTGGGAGTTTGGGGGTTGAGGGGGGGTTCCCACGAGAACGGGTTCAAATCCAAATCCAAGCCACCAATCAAAAGCAGCAAATCGTAAAATTTGGAGGCCTGGGAATGTTAACCCCGGATGAAGTTTAAACCCCTTGAAAATTTATCGGGGGGTGTCCAATTCCCTTTAGTGGTTGGATTCAGACCACTTTTGGAGGGAACACCCCCCGCATAATGGGACGGGTTTATTAATCCTGGGTCAACGTTAATTTGGGGTGAAGGAGGGGGGTTCCGCCCATGTACCCTCCACGAGAACGGGCTCAAATCCAAATCCAAACCACCAATCCAAACCACCAAATAAGGGGCACCTGATGACATGTGCTTCCAAGGGTGCAAAAAGCTTGGTGAGTGTCCTGGTTGGAAATTGAGTGCGTCCCCCTGGCTGTCCCTCCGCAATGAATCTACTCTGGAATATGTTTCAACCACTTTGAAAGGGCCAGGAAGTCTCCAAGTTTGCCCCAACATTGGCAAGATCTCAGCCCCGAGTCAGAGGTCGAGGAACCAAAATGGCCGCCGCTTTTTCCCGGGGTCGTCTGACCGAGGACGGCTGGCTCCAATTGCATGTCGCCAGTCAACCACTGCCCTCGGAACGCTGACGCACCTACATATTTGTATATACACGTGCGTGTTTGCATACATATATATATATATATACATATACTTATTGATTTATTTCTACATATATAAGTCCAGATACATACACGTATATACATTGTGTGTGTGTGCGTGATGTAACCCACTTGCTTTCAGACTGCTGCACCGGCAAGGCCATCTATGCCACCGGGCGTTCGCGAGAGCGTCAAGTACTTGAGCACGCGAAGCCAAGTGATCTGGGCGGGGAAGGCTTGCACGCGCGGAGGCTCGAGAAGCACAACAGGCCGCCTTGCTTTTCTACCACGCGTCGCGATTCAACCAGCGGCTTGTACATGGGGATGAGTTTTTCTCAGATTCTGGACCCAAAGAAATGCGGTTGTCCCTTGGTTTCCCTTTATAGCCACAAAAACATGTACCCTCGGAAAAAGATACACCCACATGACAACTGACCCGACCCGAGACACAGCCGATGGAGACAGCTCCCATTCCTTAGGCCCTTGCCAAGCCCAGCAGCGCTTGCAGCCCCATGACCAACTCCATGTTTGGCACCTCAGGGCACGAGGGGACAGACTGACATCAGGGACCCTTTGTTTGTGGTTGGCTTCCGTTTCTATTTGGACCCCTGTTTTGTGTTTCCACACAAAAAAGCAAAGACACCCCCCCCCACCACTTTAGAGGGTCCGATCCCCCAACAAAAGCGACAAACCACCCATAGGCTCCCCTCAAACGCCGAAGTCAAAAAGACCCCAACGCTTGGACGCGGCAAAGGAAACCCGGCCGTACCTGACATGCCCAGATTAGGATCTTGTTTTCAAATGCGACCGGAGACCTGGCGCCGGGAGACTGAACCACTTAACAACAAATAACTAAGTGGTTTTCTACAAGGCTTGTATATATAAAAATATATAGACATATAAATATATATATATATCCCTATATAGATACTACATATTTGTTTCATAGTTTTATAGTTCTCCTTTAAAGAAGCCTGAAACTTGCAGTTCAGACTCCCTAGTAACATGCCCAGTGCCCGGATATAAACTTCATGTCCTCAGCCCGGGGCCAGCGTCCCGATGGGATAGAACATCTCCTGGCAGCGGCGAAAGGCTCGGCTCGCATTCGATGTGCGGTCTTCCCGAGGGGAACCCCACAATTTGCGAACCACTGTGGATGGACAAACTCCTGCACAAAACCTGAGAAATCCTGGAAGGATGGTTCTCCTGTCCATACCCACAAATGATGGTTTCCCATGGTTTCAAAGTGCGAAATGGATTTCGGCCATCCACACTATGTTCCAAAGAGTCCAATCAGCCAACCCTACAGCCGTAAAGATTCGGGGCATTCGGGCTGAGCCAGCGGCATAGTCGCTGATCACATCCGGAGTCAAGTTGGGGAGCGTATCCTCGGAACGTTTTGGAGCCACTCGCTGGAGGCGCGAGCTGCGGGCATGAAGCTTCGAGGCTCTCAAGCGACAAGCCCATCCGCCCCGACAACCCACCCGCAACAGCAACCCAAAAAGCCTAGGTAGAGCCGCATGGCAGGAGGTTTCGTTAGAGGAATAGATTACTGTTGAGTTCCATGTGAATTCATTTGCAGGAGTATCATTCGGCCCCAACATGGAGGTGTGGGTCATGCACATCAAGCTGAAACCTGCGGGGAAGTAAAGGGGATGACTCGACCAAAATGGAAAAAATACGCCATCTACTTTCACCCAACTGTACTCCAAAACGTTTAGACGGGAAGTGTCCTTTTCTAATCCTTTTTATGGGTATCCCGGTATCCCCCTTTTGTGGTTCTAAAGTCTTAAAGGAAAAACAACCGGAAACCCATCATTTTGGGGTGGGGGTCCCCAAAAAAAACTTAGACACGCCCAAATTTTGTAGACCTCCGCGCACGGAAAAAGCTCTGTCACGAGGCCGCCGCGGCCACTTGAAAGATTTGGATCTTCAGCAGCAGCATAATCGCCCAGACCTGCGCGGAGCGCACGTCAAGCACCAGTGCCCATGCCCCGCGTGTTTTAGGCAAAGAAGGTCCCCTCACACAATCCTGGCGTGCCTCTGCTGAGCAAGCAGAAAACAAAGAAAAACCGTCGGGTTTGGCTATGACGGGACCCCCTAAATAGGCTTTGGTGCCCCTTCGGTTCTCCCTTTGAAACCCCCCCCCCCAAAAAAAAAAAAAAAGGAACTCCCCAATAGACAACGCGCTCACGGCGCTGAATGCTGACTTTTCTCCAGGCGCTGCGCGGATCGCCCGCGGATCGCCCGACAGCTCACGCGGTTTCGGGCAAGGAGGCGGCGTGCTCGTCGCTGGCAGCCTTCTCGGCCGCGTAGAAGGTGCAGCGTCCTCGCTCGCAAAGCCAAGACCCCAAACTGGGTCCATCGCAGCACCGGTTTCTCCAAGCGTGAAGTATTCGCTTGCCAAGTAGCCATCTTTGTCTGCCACTGCACTCACATCCACGAAGAAGTCCTTACCAAAAGGAATGACGCGCTTCCAACACTCATGGAAGTGGACCGTGGGGTCCGGAAAACTACGTCCTCTTGTAAAAGAACCCTTGTCTCCCCTATTTGGTTCAAACCCCCCAAACCGCCAATCCAAACCACTAATTGGAGGGAAGCTGGTCCATTGTTGGGAAAGCGTTCACTCCGCGACCTCCGAAACGCAATGCCAAGCATAGGTGGCCTCTTGCAAAAATAGATGGGTTTCCCTGGTAGATGGAATAAAAACCATGTAAACCAGTGGCTTGCCCATCTCTTTCTACACCACACAACCAAAACAAATGGCCAAAACCCCAAGAAAGAAGCACACCTGCGATGCCAAGGCTCCATCATTTTGTCCAGCTTCATCTCGTGCTTCCGCAGGCCGCCGTAACACCACTGGAACAAGAAGGTCCCGCCTGCCAAGGCCAGGGGTTCAAATCTAAATCCACCAATCCAAAGCACAAATCACAACATGGTAGTAAAATTGCCTACCCAAAACCAGGTAATGTTTGATTTGTGCTTTGGATGCCTGATATGACAAATCCCAGAACCACGTAAAGACTTAAAAAGCGTAATATTTGGTTGCCTGATATGAACATCATTCACCACCAAGGAAAATGACCACCCAACAGGCGACACGTCGGACTTGGAAGGGAGGGTCCTAAGTAGTAGAGCTCGGCTGAACGGCGCTTCAAGGGAAACTAAGACGAGGCCCTTGAATGCCGATGATAGAATACACCTCTCTAGGGGATCCCCTTCCTTTACCTCCCGTACAAATGGGTTGCTTTTACGCAAACGTCCTTATGGACACACCCAACTGAGGCTGTCAAGAAATGCCACATGGGAGAAACTGAAAGTCGGGTACCCGACAATTTCAAGGGGTCCCGTTCCGACTTTTGCCACACCTCCGGGACACGCCGATTTGGGGCCCCCTCCTTCCACTTGCTTTAGAAAACCAGCCTTTTGAATGCACTCCGGGCTTGGACTTGTTTGATTCCATGCAGAAAAGGGACTTAGAAAGGGAGCTAAAAACTGGGCTGCCCTTAGATCCCCCGCTAAAAGTTCAACTTTTAATGAGTTAAATGGAAACTACAACTAGACACTCAAAGGCTAAAAAGCTAAGGGGATGGCTGGGAGCCACCAAGAGAAGGGGTCTCCATGAATTGGTTGGCTAAAGCCCCCTTCAAGAAAGCCAAGCGCAAAGCCCTCAGTTCCGCCCGCCTGGCCGCAGCAGCTTTTGCGCGAGCAGCAGGTCGTCATCCTCGATTGGGCGCTGGCCCATATCGCTGATGACCGCATCCTAGGGACAAGTGGCTCGGTGGGGGACTGGTTGACAGGAAGCCCCAGTTGGTTTGCTCTTTTGGCTTCCACTTAACCACAAGCCGCCAGGCTTTGGACACCCAAGAAGTGCCAAATCCACCTTTTCTTCCTCGAATGCCAACAAAAGAAGGACAACAGGATGAGCTTTTGGTTACCTTTGGGTGACCCTGAGCCAAGAGCATGTGGGACTCTTCAACCGCCCCGAGCACTAAAGCTCCAACTGCAAGCCTTCAAACATGTCCAAACATGTGGGTTCAAAATCGGGGGAAGCCCCCTGCAGGTGCTTGCTTTTGTTTGGTTGGGCCCCTCTTCAACTACCAATCCAAAAGAACCAAAAACATTTTCGAGAGACTCCTTCAACTACCAATCCAAAAGAACCAAAAGAACCCAAAAGAACTCCGACGTCTTGCTCGAGTCCAGCCAAGCTTCAAATTTCACCCCCTTGCTCTGCAAGTACTTCATTCCATCGGTGGCATCTGCCAGCATCACATCTCCTGCCATGGGTGCGCTGCACGTGCTGATGAATCACGGCCCAAGCGATCCATGCAAGCTACCTGGACCACCGAAGACTTGGTTCCATTTACAGGGCCCTTTTGGGGGCCGTAGGCTTGAAATGCGGGGACTCGATTTCCGCTCACCTTAAAACATTGGAAGCACCAAAACCGGCGCGTCGTGCTGGCCATCAGAAGTTACAAGCCTTTCTCACTTTCTGAGTGGAGTGGCCAGACAAAGGTCTTCACGTTTTCAGCTTCCCTTCAATTGGTGGTTTAGCTTGGTGGTTTGGTGGTTTGGTGGTTTGGTTGGTGGTTTGGTGGTTTGGTGGTTTGGTGGGTTGGTGGTTTGGTGGTTTGGTGGTTTGGTGGTTTGGTGGATAGTTGTCCATTTACTCTCTACACACACCAAGGGCTCAAACCCCGCGAATCCAAGCCACAAACTGCTACCTGAAAAACAAAGTCTTCCCCAAAGCTCAGAAAGTCCAAGAACTCCAGTGAGCTTCGCACAAACGACACCCGGCACCCCCGCACCCCCCCCCCCCCCCCGTCCCAGCTGGCCGATGCAAACTTGAAAAGTGCAGCTGGAAAACAGGGACATAAACTTATCAGTATCGAAGCCCGGCGGCCCCAAAGCTGACCATGAGGAAAGTGGATGATCAACAACAACAAGCTCAAGCCCAAAAAAAAGAAGGCAAGATAAAACTCACCCGAGAAGAAGAACAAAAACAAACACCCTTGAAAATGCTCAAACCGCCATGGTTTCACCCTTTCACCATGGGCTTGGTGCCACGTCTGACCCCTCTGAAAAACGGCTTTGCGCACTCCCAGCCTCAGTGCATAACCGGGAAAAAATGCAGGAATGTGGAACCAACCTGAAACGCGGATCCTTTCCACCGTGAGATTCCGATCAACATGGAGAGGTTTCCCTGCGTTCTTTGAGGTCCCGGGCTCGGAAAAGGGGCTCCCGAAACCCGAAACCGTTTCTCAGACCTGGCCGGACCAAAGTTGGGGCGGTTTATTTTGCCGTGACCGCAACAAGTCTGGCGCAACATCTTTCCTTGGCTGACGTTGAAAGGGGAGCAAAAAGTCTCAAACTTTAGCAGTTAAGTGGTTGGATTCCAACCACTAAACCACAACAAGATCAAAAATGGGACATATGTTTCAACCAACAACCCCCATGGAAAGTCCAAAAACTCCCGTGAGCTTCACACACAGACGGCACGCAGCACCCAGCAACCCCCCCCCCCGCTCCCAGCTGGCCAGTCCTTGGAAGCCGAAGTAGTCCCTGGCGGCCGCCAGGACGGTGGCGTTGTTCTCCAGCGTCAGGACCTGGGACCCAGGGCACTGGGCCGCCAGGTAGCTCTGGTAGTAGCCCCCTGGAACTCAAAGCTCGGAACAGGGGCTTTGGCGTTGTGTGTGTGGTGTTTTGCCTTTTGCTTTTTATTTGTGACTTGCCTCGTTTCTTGTGTTTTTGCTTGTTTGTTAGTTTGTTTTTTGTTTTTTGTTTTTTTTTTTTTGGGGGGGGGGGGAGGATGATTGGGTGGCTGGATCGATCGTTGATTGGTGGGTGGGTGGGGTGGGTGGCTGGGGGTGGGGTGGTGGGGTGGGGGATGGGGTGGTTTGGCGGTTTGCAGCTAGGTTCTTCACTTTGGGCGTGTCTTACAGGGCAAATTCGATTTTCAATACGTGCCTCTTACAAAATTGGGAGGGGAGAGCAGTAGCCAGCACATTCGGTTGACCTGGTATGTATGGGGTTCTCTCACTTCGGTTGGGGCACCTATCGCATTCACCCCCACAAAAGGAAACACAAAGGGGATAAGAAGCACAAAGTCTATCACCCCCACCCCGCCCCACCACACCCCCACCTCCACCCCCCCAACCATCCATCCACCCATTTCTCCATCCATGCATCCAAATGAGACCTATCTGCCTCTGGGGTCTGCCTGCCTCCAAGGCCCAGGAAGAGCACCTTCTGCGGCCGCATGCGGCAGGTCTCCAGCCAGGCCACCCACTGACCCGGCCAGTCCGTCTTGTCGATGTCCGGGGCCTGACAGAAGGGGTCGGGCTTCAGCCCCCGTTTCAGGTTGATCTTTGATTCTTGGGGACTTCCAAAAAGGCATGCAACACCAAAACGACCTTTTTTTTGGAAGCCAATGGATCTGCGACAAGAAAAGAAGGCCCAATTCTGGGTGATGTTTCGCCTAAACACACCGATCCGTTCCAACATGAGCCAAATTGGCGTGATTGAGGTCAGAAATGCTTGGGCCGCTTCTGTTTGGAACGCGGTTCAGCTCTCATATGCTGACCGTTGGAAAAGGGCGGGCAAAATTGAAAACCATCCAAATGTTGCCCGCATTTGCCCTCCCCGCCCCCTTGGAAATGTGTGCGAACCCCTTCCATATGTCACCTCCCTAGCAAGTAAGTCTACGGTTGGAGTCCCTTTATTGGGGCCCGGCACGACGTCCCACTGCTTGGTTTGCACCTCTGTCCTCAACGCAAGGCAACCGCAAGCTGTGAATCATGACAAGAAAGTCGCGAGGAAACTGCCGCGTTGCTGACAAAAGCAAGCCCAAAAACACCACGAAGCAAGCCCACAACACCTCCGGAAAGAAAAAAAAACATGCACCCATCCACCCCGAGCCCCCCCCCTCCACGCCCGCTAGCCCTTCCTCCCCTCAACCCATGAAATCAGGGCCCTTGCATCGACCCCGCTCCCCCACCCCATCCCCACCCACACCCACCCCCACCACCCCACTTGGAAGTTCAACCCCACTTTGGTTCCGACTCGTGAAAACTGAACCTGGCGGCCTTGGTCAAGGTTCAACCCGAAACCCAGGATGCAAGACGTCCCCGATGGTCACTGCAAGAAATTGGTGGAGCCCCCTTCAAACCATGATGAAATCCAGGTATCGGTATCTGTGAAAACTGGCGTCGGTGAAAACCAAACCAGGCGCCCTTTTGACCATTTCAGCCCCCTTCAAACCATGGCGAAATTCTTCCAACACATCTGGAGTCATCCAGGTTGACCTCCTCCCTCGCCCTCACCGCCCTCACCGCCCCAAGCGCCCTCGCTCCCGCAAGCGCCCCGCAGCCCAAGGCACCGCAGCCCAAGGCCCCGCGCGTGAATAAATAGGGTTGTGGCGTTTGGTCCCTCCAAAAGTGGTCTGAATCCCCACTAAACCCAGGGAGACCCCCGATGAACAAGCTGGGCTTGATTCTGGGGTCAGCCCATCGAAGCCCCCCCGCCGCCCCAGGCGCCAAGCGCCCCGAAACGCCCCCCGAAGCCCCGCCCCGAAGCGGCGCCCCGCAGAAGGCCAAGGCCTCGCAGCGGAACCGCGTCTTCACCGCGGGGTCCTCGCAGCTCAGAGTGGCCGGGGCCTTGGACAAAGGCCACCGCAGCAGGTGCGGCTTCCGGCCCTTGCCTCAGCAAAAAAAAGGTCGGAGCAATGCAACCGGTGCGCCCTACTTCTGGCGCTTCCATCTTTCCCCTCGAAACATCACTTCCTTCCCATATGTATAAAAAGATCTAAGGAAACTTTGAACTTTGGGTGTTCCATATGTCCCCTCTAAACATCACTTGTTTCCAATAGGTATCAAAGATCTGGGGAAACTCACTTGAAAGTCTGGGTTGTTTCTGAGTTGCTCTGAGAAGGTCGGTCACCCTAGGTTTCTCTCTCTCTCTCTCTCTCTCGCTCTCTGTTGTTTCCAAAGGTCTGAAGGGCAAAGGTCGCAAAGACAAGCCACGCCGTGCAATGCCTGCTTAACAAACCCCCTGGTTCAGGCAGCGGCGAGTACCGGGGAAGACCACGAAGTCCGAAACGGATTTGCAACGTGGTAGCCATAGGAAGGACTGTGGGCATCACAGACACCGACCCAAAGGAAAGCGAAAACCCTTCGGAACGCCGAGAAACGAGAGTGGAGCCCATTTCAGGTTTCGCAAAGGGGTGCCCACGTTCTTTAAACACAAAAACACCCATGTCAGCAACTTCTCCTGGGCCAAAATCCTGAGCTCCCTTCGATGACCCCGGAAATCATCAAAGTGACTCAACCCAGTTCTTTTTGGGTGCGCCCGGCTAAAGCGTGGGCTAAAGCGTGGGCTAAAGCAGCCAAGAAAGCTGAAGAGGCTCACTACATCCAAACCCACCTTAGGATTCGGATCCAAATCAGCTGGAGGCGCTGCCTTGACTGGCAGCTGCATCCTTCGAAGGGACAAAGAAAAAGCCAGTTTGTGGATTTAGATCGCCTCCCGTACCTTGCCCGGCGTCCCTGGTTGAGCACTTGCGGGGATTTGACACTTCTTTCCTGAACTGCATTGCCCATCCCGGCGCTTCAAAGCCGGCTGGGATTCAGCCGAGCGGCAAGCAATGGTCGCTTCCCGAAAGCCTGGCCCCGTTGCCCGTGGCCCTTAGGGGCCTTTCTTGCGCGCCCCGTGTCAAATGAACCGGGTGGGTCAAATGTGTGTCGCCTCCCTCGAATTGGTATTTCTCGCGCCGAACCGGTGCGAAAAAAGGCGGGGCTCACATTTCACAAGAACCTGGGATACCTGAAATGGTGAGGACTGGTTGACCCTGGCTGCTGACAGCCCTCTCCTGGGTCGTCGTCGAAGACGAGGCTCCGCACATTGTCACTGCCGATGACCACCTAAGGAAGGCTTGACAAAGACGAATGCCGTGCCCAGGCAAAAGTGTCCAGGATGAACTGTGAGAGGGCACAAGCACTAAGCAAGCAAGCAAGCAAGCAAGCAAGCAAGCAAGCAAGCAAGCAAGCAACCAACCAACCAACCAACCAACCAACCAACCGCTGGTCTAAGGCAGAATCGTTCCGATGTCAGCTCATGTTGCTACGAAGCTTTCTTTGGTAGTTGTGTTTATCTTTGTTTGGCGCGTTCAGGTGACTTAGTGTTTAACTAGGCAATGGCATGTTGAACCAGGCGCAATCCGAAACACAAAATGTAACACTGTTGGCTTTTCAATGGTTGCAAGCAAACCGATTATGGGATGGCGAAGAATTGTTCCATGGTTGTTGTTTCTTTGGGCGGCAAGCTCTCGCCGCAAACAAACCCAACCGGAAAAAGAAAAAAAGATAGTGAAGAGTCAAGTCCACCAATTTACCCTCTGGGCTGTTCAAAATGGAGGGATGGCCAATCCTAACTCAAAATCACTTTGGGAAGAACCATTACAAGGCGACCCCTGTCGCCGCCCTTTGAACAGCAGCCCCAAAGTATTTTTTGAAAACGTATCACACCAAAAAGGTGTCCCAATATTGAGCAAAAGGACGCAGGAGTTCACCTTCTGGGGCCATGACAGGAAGAAGAAAAAAGTTGACAAAAGAGGGGCAACTGTTTTAGGTCAAAAGGTCGATTCGCCTTGCCAGAGGTGGCGAAGGCGGAGGCCCCCATCTTGACCTTTTTTTCAGGATTTAAACCTCTAAAATTGTGGTGTTCCCTTTCGAACCCCTCGAAAACCACACAAAAGGTGGGTACCCTCAAAAAAATACGGCATGTAAGCCTATAAATGTGTATGAATTTGGGTATGTCTATATACATATTGCAAAGGCCGATTCTTGCCTTGGGCCCCGAATTTTGGCGCCCCGCCCCCATGAGAACCACTGAACTTCCCTTCCGGGCGGCCCGAATGGCGCCATGCCCTCCGCTGTGGTAGTGGCAGGAGTCGTTGCTGCTCACCTCAGGTCGAGAGCACCCGGCATACATCCACCAAACCAGGTGCTTTACATGCCCACGAACCAGGCGGTCACCGAGACTCCAAACGTTGATCTTTTCGTCCCAGTCCTTCTGGCCAGAAGCTCGGTGTTTTTGTTCCAGGGTGCATTGAAAAACAATCCGCGCTTTACACTGGCGGAATGAATCCTTCAAGGGAGCGGTCACCGCTTCCTCCCCCAACACACGAACATCCACCAGGCTTTCCCAGGCCTTGCTGTACAGAGAGCCCATGTCCAGCGCTTCGACATGAGCCACAGGGAGCAACTCACCCTCCCATATACACAAGGACACACAACTGCAAGAGTAGCATATAACATGCATGCAACCACAAACATATGTTCAAATTATAAAGGTCAAAGTTTTGCCTCAAATTAACATTCAACCTGACGTTCGGAGGTCCTGGTTTGGACCATTTTCCTTTTAAAGGGACCTGTCAGGTTCCGTGCGAAAAGGCCGGGAGGGTCATGGCTCAGTCATGTTGGGGCCAGTGTGATTTCCCGTCGGAGGTGGGGTGCCGTTGACGAGGAACACCCCATCGACCATGCTTGAACGTCGGAACCAAAGAACGAACCTGCTGCAAAACGACATAGATTCAGCCTGAAAAATGCGACAAGTCAAATCGCCCTTGCGGTTCCTCTTGAAACGCTGATTTCAAGTAACACCTACCAGCCACGAGAAATATGGCAAGCACAGCAAACTGGGTTGCTCCAAGGTTGAGCAAGAGGCCATGATCGACCCTTTGTAGGTTTAATAGAAGAGCAATGTGGGTATGCGTTCTTGCTCAGTACCAGCTTTTGACTTGTTTTAGGAAGGCGGAAAAAATATTGAGCCCCTACAAAAGGACGAGCCAGCCATTTCAGGGGACCCTACACAGCCGAACCAAGCCGTGAATTCCCTTGCCAGGGCACTGCCTGGCCCACGGTCTTCGGCAGCGAGTCCAGCAACCAACCTCGAGCGGCAAAGCGGGAAGATGCGGAAAAATCGGACTGACAAACCAAAGAGCCTGGCATGGTCCAATTGGTCTTGCACATAAGCCATAACTATAACAAACCCCTCTCTCTTTTTCCCCAGATAGCTGAAAGCTATAGGGGTTCTAACTTCTAATAAAGAGGGGAAAGTGATTTGCGAGATTGAGGGCCGGGTGCTAGGGGGCATGCAGTTTGAGGTGCTGGTGGATGCTGCTTTGCGAGCTTGACGGCCGGGTGCTAGGGGGCATGCAGTTTGAGGTGCTGGTGGATGCTGCTTTGCGAGATTGAGGGCCGGGTGCTAGGGGGCATGCAGTTTGAGGTGCTGGTGGGTGCTGCTTTGCGAGCTTGACGGCCGGGTGCTGGGGGGCATGCAGTTTGAGGTGCTCGTGGATGCTGCTTTGCGAGCTTGACGGCCGGGTGCTGGGGGGCATGCAGTTTGGGCTGCTGGTGGATGCTGTTTTGCGAGCTGGCCGGGTGCTAGGGGGCATGCAGTTTGGGGCGCTGGTGGATGCTGTTTTGCGAGCTTGACGGCCGGGTGCTAGGGGGCATGCGGCTTTGGGGTGCTGGTGGGTGCTGCTTTGCGAGCTTGACGGCCGGGTGCTGGGGGGCATGCAGTTTGGGGTGCTGGTGGGTGCTGCTTTGCGAGCTTGACGGCCGGGTGCTAGGGGGCATGCATTGTGGGGTGCTGGTGGATGCTGCTTTGCGAGCTTGACGGCCGGGTGCTGGGGGCATGGGGGGCATGCAGTTTGGGGTGCTGGTGGATGCTGCTTTGCGAGCTTGACGCCCGGGTGCTAGGGGGCATGCAGTTTGGGGGTGGGTGCTGCTTTGCGAGCTTGACGGCCGGGTGCAAGGGGGCATGCAGTTTGGGGTGCTGGTAGGTGCTGCTTTGCAAGCTTGACGACCGGGTGTTAGGGGGAATGCAGTTTGGGGTGCTGGTGGATGCTGTTTTGCAAGCTTGACGGCCGGGTGCTATGCAGTTGGGGGTGCTGGTGGGTGCTGCTTTGCGGGTGCTACGGGGCATGCAGTTTGGGGTGCTGGTAGATGCTGCTTTGCGAGCTTGACGGCCGGGTGGGGGGCTGCTGGTTTGCGAGCTGGCCGGCGAGCTTGACGGCCGGGTGCTCGGGGGCATGCAGTTTCGGGTGCTGGTGGATGCTGTTTTGCGAGCTTGACGGCTGGGTGCTGGGGGCATGCAGTTTGGGGTGCTGGTGGATGCTGTTTTGTTTTTCGAGCTGGCCGGGTGCTAGTGGCATGCAGTTTGGGGTGCTGGTGGATGCTGTTTTGCGAGCTTGACGGCCGGGTGCTGGGGGGCATGCAGTTTGGGCTGCTGGTGGATGCTGTTTTGCGAGCTGGCCGGGTGCTAGGGGGCATGCAGTTTGGGGTGCTGGTGGATGCTGTTTCGCGAGCTTGACGGCCGGCTAGGGGGCATGCAGTTTGGGGTGCTGGCGCATGCTGCTTTGCGAGCTTGACGGCCGGGCGCTAAGGGGCATGCAGTTTGAGGCGCGGGTGGATGCTGCTTTGGTTGTACCGGGTGCTAGGGGGCATGTTTGGGGTGCTGGTGGATGCTGTTCGCGTGTAACGGTTCGTGGCTGGTGTATCGTCATGATGTTCCCACGTTATGGTGTGTGGGTGTAGTGGCGCCGTGATGCTGTCAACATCAGGATGATGCAGAATTTCATTAAGCTGTCGCAAGATGGTTCGTGGCTGTGGTATCATCATGATGCTGTCTTTACCATCAGCATGATGCTGTTCGCATCACCATGATGCTGCCCGCATCATCATGATGCTGTCCGCATCATCATGATGCTGTCGAACTCATCAGGACCTCGGTTTGCTTTTTCCTGCCGGATTGCATCATTATGCTGCTGATCTCATTAGGACGTTGTCTGCGCGTTTGTTTCGTGGCTGTGGTGTCATCATGGTCTACATCCTCATGATAATGCTGCGTCATGGTTCGTATCCGTGGTGTGCTATCTGGGGTCTATGCTGGTGTTTTTTATTTTTTTTGGGGGGGGATTCATAGAAAACTCCACGTTTGCCAGGGGCCCCACCCCCCTCTTAATAAACAGGGGCTGGTGCATTTGGGGTCTACGTCGGGGGATTCATAGGGAACCTTTGGGGTGTTCAACACCTTTCCAAGTGAGTTTGTGTGGTAAGGGCGGTCTAACCCCAGGTACCCCAGCCAATCATGATTCCTGCTACCCCACCCCACGCCACAGTGCCGCCGGAGCGTCTAACAGCATCCCCCAGGGCATACAGCGCTTTCATGGCATGAAGCGCAGCCCTTGGCTTGAGCCAAATGTACGATACAGGTCGAGCACATTACTGCATGTGTACCCCAAACGAATGTACCCCACCTAGATAAGCATATAAAACTGTTTTTTGCGTGCGCGGACTGCCGGGCCCCCCGCCTGGCTGGGTCTGAATGGGTGGGGATCTGAACCCCAAACCCTTTGCTGCCAAATGGGGAAGCTGCCCCCCAAACTCCAAACCCCCAATCCAAACCAGAGTTGAGGGATTGGACGCTGGGCTTTCCTCAGATCCCGGGTGACCCCTCCCACTCCGAAGATTTGCCGCGGATTCTCTCTCCCGACCCCTGAGGCGGCAGATGAAGATTTTTCCCCGGTTCCAAGAAGGCGCCCTGTGTTTCGACCCTCCACCAGTGTTTCATTTTTTGAGATTCTTTTCTTTACCCTATGGGACTCATAAACTCTTGGTTGATTTTGATTGGAGGCGTCCCCCCTTTGCAAGGCAAACCTTCAAACCTTCGCTTCTGGAGGAAGCAACCCGGGGCGAACCCATTTCTCGGTGCCGCAATTCTTTTGAACGTCCTTTTCAAAAGCGATTGTTTCCTTCCTTCCGTGGATGCGGGGAGGGGCCGCTTTGCACCCAGGTCCCAAAGGACAGATGGCCCGATTGAGGGGGCCCAGTCAAAAGAGGCGCTCTTCTTTTGGCTCTCCAGGCGCTGAGATCCGCTGGCAATGGGCAAAAGACGTCCCTCCGCCTGCCCTCCACGTCTCGGAAGGTCAGGCGCTGCCGGTGCAACCAGTTCCTGGCCGCCCGAAATGCGGAAGCCGATCAGGTGGCTCGACATCGGGTCAAAATCAATTCGTCTACCCAAAACCATGCAAAGAATCAAAAGGGCCGATATGTGCACCTATTTTGGTTGGGACTATCCCCTCAGCTTCGCTTGCTGGCCCCTACAAACCATCTTCTCTGGCTTCCTTTAAAAGAATCCCTAGGCTCATTCCCAGCACCAGTAAGTTAAGGACACTCCATGGATCCAGCCAGCACCCCCCGCCTGGCGCAGAGCTCCAGATCTTCCTGAAACGTGGCCCGGCTGGTGTAGAGCCCGTCCCGCACCACTGGATGGCCCACGTGGGCCAAATGACTCCTAGAGAAAACCAAAGCTTTGGACGGGCCACACGGTTTCTGACTGGCAAATGCAGCAATCCGGGGTGATAGACGTACATATGTACGCATGTATACATATCTATATATATATATACACACATATATATATATATACATAGGTGTGAGTGTCAGGCATGCATTCACGTGTGCATGTGCGTAAACCTTTCTGTCCTTCAAATGTCACGACTCCCAGTGTCTTGGGTCAGAATTGCGGTACTACGCACTGCCAAGACCTCCACCAAACAGCACTAGTATCCAGCCTTCTCTGGTCATTTCTTGGAGGTTCGAGGGCCTAGTTACCTAGTTTTTGATGTTGCTTCTCAGCAAGGAAGGGAATGACCCCTAAACATCAATCACCATTCCCAAAATCACAACGGTGATTCCCTGAGAAAGTGTTAAGTGTACCCTCTTTGGGGTTGGCTTGACAGAAGGGAAACCAGAACGACACCCACCAATTTTGGGCCTGGTTTCAAGGGAAAACTAGATGGCTTACTAAAAGGGAGACCAAATCACAAGCCACATTTTGGAGGAAACCCTCAAAAAGAGGATCTTTGGGGATGTTTGGGGTTGGCCCAAAACTTAAAACTTAAAGGGAAACCACAAGGAATCTACTGCGTCTATTCAGAAATAAGTTTGGGCTGTCAAGGAAACATCTGTTGGGTTCCTTGTGCATCTGTTGGGCTCCATCAATAGATGCAAAACTGTAAGTGTTCGGCTCCTCTCCTGATCTGGTGCTTCCGCCCCGTGCCCAGGCGCAGCACCACCTCGCTCAGCGCCCGGTTTCGGTTGGCCCCGAGGGCGTGGTCTCGGGCGGCGAGCGCCAGGTGGGTGCGGCTGGGCTTGCCCCGGCCCCCGGACCGAGCTGGGCGCGCCACGCCCTCCACCTGACTACAGTCAAAGCAGGGTCGCGACCAGCAGAAGATGCCTTTGTTGAAAGAACAAAATGTTTTTTTTGGGTGCATGTGCGCATAGATGACATATTTATCCTCTATACATATATATATATACATATACATGTTTGTGTGTGTGTGTGTCTGCGTGTGTGTTAAGAGCACCGCGTCTCTCTCCCCAACGATTCCCCGCCTGCTGTGCCGTCACCGCCCGGGAGGGCGCCCAGCCGTGGCACAGCGCCGCGTACTCCCGCAGCACCTCGCCGGCGCAGAGCTGCACTTGGAGGTCGTAGAAGGCCTCGCACGCGGCGGCGGCCCGCGAAAACTCCGGTTTGGGAAACTTGGAGCCTCGGCGGTGTTTTTTGGGGGCCCCAAGTGAGGGGGGCAGGTCCAAATCCAAACCACCAATTCAAACCATCACCAGGCACCGGTCTTTGGATTGAACGGAAGCCGACTGGAGGTTGTGAAAAACAAAATGGCCTCGTCTGTTTCGGAGTTGGGACCGATTTGGGGTTGGTCTCCAGGAAAACCAGCCAAGTGGAGGTTGTGGAAAAAACAATCTGGCCTTGTCTGTTGTGGAGTTCGGACCAATTTTCGGGTTGGTCTCCAGGAAAACCAAGGGGGAAACCACCATTTTGCGGATTCCTCATTTAAATTCCCCTTTTTGAGAGGCTTTAAAGGGAAATCAAACAAACACCGAAATGAATTCTGGAGGTTCCGATTCCGAACAAATGAAAGTTGTCACTGGATAACCTTCACTTGCCCGGTTTGAAAGTGACTTGAATGGGCTGTGACCAATGGATTCCAGGATGCTACACACATGATTTCGTGCCAGCTGGAACCCGCTTATTGCTCTGATGGATGTCAAACCTCATGTTCACATCGGATTTTTCGTCTTGGACGGTAAATCCAAATAGTTTCCGTACTGGAAACTCCCCAACCCAGCTTGATGCAACACTGAGCGAGCACCCCGAAAGATACCTCCAAAAATCGCAAGGAAATCCTCCGAAGGTAAATTGCCAGGCTCATCCGCATCGTCCCTGATTCTCCTTCTTGGTTTGGTAGCTCCCCCGCTGCACAGGCAGAACCATCCAAAACGGGCACTGGCACTTCGGAAAAAGGTTTGGAGGTGGCGAATCTGTGGATCCACCCCTATAGGATATATTCAAAGGGTGCTAAAACATTGCTAAACAAGGACCAACCGGGGAGAAACAAAAACATCCTGTGAGATCCACGAGCAAAGCGGCTCATCCACCGCCCTTTTCGCGAGCAAAAAGGCAAAGGCCGCCTCGAAGGTCTTCCCCTCCAAAAGTGGTCTGATTCCCCCACAAGCCCAGGGAGAAGCACCCCACAAGACAATTCAATCAGCTGGTCGGTTTACCTCCTCTGAAAGTCATCAGCGGTTTTGTCCCCCCGCTTCCTTTGCCTCGAAGGTCTTGGCGAAGAGGATCAGCCCGGAGCTGGGCACGTCCAGGCGGTGCAGGAACCCCCGGTTGTGGTTTCGGTCCCGCAGAATCGGCGCCGAAACTTGCCCCGGCCAGGCGGAGGCGACAAAGGCCGAGAGCTGCTGGGAGGTGTGGTTTCCGTAGACCTCCCAGTCCTGGCGAAAGAGAACGAGGGCCGAAAAAGAGAAAGAAAGAAAATGAAAGAAAAAAAACGGGTGGCTCGTCTTCTTTTTGGAGGTGGTGAGACATTTGTGTTGTTGCTCCTTTTTTTGGTTCTGGTTTTAAAGGGACGCGAAAAAGGAGAACCATCACTTCGGGGGGCCGCCCAAAAAGGACAGACCCGCATGGTTGTGGGAAAGTAACACTTTCTGCAATGCCAACCTGAACCATCCCTCTGACTACTTGCAATGTCACTTGAAATGCAGGATTCCCTTTGGCTTCACAAACGGTAGTCTGGGCCCGCAGGAGCCAATCCCAGGTGGCGTTGGGCTGGCCACGTCGCTGACAATTGCACAGGTTTGGGGCTAGCTTGGGGCTTGGTGGGTTGGTTTTGTGCGGAATCAGGCAGGGGGGCTGATGCATGTTGAGCAGTCCCTCCGCCTGCTCTAAGGATTCCACATTAATGACTGGCTGATTTTTTGGCGCCCCAGTTTGATTGACTCAGTTGCCCAAGGGACCCAGGAATGAAAGCTGATCACCTTTGGGGCCACGGCCACGACCGAAAATGGGAACAAAAAAAAGGTGAAAACTGCAGGGTCATGTCAGGTCCATTCGCCTTGGGGGCAAGTATGGGAACCCAGGATTAGGGGGTATACTCGCCATTGCGGGGTTCTCCGCACTGCTTCCATCCGTCGCAAAACCACATTAATCAAAGAGGTTCCCAAAAATAAATCCTTGAAAGGAAAAGTCAACCACACTTCTGAAAACAACACTTTGACTTGGACCCTTTTGAAGGCCGCCCCAGCCTTGCCACTTCCTCCCTTTACCCATGGACCCGCTCCTGGGGTTTGTAGACCACCGCCCGGTCGCACAAATCCATCTGCACGAAGGCATCTGCGCCCGTCTCCCGCTGGACTTCTGTACGCAGCACCTTGGGTCTACCCCATGCAACCCTGGTTGAAACCCATGGCTCAAGCCACCCACATTGGGCCGTTAGTTTGAGTCATACTCAAAACCCGGTATCAAAATGGTCTATGCAGAACCCAGGAATTGACAAGTCGGCCGCACCCATTTATGGCTGGGATTGTCCCTTACTATCCTCCAATTACCCGTTTGTTTGTTTTTTTGGTTGTTAAATTAGGACCTCCATTGAAAGGTGCTGGACCGCATTCAACAAAAAGGTCTTCTGAGGGCCCGTTTGATGCCTTCCAACTCGACTTGCCTTGCCCCCTTTTCCGCCCCCCGGCTTCAGTGTGCCGCCCCGCCTCCGCCGCTCCGAGCTGGACGTCAGAGGTTAACTCATCGGCATCCAAGCCGCGGCCGACCGCCAAAAGCCGCGCCCGCGTGAGCTCCAGAAAGTCCGAACGCAACACCCGGCGGAGGGAAGCCGCGAAGAGAATGCCCAGCACCTCCCGTCGATTCTGGTCACCCACAAAAAAATAAGAACAAGGGCGTCCTATTGTTTCTTTCTTCTTCGTTTTTTGCGCTCTCCCCAGCCAGCCCCTATAGTTTGGTTTGTCACCTTTTTGTGGTTCTCCACACCACTGTTGGGCTGATTCAAGGGGTTTCCTTTATGTGGAGCGTTCTTTCAGGAATAGACACAACAACAACAGAAAAACAAAAAAAAAGGCCGGAACGTGCCTTTTGGCAGAAAAACGACGCCCATCTGTTTAGCCCCAGGCTTGGGCTGGTTTTGTAGGATTTCTCTAGGGCTGTTCTTTGCCTGTTAAGACACATGAGAAAGTGAGTGACCAAAACTGTAAACACGAAAGGTGAAAACCGAGGGTTCGCCCCCACAACCCAAGAAGAGTTCTCAGAGCCTTCTTGGAAGAGGTTCTTAGAAGCTTGCGGCAATAATTACTTGGCAATACTTAGACTGTCTGCAAACAGGTTGAATGTGAAGACGAGGGAAAATCGTGAAGGCAAAAAGTTGAGAAACGTTTAGTTTGAGCCTTGGTGCTCAGTAGGGAATTAATGGATTGGTGATGAACCCAGGGGTCCCCGTTCAGGAAACCACTCGTCGGATGGTTTCTCTTGGGGTTATTCCATTCCTCATCCCCAAAAAGTGCAAACTTTTGATTTACCACTAACATGGTCTTCCCAAAAAGTGTCAAGTCCGGGAACGCAGGAAGTGAGTATTTCCCCCCCCCCCCAACCCCGCCCCTGCCCTGAGGGCGAGCGGCATACTTGCCAGATGCCGCCAGCGCCAGGGTCTGCGGGTCAAGGGCGAGCGCTGCAGCCTGCACACATGTGGCCTACCCCGAAGCCAAACCAAATCGAACAACGAATGACACAAAAATTTAACACAAAAGAACCCAAAAAAGTCTAATCAAAACACACCGGCAAACACAAACAAACAGAATGACGGACAGAACAGTCAGACAAAATAAACAAACAAACCAGCAAGCAAAGGCAGCAAGCAAACAAGCAAAGCCAGAAAAGCCAGCAAGCAAGCAAGCAAGCCAGCCAGCCAGAAAGCCAGCAAAGCCAGAAAAGCAAGCAAAGCAAGCAAAGCAAGCAAAGCAAGCAAGCCAGAAAGCCAGCAAGCAAGAAGCAAAAAACAACAAATAAACAAAGACCGTGTTTGCGTGTCAGTGTCAATGCCATTGTTTGGCATCCCTTTGCCTCTAGCGAGTGGGCTCAAATCAAAAGTAGGCTCTAGGGAGGAAACAAGGCTTCTTCAAACAACGGTGGCATGAATAAACATGGAGAAAAAACACAAGGACACGTGCCCCAGACCTCCAGTGGCCCAAAAACATAGCCGAAGCTCTCAAAACAGAAATTCGCACAAGCTTTGGCGGTGTGGGCACCGGGTTCCATTTGTTGACTCCCAGACTTCCTTGTGGGATGAACCACTCGGGTGCAGTCCACGGGCGGTCCACACCTGGAACCCAATACCCCTCCCCAAACGAGCCTACCTCGGCACATGCCAAGTGGATCTGTGTTTGGAGCATTGGCTTTCAACCTGCCGCCCACGGAAAACCCCATGTTGCGGGGGTACAAGTACAAATCCCTATTGAAACACAGGGTATGGGTCAAAATTAAACTACCAAAAGACCGTGGGTTTTTGGTCCATGTTTCCATTTACCAGGGCAACCCATGTTGGGTACCATTTTTTGACCCATAGCCACATGGGCTTTCTGCCGCGCAAAAAAAAAAAAAAACGCCGAGCGGCGCCCGCCTGCACGGCCTGCAGCAACTCCGCCTCCGCGCCCACGGCCGTCTCCGCCAGCTGCCGCGCGGAGAGCGTCGACAGGTGTGGCACCAGGGCCCTGGAGCCGGGGATCCGATTTTTGGCCCCGCGGTTCGAAACAGGGGGACCTACTGCGGATGAACAAAATCCACCTAAGAAACCATGGGAAACCATTGTTTGCTTGGTATTTACGGGAGAATCATCATTCTAGGGTTTCTTCAATGGTGCAGGATTTCGTCCATCCACAGTTCCCTCGCACTTAAGCAAGGCTATGGGGTTTTCAATGCAGAAACAAAACGAAACTCACCTAAAATTGGCCCACAGGTGCGGACATATGTTAAGTCCGAATTTTCAGAAAGCCCTGGTGGACAAATGGGGAGGAGGGTGTTCGCTTTGAGTGGTTAAGTCTGGATCATGACTGAAGGAAGTTATCCTAGTCAATCTCAGTCCCAGGTAGCGGACATGGCACCTTCGTAAGGGGAATTGGCACCTTCCTCAGCAGGTTGGAACCACGGTTTCGGCGGCGAGGACAACCGGAGCCATGTTTCAAAACATACGGCACATGGCAAAAACGAGCATGCGTCGCCCTGTGAAATTGCCCCTCCGAAACTGACCACAGGCAACTGAAAGTGTTGCCCGAACCTCATAGGGCTGTGACTTGTTGGAAGCTTGCCAATGCTCATGCCCTGTGGCGGCCATCAGGGGAAATGGACATGACATGATCTTTTCGTGGGCGCCCTCTTCAGGCTGGTTCTTCCAAAGGAAACTTTGAAGAACAAAAATGAGCTCCGTCCAGGTGGCTGGGCCACCTGGCCCCTGAGAGGGCCAGGAAGAGCGCCCAGCACGGTGCAGCACCACAGGAACTGGGACAAGTCGCCGGGCGACCAAAGCCCACGCCGGAAATCCTGGAGCGAAGGAACGCCAAGCGAAGAAAAAAAGCACGAAGGACGCCTGCACGCCAGTAAGAAAACGCCAGCCGGTCGATTGTCAATCAAAAGTTTTGTGACGTCGTTGGATGGGACAAGGGAAGAAGCCAAAGTCGTTACGTCAACGCTCGCCACGTTTTCCTCTTGAATCGGCCCACCAATGAGGGTGAATTCATCCAGCGTCGACAGCATCGAGAAGGGCCTCTTCCAATGGATGTGGAACCCTCCCGGCACATCTGCAAACCATAACAATTGCAAGGGAAAAAGCGAAACTCGCTTGCCCAAAGCACCCGGGCATACAAGGGTTGACCTTTGGCACCTTGATTCAAAATCGGCCAAAAGACCAATTTTTGGGGGATTTCCAGTTGAAGCGTCCCCAGTTTCCCGAGTGTCCTTTTGATTCCACCTATCGTCCATCCACAACATGCTGGGTGGGAGAGGGGAGAGAGAAAAAAAAAAAACGTCGACTCGCTTTCGGCTTAGGTGAGCTCCTCGGCTGCCTCCACGCATGCGCCGTGGATCACTTCCGCATCGTCCACGCACAACTCGGCCAGCGCCCACATCAGCGACAAAGGCGACCTGGCAAAGAAACCGGACACATCCTCCGGGTTTTTAAGGGAAACCGCAAAGGAAGGGCCTGATTTTTGTTCAGGGGTGCATACCCATCCAAAGCACACATCCCTCCATGCTGGACCTCCGGCTCACCATGAGTACAATCTAATTACGTATGTTGACCCCGGATTGGTAAATATGTCCCCCGAAATGAAAGATCCCCTCTTGAATGGAACATCAACCCAGGATATAGTAAAGGAATATATGCCAAAAACCAACCCCGAGAAAACCAGGCAAAAAAAAAAAAAAAAAACGGATCCCGATATTTCCCCCCTGACCTTCTGTTTTTTGTTAAGCTCCGCCGCCTTCTTGGCTCCGACTCTGCAAGGAAGAAGAGCCCCAGCTCCGGCTGCTCCGCTCTCGCCAGCGCCGTGATCAGGGAGTCGTAGGCCACCAGATCCGGGAACAGCGCAGTTTGCTCCAAGCAGCGCAGCAGATGCAGAGCTCGGCGCCAGTCCTGGGGTCTTACGAATCACTGGCCAAAAAGCAAAAAATGGGAGGCGACCTGACGAAATAAACGAAGAGGCGGACATCGGAAGGTCAAAAGGTGGATTTGCGGGCAAGCGAGATTCTGACGGTTTCGCAACACTAAAACAAGCATTGCAAAATAGACCCTCCATGCAAAAAGGAGACTAAATTTCAGGATTGCTGAGTGACACTCTTGTTTGGTTGGTCCTTCAAGTCCCCACCAAACCCTATTCCCGTTCAAGGGATCCATCGGTTGATCAAGACTTGGATCGGGGCTGCAAAAGACAAGAATCATGCTTCCCCAAACATGCCAAGCGAAACCTACCATGGAATATGATTGGCAATCCTGGCCGTGGTTTTCTAAATTCCCTGTTAGAGGTTTGATGACCCCAAGTAAAAGGGTACTTCGACCATGGCACACGTGGACTTGTCTCAAAATCAGGGGCAACTCATGGTTTCCCTTTGATTTCTCTTAAAAAACAAAAAAGGAGAAACAAAGCGAAGGGAGAACAAAAAAACTTCAAGCTCTTGTTTGGGGCTGGCCTCAAACAAGAGACACGACATGCCCAGCGTCGGTGTCAGCGTCTCGTCCGGCGGCCTCCAGCACCAGCCCACAGCTGGCCGCGTCCGGCCGAAGCGCCGCAACATGCATCTGCTGCAAAACCTGCAGCATCTGCTGCCAGGCGTCCATGGCGCCTCAACATCCGCGGTCAAGGCCCGAGCCTCCGAAGAAATGGGTTTGAACCACACGAAAAACCGCATCCTCCTGCTGGTGCCCATGGCAAGGCACCTAAAAATTGAGTGTGAATCACTGAACCCAAAACAAACAAACAAAAAAAGCAACCTCAGGTTGGTTCCCCTGGCAAACTGTGTTGGAGAGGTGCCTGGCTAAATCAAAAGCTGGGCTTTGGAGCCGTTTCTTGCGATGATCGAATCCTATCTAAGTGACTGGATACTCATGTCGCATGCAGTCCATTTTGATATCACACAAAGAATGATTGGCCACAACCAAGGCCCTCTTTGCAACTTGTGCGCGGATCACGGGAACCAAGCCGCACCAGGCCAAAAACGTACTCTGCAGCCTGGCTGCTCAAGAGCGTGTTGTATGCCACCGTGTCCACCCGCAGCCGGCCCCGCGACACCATGTCCAGCACCCCCAGGCATCGCTGCCACTGCCGGGCCACCTGGCACGCCTTCATCGCCGCGCTGCAGCTCATCAAATCCACCGCCCCCGCCGCCTCCTCCGCCTCCATCATCCGCAGGGCCAGCGCCCAGGGCACCGACTTGAGGCACGCCGCCAGCACCCGCGCCCGCGCCGCGTCCGAGTCGGAGTCCTCCGCCAGGGCCAAGGCGTGGCGCCAGGCGGAGCCGTCGGCGCAGGCGCGCGCCGCCAGCACGCGGCCCGGGCCCGAGGCCTCGAGGCGCGAGCCCAAGATGCCGAGGGCCGGCTGCCAGGCGCTCTGCTTCTCCTCAGGAAGAAACAAGGTGATCACTGAAAATGGACCAAGGGGAACCCAAGACCGAAAGTGGCCTGAAAGTTCAGCCTTGGAACTTCAAGTTGGGAAAGTGACCTAGAGATACATGGACTTAGGGGAACGACAGACTGTCTGAATTAGTCGGTCTTCAAGTGAGGCTCACAAGCAGCCAGCGCCGTGTTCCGCGCCACCTGGACCTCCAGGTCTTCGTCCACCATCTCTGCCAAGAGGACCACGCAGGCCGGCCACAAGGCCGCTTGCGCGCAGGCGCCCACGGCCGTGCAGTATGAGACGACATCTGACTCCACACTCAGCCGGCGGAAGTCCTCGAACAAGACCAGCGCGTGCTGCCAGCGCTTGCCCCTCACGCACGCGTCCATGGCGGAATTCAAGGCCACCGCGCTCACCCTCCGCTCGTCCGCCATCTCCCGCAGCAAGCTCAGCGCGTCGCGCCAGCGGCCGGCCTTCTGGCAGGCCTTCAGCGCGGCGCCGTACCTCGGTTGCTTTCTGCTCCCCTGCTAGAAGTTGAACTTTTAGTGGTTGAATGGAAAACCCACTAGTTGGCAAAAAGCTGAAGTCCTAACATCCCTTGGCAAAATGCACCAAAGGTACGTCAGCGCGTTGGGCGCCAGGCTGTCCACGGGCGCGCGCTTCAGCAGGTCCCAGAAGAGCCGCAGGCCCGCTGCCCACTGGGCCGCGGAGGCGCATGCGTTGACGCAGGTGGTGTAGCTCACCTGGGCACGGATCCCACCCCGGCAAAAAGTGACACGATGGTCAAAAGGAAAAGTAAGCCGGAAACCCCAGCAAGCAACACTGCAAGAAGCTCAGCCGAAACCCATTGACTTTGTTCATAAAGGTCATTTTGGATCGCGGGGGGGGGGTACTATGACCCCCGGGAAAGCCGGTAGCACAAAATGAACTTTCATGAGACTTGGTTGTTTCAACCAAGGGTTGCTCCGCCCTTTGTTTTTCAAAGGGCCGGCCAATTCTGACTCCATGTTGTGCTACGAGGGTGGAGGGGTCCCGGAAATGTCCATCCCGTTTTTGCTTTCAATCGGTTGGCCACATGGTTTTGCACACCCCTTCAACTGCACAGCCACATGGTGAGCACACCCGCTCACGTGCACCCGCTCAGCACTGCACGCACGCCAGCCTGGTAAGCACCCGCTCAACATTGCACACACAAACACACACGCCAGCCACATGGTAAGCACACCGGTTCAACTGAGCCCGCTCGCCACTGCACACACGCTTGCGAGTTGGCAGGTGTCCATTGATTTCTGATCTTCCTCTTGCGCAGCGGCGTGTTAGCGCTGGCTGGAGTTTCGTGTTTTCTCGCCGCTCGGTTTTTGAGCATGAGCAGCACTAAAAAGACATTGGAGGTTTAGCAAACAAGTCTTGGAGTCATGGAACTACCTTCCGACACTGGCTATGGTTGTTGGCTCATGCCGATGAAAGTGCTGTGCCTGCCATCGAGTCATGTGGGGCTTCTGTCGAAAACAACCTGAAAACAGCGAGGCCGCTAACGGGGGCATGACCTTGTTTTTGGGGTATGCTTTTTTGGGCATCCTCTCTTCCCCGAAATTTTGGCAAATCGGCACATGGTTGGTTAAATGTTTGGTTTTTGGGGTGTGCTTTTTTGGGCGCCCTCTCACTTCTCTCCCCGCATTGTGGGAAAAGAGCATTTGGAGCACCACCCCTTTTTGATACGTTTTTTTGATTGTGTGTTTTTTTGGCGGGGGGGAGGGGGGGTATGCATGTTGGACATCCCCTCTCTTCCCCCGAAAGGACAAGATCTAAACCAAATCAAGTGTCTGCCAGCCTAGGTCCGACCCCAGACTTGGTTCAGCTGGGAATCTGGCCTTGACACAAACAATTTCAGCGAGGAAAAGCCTGAAACCAAAACAGCTTCAGCAAGAGGGGCGGGATTGAAAAAGGGGGGCCCGCCCCGGGAGGAACCCACAGGTTTTGCTGAGAAACAAGCCCAAACAAGTTTCGGCAAGACACCCAGCCTTGACCCCAAGCAAGTTTCGGCGAGGAACCCAGCGTTGACACCAAACAAGTTTCGGCGAGAACCCAGAGCTGACCCCAAACAAGTTTCGGCGAGGAATCCAGCATTGAACCCAAACAAGTTTCGGCGAGGAACCCAGTGTTGAAACCAAACAAGTTTTGGCGAAGAACCCGCCCAGCATTGACCCCCAAACAAGTTTCGGCGAGGGATCCGGCGTTGACCCCCAAACAAGTTTCGGCGAGGAATCCTGCGTTGACCCCCAAAGAAGTTGCGGCGAGTGACCCGGCGTTGACCCCCAAGGAACCCAGCGTTGACCCCCAAAGAAGTTGCGGCGAGTGACCCGGCAGTCACCCCAAACAAGTTTCGGCGAGGGACCCGGCGCTGACCCCCAAACAAGTTTCGGCGAGGAATCCAGCGCTGACCCCCAAAGAAGTTTCGGCGAGCTCCTCAGCGAGTAGCTCTCCCAAATGTTGTTGGTCCAAGATTGGTCCAGAGATTGGATTTCTCTCCGAAAGTTAGGGGGTGCACCGCCAGAGTTTCGGTGAGCTCCCAAACCCCCCCCCCAACTCCCCAAATTTCTAGAGAAACCAATTCCCTCTATGCCCAAATCAACTTGGGGGTAGATCTGGGTGGGGTTTTCGGTGTAGCTCTCCCAAACTTGGGCTAGCAAGGAGGGTCAGTTTCGGAGAGGAATCAGCGTTCCACCATCCCAATCCAAGCCTCCCGGAAGCGGCAAACAGCCATAGCCCCGCAAGAAGCTGGACAACATTTGGGAGAGCTACTCGCTGAGGAGCTCGCCGAAACTTCTTTGGGGGTCAGCGCTGGATTCTTCGCCAAAACTTGATTGGGGGTCAACGCCGGATCCCTCGCCGAAACTTGTTTGGGGGTCAACGCCGGATCCCTCGCCGAAACTTGTTCGCCGAAACTTGTTTTGGGGGTCAACGCCGGATCCCCCGCCGAAACTTGTTTGGGGTGAATGCTGGATCACTCGCCGAAACTTGTTCGGGGGTCAATGCCGGGCGGGTTCTTCGCCGAAACTTGTTTGGGGTCAATGCTGGGTTCCGCGCCGAGACTTGTTTGGGCTTGTTTCTCGGCAAAACTTGTGGGTTCCTCCCGGGGCGGCCCCCCCTTTTTGCAATCCCGCCCCTCTTGCTGAAGCTGTTTTGGGTTCAGCCTTTTCCTCGCTGAAATCAAGGCCGGATTCTCTGCTGAACCAAGTCTGGGGTCGGACCTAGGCTCTCGACACTTGATTGGGTTCAGATCTTGTCCTTTTGGGGGAAGAGAGGGGATGTCCAATATGCATACCTCCCCCCCCCCCCCGCCAAAAACACGTATCAAAACGGGGTGGTGCTTCAAACGCTCTTGTCCCGCAATGCGGGGAGAGAAGTGAGAGGGCGCCCAAAAAGCACACCCCAGAAATAACGTGTCAAAAAAGGGTTGTCTTCCAAACATGGATTTTCCAAAATTCGGGGGAGATAGGACGCCCAAAAAGCATACCTCAAAAACAGGGTGTCAAAAAAGGGTTGTCTTCCCGAAAAAAGCATACCCCAAAATGGGGCATCAAAAAAGGGCGGTGTTCCAAATGTCGGTTTCCCAAAATTTTGGGGAAGAGAGGATGCCAAAAAAGCATACCCCAAAAACAAGGTCACGCCCGTTTTCTGGTTTTTTCGACAGAAACCCCACATGACTTGATAGCACGCAGCACTTTCAGCAGCACGAGCCAACAACCATTGCCAGTTTCATATAGTATCTACATGACTCCAAGACTTGTTTGTTGAAACTCCAGTGTCTTTTAAGTGCTCATGCTTCAAAACCGAGTGGCGGGAAAACCCGAAACTCCAGCCCACGCTGATACGCCCCCGCGCAAGAGCAAGATAAGAAACCAATGGACACCTGCCAACTCGCAGGCGTGTGTGTCGTGCCGAGCGGGCTCAGTTGAACTGGTGTGCTTACCATCTGACAAACGTGTGCGCAGCGCTGAGCGGGCGCGCATGAGCGGGTGTGCCTACCATGTGGCCGGTGTGCGTGTGTGTGTGTGTGTGCGAAGTGCTGAGCGGGCTCAGTTGAACGGGTGCGCTTGCCATGTGGCTCGCGTGTGTGCAGTGCTGAACGGGTGCGCGTGGTTGTGCGTGCCAACCATGTGGCTGGCGTGTGTGCAGTGCTAGGCGGGCTCAGTTGAACGGATGTGCTTACGATGTGGATGCCGCGTGTGCAGTGCTGCACGGGCGCACGTGAGCAGATGTGCTTACCAGGTGGCTGGCGTGTGTGCAGTGCTGAGTTGAACGGGTGTGCCTACCGATTGAAAGCAAAACAGGAGCGGACATTTGCGGGAACCCTCCGCCCTCGTAACACAACATGGAGTCAGAATTGGCCGGCCCTTTGCAAAACAAAGGATGGAGCAACCCTTGGTTGAAACAACCAAGTCTCATGAAAGTTCATTACAACAACTTGTGTGTTTGAGCGGCAGCCGGAATGATTTTGTCGTGCCAAAGTAGAGCCACGTACTAACATGGCTAATGCTCACCCAAACAAAAGACGCTTCAAAAGGCCCGACGCTTAAAACCTGCAAACCCTGGGGCGGGCATTTTCCTTTGTAGAGGATCGATCCATAAAATGGTGGTTGTCCTCTTGTTTTTCCTTTCAGACGGCACAACCTAGCGGTACCCTCGAAACAGACACTCCACTTGGGCTCCTTTCCTTTAAGCCACACAAAACAAGTGGTACCCTCACCACAGACACCCCCATACAAAATTACGACCCGGTTTCACCCATAGATTTGGATGAAGAAGGAGGCCTTCCGAACGGTTCCGTGCGGGTTTTATGGTGAGGATGCACGGCTGTAAGGTGGATGTAAGGTTCCCCTGTGCAAGGGTTGAGATAAGTTACCCAAACCCCAAACCCCAAACCCCGAACCCCTAATAATTATGTGTTTTACACATTTACCTGTGGTTCTGCCGCAGGGTGACGACGTCTGCCCGGCAGCCCAGGCCCGTCAGCAGAAGCAGCGCCACATGCCAGGCCGAGCTCGCCTCGCAGGCGCGCAGCGCCACGTTGGAGGCGATGAGGCCCCGCGGGGACGGGGACGCCGCCTCAGTCGCGCGGCTGGCTGGGCGTTGGAAAAGGCCCTGAGTTGTTGACAAACATCCCGTACGGGGGGGGCGGGGGCTGTTTTGGAGTTGTGGTCGTTGTTGGATTCTTTTGGGAAAGCTGTGTTTTGGAGGGGGTTTTCCGGTTTTCGGGAGCTCCCAGTTTGAAGCTTCGATTTTGGGGAGGGTCACCGAACGGGGCTGTTCATACGCAACTCGCGTTTGGCGTGGGGCCATGGCGAAACTCCAAAAGGGCAAATGGACACCACGTGGAACAAGTGAGGTGTGCATCAAAATGCCCCCTGGCAACAAAAAAACAACAACCTCATTTCTTTCAAGCCAACCCCAAAACTTTTGGTTCCGAGCCTCCAGCCAAACATGTGCGCTCAGGTGCCAAAACGTGTCCTTTCGTCTTCGCGCACGCCCATTTTGACAACCTGTGCAGGTTTGGGTTTCCCATCAAAACAACCAAAAAAAAAAAAAAAAAAGCGGCCCAACCTTTGCCCGGCGCACGTTTTCTCCGACCCGCCGAGCCGCGAAGACCCGGAGCGCCTCCTGCCAGCGGCTGCCGCGCTGCAGGGCGCCCACAGCCGCGCTGCAGACGAAGTCGTTCTGCACCAAACCCATCCGTCCGGCCAACACCTGGCAGCTTTGCTTGGCCCACTGTCTGGTAGCTCCCAAGTCCATTTCTGATCCGAATCTTTCGAAACCTCTGGAAACCCGATCTGGAAAACGGATCCGGTTGGAAAGAACGATGGCGGAAAAGAATGGGGAATCAAGCCCTAGACACTTGCCCAATGGAGCCAGGAATCAAAGGTTAACCTTTTGGGGCCATGACGAAAGATGGACCCGCAAGGGGGAAGCTAAAAGGTCAAAAGGTCCGCTTGGGCAAGTGAGTTGGGTGGGGCAGTTCAACCCCTGGATTTGACATGTCTAGAAGTCAAACTCCTTTTGAAGCACTGAAAGAAGCACCATCCGTCATCAGAAACCAAACTCCGTTTGAGTTCCCCTAGGGACCCTAGGGGCTCAGGGTCCTTGTTGCCTCACCAAAACCCCCCAAAAAAAAGAAGAGGAAAAAAGAAGAAAAACAAAAAACGCCTGGCCCTAGAAACCCCTAGGTCTTGGATGCCTCAAACCGAGAAAGTCTCCGCCTGCAGTCCCCGAGCCCACTGCGAGCCCGCGCTGCACGCGTGGATGGCCGCCGCGATCACGGCCACGTTGCCGGAGGTCTCGGGCACCGAGGCGAGGTGTTGCTCCAACAGCAGCGTGGCCCGCTGCCACTGCTGGCCTGGCCGGAGATCCCCCCAAAAAAAAGTGTTGGGAGTCGAATCATTCGTTCCCCCGCTAACTGAAAAGCCGGGAGGTGCAATGAGAACCAGGCTGGGCTAAAGGCTGTTCCTCTGAACAAACGTCGCCCCAGCTTGATCGCCGAGAAGAAGGGAGTGGCGTTTTGCAAATGGTGGTTTTCCCTTTGGCATCCTTTCTAAAACGGGGAAAAAATATACCCTCGAAAAAGACAGATCTAGAACATGTGGAACTTGCCTGGGGCCCCAAATCACGGCCCTTGACGTCACGGCAGTGGTCCGTTGATCCCTTGCGAAAAGCCAAACTTTTGGTGGGGGTCGTAAATGGAGGGGGGTCTTTGTTCGTGTGAACCTTTGCAGTTGGTTAAAAAGGAAACCAAAAGGAAACTCGTCATCTTCCGGTTCAGTTTGTTTCAGACAAACCCAAATCCCCCTAATCACTGACGTCTCGAAGTCTAAGATGGCTGGAAACTACTAGGGACAAACGCCGGAGAAGCATTCGTGGTGATGTATGACATATTAACAGGCTTAGGGTGAAAAAATATGATAAACAAATAGGCTGGTCTCAACCTCAAAAGCACACCAAGAAAAGGTGCCTATACAAATTGCCACAAGCAACTATGCCAAAGAGAGGGCGTGTCAGGACACGCCCCTCCCTCAAGCGGCGCGCCTCGCCCACATGCTGCGATTGCGGCGCTGCACACATCGAAGGGTAGAGGCCTCCTGCGCACTTTCAGCGCCTCCAGCGAATTCAGAGCTTCTCGCCAACTCTGACGCCGGATCGCCTCACACACCGCGACTTTCGCCACGATGCACATGCTACTCCGAACTGGTCTGAGCGCTTCCTTGATTTTGCCCTCCTGCAAACTTTTGGAAGATACCCAGAAAGGGGTTCCACTCACCAAAAGGTTCAGAAGCAATGAAGAATGCTTTTGGTCCCAAAAAGAAATGCACGCATGGTAAATCAATCACTATGTGCATCACAGGCACATCAGCTCTCACCCCGCCAGGTGCTCCTGAGCGATTTGGACCACAACTATGGCATCTCCACCCCTTCTCCCGTGTAACCACTGGGAGGGGGGGGGGGCTGTTGGATATTCAACCACCTGTAGGACATAACTCTAGTAACACCCAGGCTTCTCAGTCTAAGGGAACCAACCCCAGACACTACCATGGTTGGAACCTAAGTGGCTTGAACATCCAAGTAGGGGGTACATATCCCCAGCCCTGCGCAGCTCGCTCCGGAGCCCAAATGCGCCTGCCCATGTTCAAGATAAACGCAGGTCACAAGCACCAGGAAAACCCCAGGTCCATTCTGACCCAGCCCTTGCTCAAATTAAAAAAATGAGCCCCAATCATCTTGTCGGAAATTGAGGGCCTGCACATATCCTCCTCTTCTTCTTCTTCCTCTTCTTCTTCTTCTTCTTCTTCTTCTTCTTCTTCTCTTCATGCTTGTGTGGTTTAACCCACCTAGTCATAGCAGGTTGCAACCATAGTTCCTGGGGTAACCATTCTTAGTTCCCTTACCTGTGGCTTAATTACAAGCCCCATCTCTCCGGCCGAAGCGCCCGCTGCCGCGCAAAGCACCATGGCGTTTGCCCCAAGGCTGCGGGCCAAAAACGCCAGCGGCACTTCGCCAAATGCGATTCGGCTGCTTCGTGGTGTTTGGCCCCAAAAAAAAAGAAGCCAACCCGACAAAAGTCTGGTTTCAACCAAGCGAGGGAAAGATAAACTGGGGTTTGGCCTTTCTCCCCCACCCCAAAGATATCTTGGGCGTGCCTTGCTAGACTGGGCTCCCGATATGTCCCTTTCTCACTGTGAACTTCAACCCCCAAAAGGGGGTGTTTTTCAGGGACACCTCCATAGACGGGTTGGCATTCAAAGGACACTAGAAGGCAACAACAAAAATGCGCAACCCAAAAAGCAATGCGAGAAATGTTGGGGTCCCCGCCTGGGACCCAGCCCAACCCGCCGCCGAACCAAACGCCCCCAAGGGAGGGGGAAGCGCACCACGAGGCTGAGCAAGTCCACCTGGGAACCGGGTGGAACGCCCGAAGAAGATCCCGGGTCAAAACACAACGAGCCATACTGTGGATGGACAAAATCCTCTTAGGCACCACCTCAGAAACCCTGGAAGGATGATTCTCCTGTAAATACCAAGAACTTATGGTTTCCCATGGTTTCTTGGGTGGTGCAGGATTTCGTCCATCCACAGTATAGGTCTGCTCTTAGCAGCCACTTTTTGGATGGGCTTTGGAGGAGACCAAACGAACACCAACAGTACATCTGCCTTTCAAGGTGATAAAGGGCTGCATCTCTAGCATGGTCTCCGCTGGCGAGACCGGTCAGCTGACCACGGCTAGCCCTGAGGTGACTCAGATTCCGAGGCACAGACGTTTGACCAGAAGTAGGTGAAAAAGCGGGCGCCATTCTTGTAGATCAGCCACGCGTTCTCAGCGCGCCCGGGCGCTCAAAGAACTACTTGAAGGGGCAGGGTACCTAGTTGGTTAATAAGCCTGGTTCTAACTCACTTAGGGGACTTGTAACCATGGTAAGCGCGTTATAGCCAGCCTTACTAACCACTTACAAAGTACCCTGCCCCTTTAAGTACTCTGGCTCCGCTATTGATGCTAGCAGCCACTTGTTTAGACAGTCCAAGCCTCGACCCAGAAAACCGACAGTCATCGAAGGAGCATCGGCTGAGAAGCGAGCGTACACAGCGAAAAGAATGCTCAGCCCGCACGTCAGGACCTGTCAGTGTCCACTTCTGCAATAGCGCAGCGAGGACTTTTAAGAGGAGGAGGTTCCCTGCTATCACGAAAGGGTTCATTCCTGCGCCCCTATCCATCCAAAAAAACCCAAGGCCCTCTGAACATTTGACCCTGCTTTCACCCCATCCACAGCCCGGGGATAACCCTCTCAGGCACAGGCCAAATACACAAAGCTGCCTCCAAAGTCATCCGCCGCCATTAGAGCCCTCGGTGTGGCTTCGTGACTTCCTCCCTTCGCCCACCCGACACACCTTCTCCAAGCAATCCCCTCAAACCCATCATTGCCCCACTTGAACCTCCTTGAGTAGTCCGGAGATTATGAGGCTTCCCCCCCTTCCCCCACCCCCCGCCCCGGCCGGTCTCTTTTTGCGCATTAATCGGTGGGAAGCTTGGGGAAGCCTTTGAAGACGCTCGGTCAACCCCAACTCGGGCTCGCGCAATGACAGCTGGACTGCGCGGAACGGGAAGGCCTGTCGCTGAAGCGTTGCTTCACGTTACCGGGGTCCGTGCGTCTCAATAAGTACAAATATATGTATAAATGTGTATATATATATAACATGTCCTTCATGTTGGTTTCATCCGCATGCCGGCAGAAACGCAATTGCACTCACTGTTTCATGCAACTCTTGGAACCCAAAAGCGCTGTCGTTGCAAAGGAGATTCCTCGAAAGATGACGGCGTCTTGGGCTTAACGTTCTATGTCAATCCGCTCAGTTCCCACCTCTTGGCGAATCAGCACGCCGCCCGCCGCAGGGAATTCGAACAGTATCCTGCAAGCTCAGCGTACATGAGCTGAGTCTAAAGCGGGCAAGTACAAGTAGCGAGTGACCCCCACATTCAGCTTCTTCAAATCCAGGGGTGGTTGTACATACCCCTTTTACATACCCCTTAGACAAATGAATGAACCAAAAAGATGGGGTATGAACAAGGGGTATGTACTTCCACCAGCCTTAGCTTCTTAGGCAGCAGCTTTGTCTACCACGCGCCTGCTGTGCACAAAGCTGTTGACGTTGGGGTTGATCGTGTTCAGCTCTATGATGAATGCTCCTCACGATGCTTGCTTTCCGCACATGCCGAGCGATCTCAGGAGCTGTTTTTCGCCCCTCAACAGCCGTTGTGCTTCCAGCACATCAAGGGTTGTCTCGACCTTTGGGGGGTTCGTCCCACAAGAAACCAAATTGCCCAAAGGAGGGTGGCAACCTCAGGAGAGACACATCGGACCCCGTTGCTGGAGGAAAGATTCTCAGAGCCCTAAGAAGCAGGCTCTAAGACTTCCACATGCTCAAGTCCAAAAAAACAAGTCCAGTAGTAATAGATTCCCTTTCAGAGCAAGGGGGGAAATAGAATATCTTCCGAAACACACCTGGGTGTGTCTTTTTTGAGGGTACTCCCTTGTTTGTGACTTTCAAAAAGGAAGCCAAAAACAAAAACCACCATTTATTTTGTGGTTTTGTTGTTTTTAGGGGAAGTGTCCCCGAAAAGAAGACACAGCCCAAATGGGGCAGTGGGCCTTCCACATTCCTCTCTACAACTTCTTTGCCAAGACACTGGTCCGACTGTCCACCCACTGCCAGTACTGGAGCTCCCGCAACCTGCCGCGGTTGCGGAAAGACCAAATCGGCATGAGCGAAGAAGACGGGTTGGGAAATACAAACCTCGGTATATAGAATTTTACGCATTCTTGGAAAAGAGCAGGACAAAAATGAACGGGCACCCTCATGGAATTCGTAGCCTCAAATCATGGGCCTGGGGGAGGAGAGGAGGGGGGAGGCAGCCCAATTAGCTGGTATGATAAGCCCGTAATATGGCCTTGTTTGGGCTCCCTCCCCTCTCCCTCATCAAAATGACCCTCGATTTGTGGGTTAGACAAACCACCCCCAAAACGAGGTCCAGTTGAAACGCGTGAAACGCGGCACGATGTCGAGGCCTGGTCTGCCCCCCGGTCATATTCAACCCCAAATCCATCACGAAGCCATCGCCAGGGTACGTCGCATACCTGGCGTGCTTCGATACGGCACCCCAACTTGGAAAGTTCTCCGAACATCTTGGGCGTGTTCTGCTTTTGGACCCCAAAAAATTGCAATTGTTGTGTCCTTTTTGCGTCCCTTCAAGTCAAAAACCAACCGAAAGTGTACCCAGCCCATTTCCGAGAAGCCCTCAGAATTCTCTAAGAACCTCTCATGCCCATGCCTGCTCTCAAACGCCGATGCTCCAGCAACACAAGCTGCCAAACAGCATGCAAGGTGCAAGTACCTCTTGCGGTGACAATGGCATACACCAGCGACATGCGCTGGTTTTTCTCCGGCATACCATCAGAACAGCAAAAACGAAAAGACAGCCATAGTTTTCTAGTCGTTGTGCCTTTTTGTCTTTTTGTTTCATGAGACGCTGAGTTTGCTGCGCCATCAAGTGAGCAGTTGTGCGGTGGCATGACGCCCGAGTGCACACGCTGCGAGTGCATTTACGAAGCTTCTTGACGGCCACCCCCCGCCTCCCGACTATGGGCCGCTGCTCTGTGATGTTGGCCTTCATCCAGGTATAGTGATCCTGCGGTGTAAAGATCTGTCAAAGCGGAAAATACGCCCCAAGCTCTCTTTCAAAGAGGCCGGGTGAGGTTTGCAGCCCAAAAAGGGCATAGCGGCATAGCCTTTACTCGTAGCCAAGGAATCTTTACCGTCTTCTGCAGTTCTCCATCGGAACAGGGCAAGGAATTCTAAACCCCCCTGTTCGGCCACAGGCGCCGCCTGCCTGGCATAGAAACCCTGTAAAACACAGTGATGCTCAATTTGGCCCAAATGGGTGTGTGTGTGTTTGTGTGCTGTGTGTGTGTGTGGTGATTTGAGGCTTGGTCCCCTCTGGCCTGGTGTGGGCTGGTTCAAAGGTAAGGGAAAACGGAGAACCTTTCGAATCAGGGGTCGTTGCCTAAGCAAATTGTCCATTGACGAGCGTCCTCCAGATATATTTCCCAAGTCAACATAACCTGGCAGGGTCATCGAATAAAAGGACCCGCTCCAAAAGTGAGAAATCCCACTAAACCCAGAGACTTCCCCTACCAAAAAACTAGCTTGATTCATTTGGTTGTTTCCCATTTCCTTGGGGTTTTAAGCCAAAACTGGATCCCATGTTGTGCGTTTGTCCAATTTGTGTCTTTGCGTGTTTGCGTCTTTGCGTGGTTGCGTGTTTGCGTGCTTGTGTACTTATGCTTGTCTTAGTGTTTGTGCTCAAGTGAACCGGCTGGTCATCCAAAACTGTAGGGGTACCTTCCCCATTCTTTCCAGGAATCCTTCGTAGAAACCCTCCGGAAACGCAGGGAGAACGGATCCGGTTTTTAAGGAAAGAATCATGGTTGAAAAGAATGGAAAAGGAATCAACCCCTAGAAAAACTGGCACCCTGGCATGCCTCGAATCAACAGGGGTACCGGATCAAACAAAAACAAACAAGGATCAAAAAAAATTGGATCAAAAAAAACAGGTATCAAAAAAATAGACACAGGTTTGGGGGGGGGTTTGGGGGGGGGGGGGGGGGGGGGTTTGGGGGGGGTTTGGGGGGGTTTAGGGGTGTTTGGCGGGGGTTTGGGGGGGGTTTGGGGGGGTTTGGGGGGGTTTGGGGTTTGGGGGGGTTTGGGGGGGTTTGGGGGGGTTTTGGGGGGGGTTTGGGGGGGTTTGGGGGGGGGGTATTCAAGCAAGTGCGATAGAATTTAAAAAAGCAGGGGGGGGGGGTTGGCGGGGGGGGCTTCTCCTATGATGTTCGAAGAAGTGCATACATACAGACAGACATACATACATACATACATTACATACATACATAGAGTACAAAAATTAAAAACATGTCGCATGTTACAGCACGTTCTCGCAAAATGCGATGTTCCAAAAAAAAAGTGAAGCTTTAAATAGGGGTGCAACTAAATCTCTGTGAAAATCTAAAAAGTAGTGGGGGGGTTGGGGGGGGGGGCGGCAGCCCCCCGCATGATGTTCGAAGAGGCGTGATGATTCAAATAGGGGTGCAACTAAATCTCTGAAGAAAATTCAAAAAGAAGCTGGGGGTTGGCGGGGACGGCAGTCCCCCCATGATGTTCGAAGAAGTGATGATTCAAATAAGGGTGCAATTAAATATCTGCAGAAAATCTAAAAAGGAGCGGGGGGACTGGGGGGGGGGGGGGGGGCGGCAGCCCCCCTCGAAGAAGTGATGATTCAAATATGGCACCCCCCCCCATGATGTTCGAAGAGGCGATGATTCAAATAGGGGTGCAATTAAATATCTGCAGAAAATCTAAAAAGGAGCGGGGGGGCGGCAGCCCCCCTCGAAGAAGTGATGATTCAAATATGGCACCCCCCCCACGATGTTCGAAGAGGCGATGATTCAAATAGGGGTGCAATTAAATATCTGCAGAAAATCTAAAAAGTAGCGGGGGGCGGCAGGCGTGAGGGGGCTGGGGGGGGGGGGGGTTGGCAGCCCTCCTCATGATTTTCGAAGAAGTGATGATTCCAATAGGGGTGTAATTAAATTCTGCAAAAAAACTAAAAAGTAGCCGAGGGGTTGGGGGGGGCGGCAGCCCCCGCCCCATGATGTTCGAAGAAGCATTGGGGGGGGGGGGGGGAGCGGCAGCCAGGTGGTGCTGCTAGACCCAGTAGTAGGCGGTAGTCGTGGTAGTCGTAGTAGAAGTAGTAATTGCAGTGGTGTTCATAGTGGCAGCGCAACAAAAGAATCAGTCCTAGAAGTAGTGTGAGGAAAGGAGTGGTAGCCATGATAAATAGTAGCAGACGCAGCAGCAGCAGTAGTAGATGTAGCAGTCGCAGCAACAGCAGCAGTAGCAGTAGTAGTCCCAGTAGCAGCAATGGATTGCATGGTGATTCCTACCTTTCTTCCTCCCTCCATTCCTTCCTTCCCTCCCTCCCCTCCCTCCCTCCCTCCCTCCCTCCCTCCCTTCCTTCCTTCCTTCCTTCCTCCCTCCCTTCCTTCCTTCCTTCCTTCCTTCCTTCCTTCCTTCCTTCCTTCCTTCCTTCCTTCCTTCCTTCCTTCCTTCCTTCCCTCCTTTTGTTTTTAAATTGATCCATGTTTTTTGTTTTTATCCCAAATTTTATTGAGGCGCATGCCCCAATCAACGGCCCCGATTCCCAGGTCCTTGAGGTGCTCTGGTGTCCAGGCGGGTGCCCAGGACAAGGTGCTCTGCACCGCGTCCGAGTAGTCCGCGAAACAGTCCTCGACGACGCGATACGACGGAAAGGAGCGCCGGGCCGAGCCGAAAACAGGAAAACCAGCTCAAAAGAGCAAGAGACATGAGGTAGCCTGGCAGGCCTTGAAAAATCTGGGCTGCCGGATTTCAGATCCGCCGCTAAAAGTGATTAACTTTCAGTGGGTTAAATGGAAATCCCCACTAAACACTAATTGTTGTTGGCAAAGCTGAAAAGATGTTCAGCTTCGCAAGTGGTTTGGATTGGTTGCGGATTTCAACCCTCGGTTCTGGTGGAAAAATCAAATCGGAAGCCACCCCCGAGACAGCCAAACCCTCGGGGGTGAAAAACTAGCTCAAAAGACCGCAAGAGACATGAGGTAGCCTGGGTCCTGTAACGACCCTCTGCGAAAAGTGAGGTTCACCTGTGTGTGGGTCCAATGCGGAAAATCTGAGCAGGTTCAACCAAAAAGTTGCAGCGATCCAACCACATGACCAGAACGTGGAAAGGCGCCAGGCACGGATCACGGACTCGCGGTTTCGGCGAAACTGATTGAAGCAAAGGCTTCGGCCATGCCGTCCTTTCAAGGATAGCCAAAAAAGCAGTTGGTCTAAATGTGTTCTTAATCTATCCTTCTTTTTTTTGGGGGGGGACCCCCGAAAAGGCGGTTGAAGCTTCCGTTTGGTTTCCCTTTAAACCCACCAAAGGGGGGGGTAATTACCCTCAAAACCAAAAATGAAACCGCAACACGGCGGCGAGATGTGACGGGCTTGAGCCGGGGCCGCAACGCTGACGATGCCTTGAAGGTCGTCGATGATGCTACAGGCCTGCCATCCGAGTCGAACTCCCGAGGGTGCTCCATGGCATGAATCACATGCCTGCTTATACTGATGGAAACCACATCCTCTTAGACACCGTTCAGAAACCCACAAATGATGCGAGTTCCCAAGGTAAACACCGAAGAATTGAAACCAACCGTAGTTTCAAAGTGGTGCGAAGGGATCTGTGCAGAGTTCATTTGAGCTGAGATTCCTCTGAGCTTGGGTTTGCGTCTCTCTCAGCCCGCATTGTTGGCCACAGGGGCAATAAGTCAGAGCTGAAATCCGGCCCTTCTTGCTTTCAATCTACCCTGCCCATGAACGAGGCGATGCATTTGTCTATTTGGCCATGGGTCAAAAGCCCGAACCCCCCAGTGAACATCCCAATCCCCACTAAAATAGACTAAAATTGGTGGCGCACCTCCCCCAAAATGGTACCATTGGTGTTGACCCACAGCCTAAAGCTTCGTCTGAGCACATCGTCGCTTCAGTTTTTTAGGGCGTCCCGGTTTTTGTTGGCCGGAGCCTGGCTGTATTGGACCCTGAGCTGGCGCATCCGCACGGTGCCGATCAGGATGGAGGTCTTCGTGTCCCCGACCTCGGCACGGAGTAAGCTCCATGAGGCGGCGAACTTCGTCCAAATCAAGAACCCAGAATTGCGTCGAGGCAACATGGCCAAGTCTCAAAAAATAGAAAATCGAAACACATCTCTCCTCGCGAAACTCGCCGCGAGGAGCGCCGTGCGGGAGAGAAAACCGCCTGCCCGACCCCATCAAAATTGAAACAAAAAAACCTGCCCAGAGCCGGTGGCCTCGAGGAATCGGGTCGGGTCGGTCTAAGGCTCTCAGGCAACGGCGTAGCGAGGCGTCCAGTGCATGGTGCCGTCCTGGCACCCCCCCCCCACCCCAGCGGTTGAGATGGGTTGTTTGGGCGTCCAAAAGCGGAGGTGGTGACTTGCCCCGCGTCTCACATGGGTGAAACCCAAAACGAACACTCTCTTTCCCGGACTTTTCCGGAAGGAAAAGCTGGGAGGAAAAGTCAGCCACACTTCTGAAAGCAACACTTTGACTTCTACCCTTTCTAGGGCCACCCCAGCCTTGCTGCTTCCTCCCTTACTTACCGATGGACCCATCTGTAGGAAAGGGTTGGCGGGGCTATGCCCATACTCGCCCCTGAGAACCAGCACTGTAATCAGATTAGCGGCAACGACTTCCCGGAAGTCAATCACGCATTACAAAGGAGCCAGCATGGGGGGCCGCTGGCCCCAAATCATTGGCTGGGCTTCAATGGAGAAACCCTTGCGACATGCCCTCAAAGTGGTGTATCCAAAAGTGAAACTCACTTGCCCCTTAGGGACCCAGAAATAAAAGCTGATCACCTTTTGGGGCCATGACTCCATGACTAGAACCAAAAAGGAGAAGCCAAAAAAATCCGATCCGGTCGATTCGCTTTGGGCAGAGGACATCTTGGGCCCACTCCCGGAAATTCGGTGGCTCCAAAGCCCCCGGCCTGCAGCCGGTACACGGAAGGGGACCTGAGCGCCAAGCGGCTGACAAGCGGCGGACCGTTGGAAAAACGTCGGTACCTCTGCTTCTAAACGAAATCCTTTTCGGCACCCACTGTTCAGAAGCCCAAGGACAAGTCTGTAAATAGTTTCGATGGTCTCAAAGTGGTGCAGGAGTGCGTTCATCCACTGTACCTTGAGAGAAAAGGCCGGGGAAGGGGGGGGGGGAAGCGAAAGCTGGCCCTGCTTGGCAGAAAAAGGCCGATGTGCCTTGTTTAACAGCCCGCTGCGCAAAAGTCTTGTTCGTAGGTATCGTCCGTCGGCCCCCTGGAAGCTTGTCAAAACGGTGCCTGCACACACCCCACGCCACACCCACCTTTAGCATTTTTCCCCCCCAGGACGAACCCCAAGCAAAACCTCTTCGAGGCCAGCTTTCGTGAGTGGAAATCCAGGGGCCACCCCCTCAAGTGTAGACCCACGCCCAGAAAGGTATTGACAAAGCTCCAGGAGCAGCGATTACCAAGGTAAGAAGACATGGAAGCCGCAAGAATAAGCAGAGGCAGGAAGCTTCTAGATGTTGGTTGTTGTCTGGTGCTGACCCTAGATGAAGCCCCCCCGGCCCAAAAGATTCATCAGCATCAGCGGGTCCAGTTGCCTGGTGCGGAACCCCAACTTCCCAACTAGGGACCCCACTGATCAATTCCCGATGGGTTTCTCAATCGGGGATTCGGATTAACTGGAAACAAGAAGGATCAACTACCTAGAGATCATGGAAGGGGACTTGGAGGTCGGTTAAAAGGAAAGTGGCCTTCCCGGCTCGCCAGCTTCCCTGTGTGTTGAAGCTCGGGGCCTGCTTCGGAAACACCAATATGTTGTTCTCCCGGGAGAAGCACCCGAGGAGTGCTTTCTGTTAACAACATCCAACAAGGCCAGTTGGATGTGCATGGTTCCATGAATCACCTGAGTGTAACGTGTGTTTTTGAGGATGTCACTGTCACAAAGCCGAGGTTCCATGGGGCAACTAGGTCCTCCAGATTTGAGAGGTTACAATAAGGGTACCCTTTTCTTCTGTAGTCTATTTTAGTAGGGGAACCCTCCCAACCAAAAAGAAACGGTGAGAAAGTTGGCACCAATTGCTGGGGGACCAAGGGGTACTCCACGGCTGGCGTTAAAAACCGTCAAACGCGCCCAAGACCTGGGAGCGCGGCTTGACCACCGAAGGGTACTCTGTGCGATCTGTAAAGGCCTGAGCTCAACATGCCGACGCCATGACGCGACATGTTCTTCCCAGGGCCAGGGGCTTCCCAAAGAGGGGCCCGAAAAAAGGAACACTAATGGCCCGCAATACTGTGGATGGACGAAATCCTGCACCACTTTAAAACCATGGGAAAACGCAATTTGTTGGTATTTACAGAAGAATCATCATTCCAGGGTTTCTTAGGTGGTGCAGGATTTTGTCCATCCACAGTAGGCCTTATTAGTTGCTGTGGGCCCCTTTTGGGGCCCCCTACTGGGGAACCCTCGACAACATTGGATAAATTGGAACCATGCTTACAAGCGAATTTGAGTTGGTTGCACGTCCAAGAACACCGGGATCCCCGGGAGGGGGAGGGGGGCAAGTGAAAGTCCAAGCGGCCAAGGGGACAAAGTCATCCGTCAGCCACATCATCAGGGACGGGATATCTTTGATATCCTCGGCACAACGGATCCTCTGAGCTTCCGACCAGTTTGGCTTGCTGGTTGGGTAGGAAGATTCCCTGAGAAATGGAATCACCAAGAAAAACCATCCATCCGATTTGGTTCCCTTTGTTCGGGAATCCCTCTCAGCCATTCCATTTCTACATGTCGCCCCAGCTTTTGTTGTTTCACTGGCCCCAGCTATCCCTTCACCCCTATGCTCATCCTCTATGGTTTCCTGCAAGGGAGTTTGCAGGTACATTTCCAACACCCGGTCTCGTTGCCATTCCATACCTAGCATCGCACCAGCCAGCTGATATCCCTTGAGGGGTGGGCCCAATGGGCGGGGCGGGGCCCCACTTCACCACTGGGCTGCGGACGTTCACCTTGCAATGCCGCGTGGCAGCCTGTTCAGCGATTCGGTTCTGTGATAAGCGACGTGCGTTTGGAGTTCTTCCACCCGCGGCTGGCTTTTTGGGGGAAGCTGCGCATCTCACTCTGGGCGACAACCAATTCAGGTTAAACTTTTGTTTCTTTCTTGGCTCCATTCTCTCAAAGGCAACCCCTGCAGCCTTTGCCAAAAAAAGAAAAAGCGGCTTCCCACCCAAAGAATTTGTCCCCACGGACACCTGAGACCAAACTCCAGCGCCTGCATGGTGCAGCCTCCCCAGTAGTCCAGCTGCTGCCTCGAGAAGCAAAAAGCGAATCGGCTGGCCGGTCCACTTGCGCTCCCCAGGCATTTGGGTGACCTAGCTGCTCCCCAATATTTCCCCGGTAAAAAGGGCACTCACCTTAGGTTGGCGCGAAAGCTGAGTTAAGTTTCAAACCAACCTGGAACCCAAACCATCAAATGGAAACTCGGCCAGTTAGCTGGCCTGCACCCCGGCATGCCTCCAGCCCCCGCCCCCGGCCGGCCCGGCCTCCGGCTGGAGTACAAGTCACCTGCCTTCTCTGAGATCAGGTAGGTGGTTAGCACGAAGAGGAACAAGGAGAAAAACACGCCCTGCCATTCATGCGGCCAGATGGAAAAGAATTGATGCTGAAAAACCCATGCGGCTTCAACCATTTTCTTGACATGTGCGTTTGGGGGGGGGGGGGAATCCATGATTCAAGAGAGACCCAGTGCGTGGCGCGACTCTTGTGACGTTAGCATGAAAAGGGAACAAGATGAACAAGCATAAGCAACAAAAAATGAAAGAAGAGGAGAGGAAGAACAGGTAACAGCAGGCGCCAACTGACCAAAAGCTGGTCCGTCAAAGTGACATCCCCCAGAAGCACCCTCTACAGGTTGCTTCAAAGGGAAACAGCATTAAGAACCCCTGCCACTCCGCACGACTCCGACGCGCAATCTCTTTTCCTCCCTCTACTTCTGTTGCTGGCGCATCTCCGCTATGCGCTGCTCGCTGCGTTTCTTGGCAAGCGCCGCCGCCTGCTCCCGGTTCGCGATCTGCTCCTCCTCTGGGCGTGAGGGATAGGAGTATAACTGGGGTAGCTCGTGTCAGTTGCCTTACAACCACGGCTTTAACTTACCCTATGCGCCTGACATGGGTTGAGCATCCAAGTGCAACAGGGTGAAAACAAATGCCACCATTCACTTAACGTGGGTAAAGGACTGCAAAAGAGGGAGATGAAATCGGGAAGATCTACTTTCACCCAACTGCAATAAGAGATGGTTTCTCCTATATACTCTACACAAAATACCACCCAGGGTGCGATGGGGTTTGAAACCACTTGGTATGTGTGACGTGTCCCAGGGTGGTTTGGGGTGGCAGACCATCTTAGATCCAACAGGCCAGCTTCTAGCATCTGCCTAGTCTACCCACAACCCAAAACACACCCAATGGAAGACCAAAGCGGACCAGGGAGAATCGTTGGACCCATGAATTGGTGGCTTGGACTGGTGGTTTAGTTGGAGGTTGTTTTCCGTTGGCCCTCTAGGGTCCTTTTCTCCCCAGATCTTTGTTAAGGCTTCCCTGTTCCCCACAAAATCGAGTGGACCCATACCTCACAACTCGAGTTAAATTCCAGCAACCAGCACCGCCCGAGGCCTTTCGCGCTCGGCCCGCCGCTCGCGCCTCGGACTGTTTGTGGCGCTGGTTCGCCATGGCAAACGCCTTGTCCGCGGTGGTGTGGAACTTCAAGCCCTCGCCCCCCAGCCAGTCCCCGGCCTCCTCGTCGCCTCCTTACTCCGCTGGCCGGATGCTTCTATGTTCCTTTTTCGGGGTGGTCCAAAGGGACACGAAAAGCAAAGCCCAATTGGTTTTCTTGGGGGAGGGCTAAAAGACAAGAACATCCCCATCTCTAAGCAGGCTCTTACACGAGACAAGAACAATCACCAATAGACTGCAGGTCCTGAAAAAATACCTAAGGGAGACAAAAAAAAACTTCGGCCCCCAAAAAACGGGCGTTGGCTTCGCCTTCTCTCGCCGAGGCTCCCTCTCCGGCCTTCCAAATCTCGTTCATGGTCAGCCGCTCATCCGCATCCGGGCCCTCGCGCTTCTCTTTCGCCGCCAAGGCCTTGGCCGTCTCCGCCTCAGAGCGTGTGGTTGTGGCTTTTTGCGCGAGGCGCGGAAAACGGGGATCGAAGTCCATGAACACAACTGGAACCAAGCCACAGATTGTTTGCCCCATTTCGATGGCAGGGATTTGCCGCAATTTGGAACATCACATCAGAAGGCATCTGTTGCCACCTCTTAGAATGGACAATGGCCAAAGTCAACATATGTGGCATTAAGTACATGTCACCACTCCTACCTGTCATAAACAAAAATGGCCACAGATTGCTTTGTTTATGTTAGTGTATCCTCAGGCTGAAAAGCAAAAGAACACCCATCTAGGCCTTTTGAAGTCACTTATATTTGAAACCAAACAAAACTGGACACAAATTGCTTGCTCCATTTCGCTGGCAGCTTGCATAAACTGAGCAGAGCTTAGCGGCGGGGGAGGTTTCCACAGAAAAGCGAAGGGGAACAAATAGAAGGAGCCACACATGGCCCCAGCCAACCCCAACCCCCCACCCCCCCACCACCTCTCCGCCTCCAGCTCCTCCCTGTGGCGCTGCTCGGCCGCAGCCGCCTGCTCCGGCAGCTGGGAGGTCTTCAGCCGGTCCTTGAAGTCCGCCAAGCTGCTCTTCATCTCTTTGTGGGACGCCGCCCGGGTGTTCTTTGCGGAAGCCGGAAGAGCCCAACGGCTTGGGAGTCTGAAAAGGAACACCAAAACGAGATGTCATTTTTTGGCCACACCTGCCCAAAATGGAAGGAAACGTAAATCAGCTGCAATGTTCGGCACAGGAAAATGTAGCGATCGTGGTGGGCAGCCCAACTCACGTGACTCAGAGCCAAGGGAGTAATTGCAACCGATTGGTGACTAGCGACTGGCCAGTTCTGACTCGCCATTGATGGGCCAGGCCCTTCCCATGCCTCATGTGAGCTTGCTCTGACTCAACAGCCGATTCATGACGGGAAGCACCTGTTGCTTTTGCGGATTCCACCCTTTCCCTCTTTTCCCACCAGCTCTTCAAAAACCCGATTCAATCAAAATGATGTGTTCCCCCAAAAAGGTTCCATGCGCCTTTTTGTTGGACAGTCTTCCTTGAGAACCCATCCGTTCACTTTTCCATGGTGCGGCTTTCAAGCTCTCCTTCCACCCACCAAAAACATGGTATGGGCCTTTTTCATGGTGGCGGCCTCTTTCCCTTTCCCTTTCAAGCTTCCCTTTCAAGCTTTCCAGGCTTTTTCCCCGCCTTGGACCTCTCCGGAGCGCCCGCCGCTATCTCCGGCGCCTCGAACGCCTCCGGCGCCTCGGACGCCTCCGCCTCGGTCTCGGGCAGGCCCAGCAGGCTGGCCTTGCTGGGGCCCATGGAGGGCTTCCTCGGAAAAGCGACCAGCGACCGGCGACCGGCGATCGGCGATCGACGGGAAAAGAAGTGGACAAAAAGAGAAAATGAGATGGAGACAAGTTCTATTTGATGTTTGTTCTGTTTTGTCTGCGTGTTTTAAAGACGGCTTGTATAGGGAATAAGTCAGGGAGACGTACTCCAAGGGCACATGGTCGAGTCGTTCGGGTTGGGGTTATGAGCTATGCGAGTGATGAAGCTAATTAGCACACTGCCGGGTTGTCAACGCCTGCTTTGTGGACCAGTTTGGTGTCTTTTTGTGCCACCAATGCAAGGGTCCAAAAGGAGTCCAGAATTTTAGGCAGTAGGGGATGAAGCGAGCCGTCTTTCAAGTGGGCCAATTGATGATCTTCCGCCAAAAAGGAGAAAAATGGTCACTCCATAATTTTCACACACACCGAAAACAAAGAGAAAGAAACAAGGACGGCCAACAGCTCCACTCATTTCGCCCCAGCATCTTGCTCCTCTTCAGCTCCTTCTCGGCCTCCCTCTCCGCCTTAAGCCTCGCGGCCCTCTCCGTCGGGGTCTCCTATCCCCCAGCACGCCAGAAACCGCAGGTGCGTCCATGGTGCGTGGTCCCCTTTGTTGGGGAGAACCACAGGCCCAAGGGGAAACCAGCCATTTGTGGAAACCGGCCTCTTCAATGTCCATGTTTCTTATTGTGCCCCATTGTTCAGCGGGCCCGAAAGGTGAAGGTGGACCAATCTGGGCGACCGGCCTTTCTTTGCTTGCAAGGTGCTGCTAAACAGGGTTCTACAAGAGTTGAATTGAACATTTTGAGAATTATACAACTGTTTGCTTCTTGGATCCGGATGGTCGGTAGCATGGCCGGACTATGAACTGTTCCTGGTTGCAGGGAAAAATATGAAGTCAACCCAAAATAGGCAACATGCTACAAAAAGAAAAACCGATTGGCTAACTTTGGCCAAGATTCATCACAACCATTCTGGCAGCCACCGGTTTTTGTTCATGCGCACCATTGTTCAACACCTTTCCACCCCCCCCCCCCTCCCTCCCTGTCCGCCGGTCTGGTCTGGTCCCCCCGAGTCTCTGGGGTCTCGCGTCCTTGTACACCACCGAGGCGGAGCCATCCTCCTGGCGGCTCCGCTTGTTGGTGCCCGGCTGCTCGTCCAGCAAGGGGTCCCGCTTGGCGTTCACGCCCTTCAGCCGGTGCCCCACGATGTGCTCCGGGCCCTTCCTGACGCACACAAACAGTTCGTCGTCAGGGACGGGAAGACCCGGCTTTGTCTCCAAAAAAGGGCAGGGGGGTTGTCCTTTTGTGGCTTCCCGCTGAAACCCACACCCAAGAAAGGTGCCAGAAAAATGAGACACCCGCCTAGGTTACGAAAGATTGATAGTATTGTAGCTCCCTATCCCGTGGTCTTCCAGCATGCTCCATGTGTTCCAGGCACATCTTTGTTGAGTTGGAACTCTTTCTCGGGTGGTATTTTTGACTGTGTCTCATTTTAAGACACGTCCCTATGTTCCAAGGTGCGGTAGAGCCCGCCGGGGCTGAGGTAATAGCATCGACCGGACAAACAACGTCCGGTCGGCGTTGAAGAAGAAAGCGAGTGGGAGCCAAAGGCCGGTGGAGCAGGGTTCCGCTGTTTGACTACCCCGAGGTAGACTTCAACCCAGGGGTTTCCCTTTTGGGGAAATCAACCACCCCTGGCTTTAAGTCGACTTTGGGGTCCAAAAAAAAGGGAACCCTGCAGAGTCTCGCCATCAAAAAGGAGGGAAAAGCCCTGCTATCGAACCGCCGGGCTTCACCTTCTTGAACATGGCTTCGCTTCCACCGGCGCAGAAGTGCCGAAACCGGCTGCAAATCAAAGCTGGTCAGGTGGACGTCTAAGATTTCGTGAGAGTTGTTTCGGGGGGCCACATGAAGAAATCCCGTGAATGTCCTGGGCCTCTTATAAACACAAGCTTGATTGAAGCGCGCGCAATCCACCGAAGGCCAAATGTATGAAGCTCACAGATCGGACGCGTTCAGGTCATCTGCGGCTTCCAAAACCGACATGATCTCCTGTTGCTTCGGCACTTGCCTCGCAGAACATGAGCTTCATGGTTTTGTATTCCAAGGACTTTGTCCGGTAGATGTGACCTGCGCCCCGCGAATCCGCAGCGCAGACATGAAGCCCTCAGCATTCGAAGCTGCTGAGCTTCCCACTGCTATCCATGTGCTCCAGGTGCTTCCAGAATCTGACATCCTATGGCCACAAACGAACAATTGCAACTGCCAGGTCCTGTACAGAGCTTTGAATAAGGGTACCAACTTTTTCTGTAGTCTATCTTAGTACGGGAACCCTCACCCCAAAAAGGGTGTAAAAGCGCACTACTGGGGGACCAGGGCTACATTGTTCTTTTCAAAAAACCGAACGGCGGCAAAGCGGAGCCACTCAGGCTGCGGCTCCCAGGTGGAGGTTGCTATGCCTCTCCTGGCAAATGTGAAATATGGGTGTGTCTTGTTTTAGGGACCCCAATTTTCTGTGTTTGGCCACCTTTAAAACCAGCAAAAAGAGGGATTCCGGAGTCTGGACCCTCGAGAACAAGGACAGACCCATATGAGACCCCCGGAGACGACTCCTTCCCCTGGGCGCCCTTCACGCAGGCCGTACCCAAGAAACATTTAGACGTCCATTCAGCCAGGCTACTCGAGCGCTACTTTGTTTTGTCTTTTTGTTGGCTTCCAAGCAAGTCAACTGATTCACTTTGCTACGCACACGAGCCCAAGCCTCATCCAGCAGCCGGTCCAGGAAGGACAGCGGGCCCCCATCCTAACCGGAAGAGAGAGACTTGACCCTTCCTCATCTTCAAGCAAATTGGGCCGAGCCTAGTTCCGGACCCAAAACCATGAGGTGACTTGGCATCTTCAAATCCGACCCACTTGCGCATGGCGCCTGCCCTGCCCCAAAACCTGACGCCCGCCTCGCCCATGGCGCACCTGCGGAGAGGTCAATCGGCGAATCGATCCACATGCAACACTTCAACAGTAGATCTGCCGGCCTGAGTTCACCACAGCGCGGCTCTCACATCCGGAAAGATGTGCAAAACAACTCCTTGCAAACGGTGAGGTTGCACCTGCATTGAAGGCAAACCGCTGTGTTGCGTCTGCAAGTCACTGATGCTCACATGCGTACATGTTTGTAAACATAGATGCCAATAGCCTGTGAGCCACACGCGAAATGGATGGACATCATGAGAATTCCACATAACTAAGCCAAAGAAAAAGTCCTTTGTCGCCAGCAGGCACTCACCGCTCGCCAATTTGGAAAAGCAGAACAAGCTACGTGGCCTCCGATGTTTGCTTTCTTAACCTCTTTTGTTTTGTTGAAAATCCAAGCTCAGTCAGCTAAAGCCCGCCAGTGCCGCCAAGAATCGCCCACGCAGTTGTATTTGCATCACACGGTTGCTCAGCTCCCACGAGCGCACGCGCAGACGCACGCAAATGTTGAGGAATGCTGGGAGCGCTGGGACGTTTGTGGCCTGCTCGAGGCGATTTTGACAGTATTGTGGCGTTCTGTGAAGGTGACGTTTTGCGGTTCAGTGCCAACTTTTGGCTCAGCCGTATGTCTGCCTCATTGTCGTTTGTTAGAATCCTGTTCACTGCTTCAAGCCAAGAGGGGACCAGTAATAAAAAGGGGGGAGGAACTCACAACTCGAGTCGACCGAATCGCCCTGCTCCTTTTTATATGGCGTTGCTCAGAAGTCCAGGCTCGAGGATGCAGGAGGGACGACAACCACCGTGCGCTGATGGAATGGGCCTAATGAGCCTCACTTTTCTGGACTGGGGCACATGCTGGAGGAATGTGTCCCCGCATGCAGTGGCCAAAAAACCAGGCTTAGCCCAAAACGTACATGCTGGCACAATGTGCAGATGCAATGCAAATCCTATAGAGTTAGAATGATCACGAAGCAACGCGTGCTCTCGTGCCAACTGCTGGACCGCGTCCTCTCTGTCTCGCGGAGTCCGAAAGGACAGGCTGGAAGAACGCGTCCTCGCAGTGTCATGCGGGCGGCGGGCTACGTGGCCATGAGCCGCGTGCGGCGGGACGAGGACTACCTCATCGGCGGCCGGGTGACGCGACGGCACTTCGTCCCGGCCATGTGAGTTGCGGGGTGCACTTGCCGCAACCGAGCAGGAGCGGGGTCGAGCCCGAAACCCTCAAATCGCTGCTCCCAGAAGGAGACTTCATCAAGGGTCCTGCCGGGAAGCGCCCTGGTCCAGCCAGAGCAGGTCCCCTAGTTTTCATACCAGGCCGGCCACCGTTTTCATCAAGGTCAGCCCCAAATGGCAATTCTAGCAAGGACTTTGCCAAGGGCAGCCGAAAGGCCAGCCCCATAACTGCAGTTGCAATTTTATCAAGGCCAACCTCATTGGCAACTGTATCAAGTGCCTTGGTCCAGCCAGGCAAGGCCCCCCAATAGTTTTTATACAAGGATTTTCAGCAGTGGGCCTCGAACAGGCCGACCACCGTTTTCATCAAGGCCAGCCCCAATGGCCATTTTATCAAGGCCGAATGGCCGCTTTATCAGCGGCAGCTTAATGGCTACTTTACCAAGGGCAAGTCCCAATTGCCAAGGTGAACCACCTGAGTACTGACAGGGTGGGTGGGTTGGCTTTTTAAAAAAAAGCGGAAGAGGGATCGAACCCTCTAAACCGGTCCCTCAAAGGCTTGAAGCAAAAGCGGCCACGCGGCTGAAGATTCGAACCGGATTAAAACACGGGGGAACACAAAACCCCAAGCGTTAGAATCCTGTTCACTGCTTCAAGCCAAGAGGGGACCAGTAATAAAAAGGGGGGAGGAACTCACAACTCGAGTCGACCGAATCGCCCTGCTCCTTTTTACATGGCGTTGCTCAGAAGTCCAGGCTCGAGGATGCAGGAGGGACGACAACGCGTGTCCATCCCCTGTCCTGCATCCTTCTGCGGAGCCTGCACAGATACCCCCACTTCAGCGTTCTGAGCAGCCGGTCCAAACCTCGCCCCCTCTTTAGTGCGGCTGCGAGGCTGCCCTATGCGCTCGGCGCCAAGGAGCATCCGGCGGATGCAAAGTTAAAGCCGACTTGCGCGGCCAGAAATCGCGCGGTGCGAAGCGCACTCTGGACTGCGGCTAATTTTGAAAGGCAGCCAGATTGCCCCTGCGGAGCTGGTCTGCCCAGATATTATGCTCTCCTGGGCTGTGGGAGGCAATCACCGACCATTTATGCTTGTGAGCCCAGGCTGCAACTAATTGCGCAAAAAGTTGCAGGGGCCACGCGGTGGTGAACAGTTTGTTCACCCCCGCAAACGCTGTGGCATGTCTGCCCCTCGGCAGCCCAGGCGATGCGCATGAGCGCGAGTTGGGCGAGGGTCTCAAAGCATGCGATGTACCGCTGTGATTCTTTGGTTAAGCAAGGCCACTGTGTCTGGACTTCTGTGAGCGGGCATGCCATGTTTATTTGGAAGCACTGCATGAGCCGTTCCAAGCTGGCTTTGCTTGCCTTAGACAGGCGGGCATGCTCTGCTGAGGTGGCTTTGGATTACGGCAGGCAGGTCGGATGGGTATCTGGGTCCCTTGGAATTCCAGAATTCGAGAACCTATGGGCATGAAAATGCCTTGAACAGGCGAGGCAAGGACGGCCTTTGAAGTGAGTGCTGAGCGAAACGCGGGCCACAGTCGCGCATGCACGGAAATCATGCAGCCCGGAGGTGCGTGCAGGTCTGAGTACAATGGCGCGAGCCAAGCCCTGAGCTCTAGGCTTAGGCTAGTGGCCCAAATGAGCAAACTCAGGAATTGCTCCAGGAGTTTGCGTTTCACTTTGCCTGATTTCAACAGCATGCGAAGCTGTTGTATCAGTTTCATGGTCTTCACAGGTGGGAGCTCGATTGTCTCAAGATTGAAATTTATGTTCCACCCACACCGGGTGAAGGAGTCCTGGAGATGCACCTTTTTCCAGGAAATCGGTGCTGATATCGCGCAAAAAACACAACAATGAGTGCCAATTGCTCGTGTGCGTTAGTTCGATGCAGAGCCGCTAGCAAGTCATCCACGAACAACCAAGCTCTGTGCGGGTGGTTGGCCAAGATGCCGTGCAGCAAACGAAGCAGAAAAGCTCCGGTGAGTTGCCACCAGTAGGCCGAAAAACGTGCCCCAAAGTGGCAATGGAACAAAGTATCTGCAAAGCGAAACAGTAGGAGGCCGTGCTCGCTGGGGTGGACTTGCACTTGCTTGTGAGCGGCTTTGAAATCGAAGCTGGCTCCTATGAACGAGGAATGCGCGTCCTCAGGAAGGAAAACCAGGCGCACATCCGAGGCCATTGGCAGGCTGATGTGCTCTGAGGCTCTGGTATATTGCATGTGGGGTTTACCCCGCAGACTGTACTGTCGAGAACCAGGCGCGGTTCTTTGCCTTCTGCATACACTCCACCCCGTCACCCACAGTGGCTGGATGCATCAAACCTGCTGGTGCCCAAAATTCGGGCACACTTGGCGAATAAACAATAAGCTTCCCAATTGCGATGCCTCGTTGTCGTGCTTCTTCGACCGACATGTCGGTGCGAACGATCCAGCCACTAGCAATTTCTTTGTCGAGTAGAGCGGAAACTGTGTCTGGCTCTGCCTCTGCTGCTTTCCAATTGCCTATACATTCAAGGAGTTCGACGGGTTTCTCCGACGATTCTTGTGGCGGCCACTGCATGCTTCTGGGCAATTCGGAGAGGGCGCCCGTAGGAACTCCTTTTGCAAGCAGGGGACGCAGTTTGAGATCTGGATCGTTGGCGCTAACGCGTGCAACAGTGAC